GAGTTATATTTATTTGGAGAAATTTTTTCAAAGGACTATATTAAGAAGTAACGTCGATGTATTTTTATTTAAGCTCATAAAACTTTTATTATTTCTTAAAAAATAATATAGTATTGTAAATTTTATAAATTCGTCTAAAAGTTGAACAGTTTAAATACTTATATGCTAATAAAATTAGTAAAAAAAAGTTATTTTCAGCTTTTTTTATATTTTTAAAAAACATTTATATCTTAACATAATTAACATCATGAATATGAATATAAATTCAATTATAAATCTTATTGTGATATGATTATATCCGTATTATAGAAAAATAATACTTATACCAGTAATAATATTAATAACAATAATAATGACAGAAACGAGACAAATGAGAATCCACCAACCCCCGCGGTGGAACCTTAACAAACTTGACAGACAAAAATTTTCGGAGGAGTTGATGGCGGCATCAGCCCCGAGGTCGAAGATTCCTCCTGAGCTAACGGGCCGGCGAAGAACGGAAAGACTGACAGACGAGACGGCGAAATTAATAAACAACTTGTGCACCAGCACAATGACGAAACGACGACAGATACAAAAAAGACGACCACAATACTGGTGGACGGACGAAATAGCCGAGCTACGCAAGATATGCATGGCAAATCGGCGACGTGCGACGAGGGCTGGAGGCGGACCCGAAAGGGAAAACCTTCAGGCCATATACAAAATAGCACGGAAGACGCTGACGAAAGCAATACGGGACAGCAAGACGCGATGCTGGAGGAAGCTCTGCGAGGAGGTGAACGAGGATCCCCGGGGAACCGGCTACAAGATTGTGACCGGGAAACTAGGGGCCCGAGTCTCACCGGAACTTAAAGATGCCGAAACAGCAGGACGGATTGTTGACGGATTGTTTCCGACGCTCCCGATTAGGGCAAACGTGATGGATGACGTGGACGCACAAATGCCCCCCGCTTTTGCCGCTGAGGAGCTCATCAGAGCAACGAATGCGATGAAGACGGGTAAGGCACCGGGACCGGACGGAGTACCATCCGAGATCCTCCGGCTCGTGGCTCGTCTACGGCCGGAGATACTTCTCGACCTGTACAATACGTGCTTGACGACAGGAACGATCAGCGATCGGTGGAAGGAGGCGAGGCTCGTTCTTATTCCAAAAGGTAAGGGCGACCCTGGCACTCCTTCGGCCTACCGACCATTGAGTTTACTTGACACTACTGGTAAACTCTTTGAACAATTACTCAGACCGAGACTGACGGACGCGATACAGGCCGGAGGGGGTCTCTTAGATTTGCAATTCGGCTTCAGGAGGGGTCGGTCGACGATCGGAGCGATCCAAAAGGTGATTGATTCTTTCCTGGAACTAGACAGACACTGCCATGCGGCGCGACCCATTGTGCTGCTGGCGACGCTCGACATCAGAAATGCTTTCAACTCGGCCAGGTGGGTGGATATCTTGAAGGCGCTGAAAAGCAACTTTCGGATCCTACCGTACCTGGTTCGGGTTGTGGAGGATTATCTGAGAAACAGACGAATAACGTACGAGACGATCGAAGGACAGGTAACGAGACAGGTCACCGCTGGTGTGGCTCAGGGGTCGATACTGGGACCCGACTTTTGGAATGGTCTATACGATAGTCTGCTTCGGCTTGGGATGCCACTCGGAGTGACCCTCGTCGCCTACGCTGATGACGTGGCGGCGGTGATCACGGAGAGATCTCCCGAGCTGGCGCAGCTGACGTTGAACCAGACCATGAGACGAGTTGGACGATGGATGACAGAACACGGACTGCAACTCGCAACAGAAAAGACGGAACTTATGCTTCTCACGAGAAGACGCATACAGACGATACTACCCATGAGAGTGGGTACATACGAAACGGAGACCAAGGGGGAAGTCAAGTACCTTGGGGTAACCCTCGATACGAAGATGACCTTCTGGCCTCACATACAGAAGACAGTCTGAAAAGCGGCAGAGAGGATAACATCCTTGAGCCGCCAGATGGCAAACACGACGGGACCGAGACCAGGAAAGCGGCGACTGCTAATGGCGACAGCTCACTCGATCCTCTTATACGGCGCGGAAATATGGGCAGATTCCTTGAAGACAAAGAAGTACTGTAAGACAATGACGATGGTACAGAGACAGGGCGCTCTGCGAATCGCTTGCTCCTACTGAACAGTCTCTGCGCAGGCTGTCCTGGTGGTGGCGAGCGTAATACCCGTGGATCTTCTTGCCTCTGAACGCAAAAGGATCTATGGGAGCAGCGCAGACATAATATCAACATAGTCCCTGGCTGGGGGAAGGACAACAAGGAGATGGCGGTTTAGTGGGTAGGCCTGTCTTTTTTTTTTTTTTTTTTTTTTGGGGGGGAGTCCCACATACCTCCTTAGATCAAGACTAAGGGGAATCCGCAAAAAGGATTCCGCAACTCCTTGTAAAAAAAAAAAAAAAAAAATAATAATAATATTTATACTTGTATTTATATTTAATGGTCAATAAATATTAATATTATTATTATTATACTTAAACATATAATTTATTAAAATCTTGCAATAAATGTCTTAACATATTATCTAAATACTTGTGTAAATACTCTATGTTATTTAGAAATCCATATACATTAATGTGACACGATTTTAGTAAAATTATTCTATAAAATACTATTATAAATAGACCTATATTTTATTTATAATATATAAAAATCAATAATTCATGGCGGTTGATATTATAAACGATGATTTATGTGTAAAAAAATTTAAAAAATAATTTAAAAAGATCTCTTATCAAATTTATAAATGTTTAAAAAAATATTTGTTATATTTAATAGTTACTAACTTTCAGAATCGACGAAACTTCTTCTGATATAAACTTTTTGTTCTTTATATGTGAAACCAAAGATTTCACACTTTTCAGTTTTACATTTTTTCTTGAAACTTACATTTTCAAAGTTTTAATTTCCCTGCGTTGCCTTATGATTGTCCCATGCTGATTTCGGATAACACCTTGAACTTTTTTTAATAGTTTCTTTATTTTAGGAATATTAGTGTAATCAATAGAATTTAAGTCCATTTCAGTAAATAATACTCTGATTTTACTACATTTTTTGCTTTTAATACTATTACTGTAAAAAATTATAAAATATTTTTATTAAAAATATATTGCAAAGTAATATTATGCATTACTTACTATTCAACAATTTGCAACAAATCTTACCTCTTACACACATTCTTATTCAAACCGTCATTAGAAATTGAATCGTCTTCTGACTGATTGAAATTTAAATTTTCAACACTTTCGCATGAGACTTTGCTCAAATCAATACGAGAGTCATTACTCAACAAACCATTAATTGTACTGCATTCAGTACTTGCAGTTGTATTCAAATGTACATTTTCTTCAATCAATGTTGAATTAAATATTCCAGATATGTTTAAAACACTAAAATCATTGAGATCTTCATCGTTGCATATATCACTTAAGCTATGACGAGAAATTTCTTCATTTGATACATGTGAGTTATGTAAAATGTTACTATTGGTTACACTAATTACAGGAGTATCTCTAGATAACCTATATTCTTCATTTATAGGTACACTTTTTACAATGTCATTGACAACATTTGTATGACTATGAAGCGACAAAGGTTGAGATAAATTTGATACTTTGTTGTTGCTGCTTACTAAAGAATTGTCTATGTGTGCATCTATATTTTCATATTTTTTAACTATTGCTTTCCTGTTACAACAAAATATAGAAGATATAATTATATGAAATTTTATAAAAAATTATTTGATTTAATTATTTAAATTATTATATTATACGTACGGTGTAATACTTTCGAAGCTTGTAAAAACTGTAGGTTCAGAGCTTTTTTGAAGTAATAAATTTTTTCCTGTTGCTGCTCGATAAAAGTATTTGCTATCAAAATGTAAATCACATATATAAGGATTTTTCACTTTTAACCCTTAAGGCCGAGAACAATTCCACGTATAAAAAATTGAAAGATACACTATTTCAAAGCTTAAGATCTCCCCTTTCCAACGGTGTGCCGAAAAATGCGATAAAAAATGTTAACTATGTGAAAATATTGTTTAAATAAAAAAAAACACGATTTTTTCATAATTTTTTTTTATAAAATCAAGTTTTCAGAATGGATCTCGGTTTGCAATCCACTTGGAACCTCAATAACTGGTGGCATAAATGTCTAAGCTTTCATAATATATATTTCCGAGATCGTTTTTTTATCTCAGTATCATCAAAATGGCGCTTCAATGACAGAATTTTCGTTCAGACATTCATGAATTTTGTCCTTGAAAAGTATGGACTTTTCGAAAAAGTCAAAAAGAAAAGAAAGTTCTTAAAATCACTCGTATAATACATCAGAATTTTTTCGAAAAGTTTGGAGCAATTTTTTGCATTTTGCAAATTGTCAAATTTTGAACATTTTCAAAATTGACCGTAATTTTTTGAAAAAATTCGAGTGCATTCTTTGCTCAGTTTTGAAAACTTTTTATTCCTGGTAAATTTTCATATGAGTTCATTGCTTTTAAGAAAAAAATTCACAAGTGTCAAAATAATTGCACAGTATGTATAGTCCGAGGTATCCACGCTGCAATTAGTGTGTGAGCTTGTACTGGTGAAGAAAGATATGAAAAGGAATACGTTTTTAGAAAAACCTAATTTGGTGATGAAAATAACAAAATAAACTATCTACTTATAACTGTAATCTATATCGGAGCGAAATCCTGAATAGCCGATCGTGTCGCAGAAGCCCATCATTCGTTCATAGGTGGCCTGAAAATCCAATTTTAGCGAAATTCATCGCATTGGAATGATTCATGAAATACATTGAATTTGGAATCTTGCAAGTCATTGAGTATTATTGACTATCATCAATTGAAGCAAAAATCCGTAAATCGGCCCGAATAATACAGCTGGTTGCTACAGGCTTCCTACCAACAGGACGTTCCACTGAAGTTATTTCAGTAGGTTGAGAAAAATGTCGAAAAGGAGAGCCGCGAAAAGGAGTTACTGTGAATTGACTGATGAAGAGTCAGATTCGAATGAAAATAAACAGCATATTTTTATACCTAATCCAGATGACTCTGGCACTGATGGAGATTGTTCGTCAGATACTGACAATTCTGAATCAGAACTATCTGATGAAGACAATTCTGAATCGGAAATTCATGTACCAAATGTCTCATATCGATCTGTTTTTGAAAGTTATACAGAAAAACAAAAACTGTTAGAGCCAAATCATACTTTTTCGTGGTGTGAAGGAGAAAAAGTTTACTCTGTAGATTTGAAAGATCAATTGTTATTGCCTGATTCCGTAAAGCAGAAAATATCTTCAATGTCACACGTGGAACTGTTCGAAATCTTTTTCTCTGAAGAAATAAAAAATTATATTATTCAAGCCAGTGAAGAAAATGATTTGAAATTATCTACAAAAGAACTCAACACATTCATAGGAATATTATTATTATCATCTTACAATATTCGAAAGAATCAAAGAGAGTATTGGGAAACCGACCCTCTCGAAAACTGCTCTGCTGTTTCATTAGCGATGACGCGCGATCGGTTTAGTGAAATAAAATCTAAAATAAAATATTCAAAACCTACTGACAAAAATGATAATGATAAAGCTTGGAAAGTCCGTCATATTTTGGAATTGTTTAGGACCAATATTAAACAATTTGGATATTTTTCAACTGCTCTTTCCATTGACGAAATGATGATTAGATTTTTTGGTCGCACGTGTCTGAGGCAATATTTGCCTTCTAAACCTGACCGATACGGGATCAAACTCTGGGCCTTGTGCGGAGCAAATGGATATATATTCAACGTTGATATTTATTGTGGTAAGAACGATACAAGCATTGGGATAAATTTATCCGCATGTCCACTTGGCTCCAGAGTTGTATTACAAATGGTTAATCCACTTCTACATAGCTTTTCAAAAAGAAAATTGTCTGACTATCATGTCTATTTTGATAACTATTTCACTAGTCCTGATTTAGTCGTTCACTTGAACAAATGTGGCTTACAATCTACAGGAACTGTTCGTAAAGATAGAGTGAAACAAAAACATGATTTTGAAAAAAAAGCACCACGAGGAACGAACAAAGCGAGTTATGATCGTAACAGTGGAATGAATCTCATCAGTGTAATTGACTCAAAAGAAGTTTCTATTCTTTCTACGGCAGCTGGCGTCACTCCCTTGGAGCCAATGGAAAGATATTCAAGAACTGCTAAGAAAAGATCAAAATTGGAATTCCCTTGTGCTTTTCCTTCGTATAACAAGTACATGGGAGGAGTGGATTTGCACGATTTTCGATGCAAGAAAGCTTCTCCAAGTGTCAGTTCAAAGAAGTGGCCATTCAAAATTTTCTCACGAATTATTGAAATGTCAATAACGAACGCTGTAACAATAAGCAATCTTTGCAGAAAGGATAGAAAAATAATGAAAACGCAAGAAATGTGTAAAGAAGTGAGTAGAAAGTATTTGGCGCAATCGAAAATATGTGATCTCAAATCTCACAGGCACGATACTAGAACAAGAAACAAATGTAATAGCGAAGGATGTTGTGTAAGGACTACCAGATACTGCATTGATTGCAAAGAATATTACTGTATCGAATGTTTTTCAAAATTACACGCAGGAAAGGTAGCGAAATGAATTATCGATTCCAGAAAAATTCATCAATAAAAAAAAATTAAAAATAAAAAAAAAAATTACTAAAATATGAAAAAAAAAAAAAAAAAAAAAAAACTATCTATATTTGTCGACATCCTCGTTGGTGATAGTTAGGCAACGCAAACTCTGTTTGCGGCGGACAGGCGATCAACGAGTGGATGTTAATGACTTGCGTATTGGGCAATTACTTTGACACTTGTGAATTTTTTTCTTAAAAGCAATGAACTCATATGAAAATTTACCAGGAATAAAAAGTTTTCAAAACTGAGCAAAGAATGCACTCGAATTTTTTAAAAAAATTACGGTCAATTTTAAAAATGTTCAAAATTTGACAATTTGCAAAATTCAAAAAATTGCTCCAAACTTTTCGAAAAAATTCTGATGTATTATACGAGTGATTTTAAGAACTTTCTTTTCTTTTTGACTTTTTCGAAAAGTCCATACTTTTCAAGGACAAAATTCATGAATGTCTGAACGAAAATTCCGTCATTGAAGCGCCATTTTGATGATACTGAGATAAAAAAACGATCTCGGAAATATATATTATGAAAGCTTAGACAATTATGCCACCAGTTATTGAGGTTCCAAGTGGATTGCAAACCGAGATCCATTCTGAAAACTTGATTTTATAAAAAATAATTATGAAAAAATCGTGTTTTTTTTTATTTAAACAATATTTTCACATAGTTAACATTTTTTTATCGCATTTTTCGGCACACCGTTGGAAAGGGGAGATCTTAAGCTTTGAAATAGCGTATCTTTTAATTTTTTATACGTGGAATTGCACGAGTTATGATAGTCGAAAGAGCGGTGTACCAGGAGGGGCGTTCTCGGCCTTAACGGGTTAATAAGATTTTAGTAATATTCTCATCACCAAAATGTTCTTTAAGAGCTTTCACCCATATATTTTTATTATTTTCATTGGCTGGAAATCTATTAAAAAACATAATTATGTTACAAAAATTAAAAAGTTTATTATTATTCTCAAACAACCTACAAAATTTGTCTCTATTTTTTATTACATATACTAACTTTCGAAAACCAAGATTTTTACATCCTTGATCATCTTCTTGTATTCTACAATTCGGAACAATGCACTTTTTTACCATTTTTTGTTTTAATCTTTCATTTTTACTTAGCATAAGATATGTATGTACAATAACAAAGCATTTCTTTCAAAACCAGCTGTTCGACCCGCGGGTGAAAGACTTAAATTTAGCAGCCGCAAAACCATCCAATCAGAACATTATGTGAGAGAGATAAAAAAGGTTGCAATATTTTCTTTCTTTCTCTTACGCCGTGCAAAAACTTGCCACAACTTTCCCATCTGATGGCTCCCGCCATGTACGAGGTGTGTTCAAAAAGTAACGAGAATTTTTAAATTTCGCGGGTTTGGAGAGTCCGCTTGTATAAAATTTTTTTTTATTATGTTGGTACACATGCCCCTGAAGTACGATAAAATTTTCAGCAATATTCATTGCTTACTTTTTAAGTGGCAGCCGCTAACGTTAGACGTGTTTTTCGAGCTCGGCGATTTTCGTTTGTGAAAAAAAATGGATCAAAGAATTTGTATTAAATTTTGCGTAAAAAATGAAATAAAGTGTAGTAAAGTTTGTCAAATGTTAACAAAGGCATATAGTGAGTCTGCTATGAGTAAAGCAAGGATTTATGAGTGGTATAAGCGTTTCCAAGATGGCCACGAAAACGTTGAAGATGACGAACGACCCGGACGCCCAAGCACATCAACAACCGATGAAAACGTGAAAAAGTGAAAGAAATGGTTATGAACGATCGCCGAATCACAATCAGAGAAGTCGCTGATTATGTTGGCATATCAGTTGGCTCATGCCATCAAATTTTTTCGAATGTTTTGGGTATGAAACGTGTGGCAGCAAAATTCGTTCCAAAATTGTTGAATTTCGAACAAAAACAGCGGCGAATGGAAGTTGCTCAGGAGTCGCTAAATGAAGTCAATAACGATGCAGAACTACTAAAACGTGTTATAACAGGTGACGAAACATGGGTTTATGGATATGATGTCGAAACTAAGGCTCAATCGTCCCAGTGGAGGCATTCTGGATCGCCAAGACCGAAAAAGGCTCGACAAGTGAGGTCGAATGTGAAGGTTATGCTCATTGTGTTCTTCGATTTTAATGGCATAGTGCATTATGAATTCTTGCCACAAGGTCAAACAATCAATAAGCAGTACTACCTACAAGTTCAACGTCGTTTGCGTGAAGCAATCCGAAAAAAACGCCCGGATTTGTGGCAAAACAATTCATGGCTTTTGCACCACGATAATGCGCCTGCTCACACTTCATTGCTTGTTCGTGAATTTTTGGCCAAAAACGAAACTGTAACGATGCCTCAGCCTCCATATTCGCCAGATATGGCTCCATGTGACTTTTTTCTATTTCCAAAAATAAAGAGAACATTAAAAGGCCGTCGTTTTACAAGCATAGATGACATTAAAAGCGAATCGCTGAAAGAGCTAAAAGCTATTACAAAGATCGAGTTTCAAAAGTGTTTCGAGGATTGGAAAAAGCGTTGGCATAAGTGTATTGTATCCGAAGGGGACTACTTTGAAGGCGACAACATTAATGTAGATGAATAAATAAATATTTTTTTCATAAAACGAAAATTCTCGTTATTTTTTGAACACACCTCGTATATATGCTCGAAGGATGGCTCCCTCCATGTATATATGCTCTAAGAGTATAGTAGTATTGTTATTGACATGAACTTTTACAATATAGTCACATTACCACAGACTTGTGAATCTGACGTCCAAAAAAATTTTTTAATCATATTTTTGAGTTTTCATGAGCTAAAACGTTTTCTCCCTTTTTCCGGATTATGCTTAAAATTTTATTTCCGGATTTTCCGTTTTTAAGAAAATTGCGAAAAAAAATCGGGTGTTCGTACAGCGCGCAAAATGCATTAAACATTTTTCTCCTGTTTAAAAAGAAATAATATCGATAGCGAATGATAGCTCCTTATTCCCGGATTACGAAACAATGTTCCTTTTGTCGATTTTCTATCCAAAATTGAGGAAAATGTAAAAATTAGTAATATATGCGGCAGTTAGTCGATAAAACAGGTCAAACGTTTGCTAATCACCAGATATCCCTATATGAGTTCTACATTGCGTAATTATAATAATAAATAATTCAAATTCTACTCAATTAACCATTCACATTTTATGTACATATACATAAATAATTTTTTCTAAGGTTTTCTATAAGTTTGTCAACATGCCAATTTTATAATTAATATTTTAACTATATAAAATAACATAATTCTGAACAAAGTAATAAAAAAATTGAATTGACTAGTTAAAATTGAAAAAAACAATCATTGATCAAAAACTTATAGCTTAGTTTTATATTTGTTGAATTATTTAATAACGAACTTAATTTTACTTCCATTCTTCTTAACAATATAAAGTAATAATCCATTGTAGCATATTATAAAAATACTTCAATATATTGAAGTACTTATTGAAGTATAGAAAATACTTCAATACTTATTGAAGTATAGAAAATACTTAAGTACTTATTGAAGTATAGAAAATACTTCAATAACTTCAAAATATATTGAATAAACTTAAAATATATTGAAGTATTTTTATAATATGCTACAATGGATTATTACTTTATATTGTTAAGAAGAATGGAAGTAAAATTAAGTTCGTTATTAAATAATTCAACAAATATAAAACTAAGCTATAAGTTTTTGATCAATGATTGTTTTTTTCAATTTTAACTAGTCAATTCAATTTTTTTATTACTTTGTTCAGAATTATGTTATTTTATATAGTTAAAATATTAATTATAAAATTGGCATGTTGACAAACTTATAGAAAACCTTAGAAAAAATTATTTATGTATATGTACATAAAATGTGAATGGTTAATTGAGTAGAATTTGAATTACTTATTATTATAATTACGCAATGTAGAACTCATATAGGGATATCTGGTGATTAGCAAACGTTTGACCTGTTTTATCGACTAACTGCCGCATATATTACTAATTTTTACATTTTCCTCAATTTTGGATAGAAAATCGACAAAAAGAACATTGTTTCGTAATCCGGGAATAAGGAGCTATCATCCGCTATCGATATTATTTCTTTTTAAACAGGAGAAAAATGTTTAATGCATTTTGCGCACTGTACGAACACCCGATTTTTTTTCGCAATTTTCTTAAAAACGGAAAATCCGGAAATAAAATTTCAAGCGAAGACATAATTCGGAAAAAGGGAGAAAATGTTTTAGCTCATGAAAACTCAAAAATATGATTAAAAAATTTTTTTGGGCGTCAGATTCACAAGTCTGATACTTAATATCTTTTGGAATAACAATAATTATTATTAATTATTCTTTATGGAAAAAATTTTTGGGAAAATGAAATGGATAACGTAATTAAAATGGGAACTTGAATTTATCGATTTACATAATTTTTTTATAATTTATTTATAGCGTCAGGCGCAAGCTGGGCTAGGGGAGGTAATATTATGTGTGCATACAAATATATCGACGTGAAAGCATAGCAATGATGAGGAACGCTCCACATTCCAACTACAAAAAAATGACAGAAATGTTAAAATAGAGATAGAATTTGTCCAATTTCAAATCGTTTTATGTAAACCCGGCGTGTATATTTGATGTGTGTATTTTATTATTTTTGTTGATATATATAGGTTTAATAGCAAAAAGCAATATAGTACGTATGCTTAAATATCAATTGCCAATAACACAACCTGTAAGATATAAAAAACTTACATCGTAATAATTTAAAAGTTCATAGCTATATATAATAAAATACTTCGCTCTTGTATTAATTATTCTTCGGCTGTCGTCCGCACAAAAATGGCCTCGACTTGTAAGTTGGCGAAAACGGTAAGTACGATGTCCACTTCCACCTGACATAATTACAAGACGTAATTACATTAACTTTTAAGTTCAATGAATTTTTCACGCACCTTCTTAACAGATCCATTCCAAATGGTAAATCAAAAGTATTGTACTTATATTCTGTTTGAGCACCTATAGCACTGTTATCATTTGTTGTATCCAAATTTAATTCCTTTGCCCAAGCATCTAAACCTCTTTCCTTGGACGTCCCTGTGTGAAATATTTCTTTTCTTTTTCACTTTTAAAACAACATTTTTAGAATTTTATTAATTAACCTTTTTATATAATTAATTTCAATCATATATAATTAAAATTGTCTAAGCTCTACAAATTGTTAAAATTATTAATATTGCAAGATAAAATAGTGATTTCTGTGTATGTAAAATGACAATCTTCAAATCTAAACAATGTTACAGAAACGCATTTTATACCTGGAATGAAATTATCTAAAAAACAACCTATAAAACCACCAACAAGAATTGTTGTACTCAAAAGAACTGTAATTACTCCATCCGCTACCTCATTGCCGGTATTTATGACTGTTGGGTGCTTAGTGATCCACTTTGATAGTACCTAATGATAATTAAAAATATTAATGAATATCTAACATTAAAATATATAATATATTGTTTTCGAGAATTACCAGAGGGAAAAATACAGAAAAACCAAGAATATACAGATTTCGAGCTGAATTTAAATCAATATATTGAAGAGCAGAAAAGCCTTGAAATAAGAAAAAATTTAGTCTATTACTTTTTTTATTCATTAAGCTTAAATCAGATTGATTTTTCATTATTTGAACTATACTTACCAAATGCAGCTATCATACCAAACATTACACAAAATATACCTCCAATAATGGGTTCTGGTATAATAATAAACACTGCTCCTAATTTGCTAATCACTCCTTGAAGAATCATCAAAACACAAGCCCATTGAATAACTCTGCGGCTGCCAACTTTGGTTACTCCTATTGAGTAATGATAATTATAAAATTTTAATAATATCAGTACTACTTTTGCAATAATTTATAATATAATAATCTTACCAATAGTTCCTACATTTTCTCCAAAAGTATTGGTACCATTTCCACTTCCCCATAAACCAGCTAAAACAGTACCGAGCCCCTCTATACCAATCCCTCGATTAATTGCATGAACTGGTGGTGGAGGAGCACCTATTATATTATATATAAAACAATTTAAGTTCATTGTTAACAGAGATTTGAAAAGCATTCCTTTATATAGCTAGTTTTATTTTATCAATAGTTACCACACATTTTTGAAGTTGTTGGATAGTAACTGATGGACTCCACTGTACATGCCAGTACTCCAGCAAGCATACCAAGTACTCCAGATAGAGTTATTGTGGGAGTACCCCATTGACCAGGATAAGGGAATCGGACCCAGGGCGAATCACTGATAATTTTTATTTTGGTGTCTATTCTTCCTGGATGGCCTGGTGGTAAAGCATCAGTGACAGTTACAATGGCACAAATGATCCACATGACAATTATGGTAAGTAAAACCTATTGATAAAATACAGATTGGTTCATACATTAATTTGAAAACGCAATGTTTACTTAGCCTACTTACGGGAAATAATTTAAATAATGCAAACCAAGTAATTTGAAATCCTTGACCTTTTTTATAAACTATGATGGGGAAATTGACATTGACTAAAACTTGTGAGTACAATGTCAACATAATAATTGTTCTGTAGACCAAAAGCATCATATCAGATCAGTTCAATCGTATTGTATATAAACAACTGATTTGAAACTAAACATACCCAGTAGATATTCCCCAATGTTTCGAAGCTGCATCAGCTGCATTTTCAAAAAGTGATAGTCCAACTAATGAAACTGTTGGTACAATTGTAAGTGGGGTGACATATTTCAACATATAACCAATGAAACCTACAAATGAGTTTGAAATTATTGTGTTGATAAGACAGCCATGCTGTTTCCAAATATCATTTAAAGAATAAACAAAAAGGTCGTTTACCGCAATAACCAACAATGACTTGGAAAAGCGCAGAAATGGCGATTGCACCTGAAAGCTCTCTCATTCGTATTTGCCACAATTCTGTTCGTTCTTCGACAGGTAGAGTGTTTAAAACTTCCTCTGCTGGACATTTCCATTGAGGTAAATTTAAAATGGCAAGCGTCGGTACTAAAAATGATATCGTACCACCTTGCACCAAGGGAAGGCTGCAAACAGTGCAAACGAATTTGCAATTGAGGTGAATATTAATGTTTAAATGGCCACAATCATTTCTTCCAAAACAAGCTTACGATCAAGTAATTAATCATTAAATATTAATTAATGAGCTTCCCGACAACATTTTACGGCGGCATCACAATGTAGCGCGTTTCTAAAACATGTTTCCTGCAGCGTCAAAGTCACGAGTGCTGCAAATTTGCTTACTTCATTGCATTCATGACATTGAGCACTGTGCAAATCCAAATAGGAATTTGAAAATAAAATTGACTCGCGTTGGTAGTTCGAATAATAGTTTTGTATGCTAATTTTTACGAATTGACGTATCGCATCGACTTAATTCGTTTGCAGATTATGAATGAACGAGTTCATCATAAAACTAAAATGTTGTCAAATGTTTTCTCGATCACACCGACTTTTTCCTAAAAATTCATTTTCATTGGCTGGCAAGCGCCTCAACGAAATCTCAAACAGCTCGTCGAGGCAGTCGACGAAATTTGAATGTAATTGAAAAACCGAAGCTCGTAAAGATAAACTTTATTATACTCTGCGATTCTAGCTATTCAAGCGAGAACGCGAATAGCTAGAGTCGTCGAGATACCAACTGCGCATTCAACTGTAAACTCTGTTCAAACAAAGTTGTCTTACTTGGAAAATCAATTACCACGCTCGCTCAAAAAAAGAAAAAAATTTCATCAAGCTTGAGTGAGAGAGAGAGAGAGAGAGAGAGAGAGAGAGAGAGAGAGAGAGAGAGAGAGAGAGAGAGAGAGAGAGAGATTCAGTGCTAATTACTGGTATGCAACTCAAGTAATGCGCTATCAAGCTACTAATCGTTATCACATAATGCCTTGTTCCCTCAATAATTGATTGGATGACGCATACCGGCAGCCAACGGTCGTTTGCAGGAACGTGACGAGACCACTGACGAAGATCATTGTCGAGATGATGTGACTGCGGGCAGAGTCGTCTTCTGCCATGCAGAGGGCCGGTGTCAGAATAAACGGTATTGAGACTATGGCGCCGATCATCGTCAAGTAGTGCTGAAAATAATCATGGAATGTTGTTCCTAACGACTGTACAAGGTCACAATGCTCTTGGCAAATACAGCGAATTCGTACTCACTTGAAAAGCCATGAACAAGCAGAGGTACCACGGAGGTACATCGTCAATCCCATAAGTCAAGTCGGACTGGCGAAGAGTAGTTGGTTGTTCCGACTCTTGGCGATTGTTCGCAAGGGCTTGTCCGTTGCTGTCACTGTCAGCCACTCTCTGAAAATGTGATTTAACATTCGAAGCAAGATAAGTCGCCGGTTTTACAGGTAAACGGAAAATTCTCGAGAGCAGAGCGATCGAAGCAGCAGCTATAACTGGATGCTGCACGCAAATCTTATGCAAAAGGTACTTCGTGCCATTTTCTGCGATAAAAGAGCTCTTATTCAATCGCAGAATCAGCATTCGACGCCTAGCTGTGGCCAATGACGTATTATGCAAGGCGTTGATCGTTAAAAACGCGATCGAGAAAAAAGGATCAAAGCAGAGAAATCGTTGGTGAGCGAGATCTTCGCGCTATCTAATTGCGCTAATCAATTGCCGTCAAGCGTTATCCGTGTTAATATTGCTGATTATTGTTAAAGTGCGATGTTGCTGAGACTTCACACTTGCGAAGTTGCGTTCGCCAGCCGCATTGTTAACAACAATCATTTGCTCTCTCTCTCTCTCTCTCTCGAATGCGCTATTTTAAGTACAAATTTATCATCGCCGTTGTCATATTATACTGCGTTTTGTATTGTAATTTATACACATTGCTGTCCGATACTGTCATTTAAAATGCTGTATATCCGCCACACTGGCCTTATAGGTTGTACCCTCGGTTTCAATAAAGCTTAACCTAATCTAAATAAATTCTCTCTTCACGCCTGCAAACATTTGTGCATCGTTCTAAGCCACTCGCTCCGGCGCCTTTATAGCTCAAACTTTATTGTTCCGCGTAATGGATATCCGTGTTTAACCTTCGTATCAATATCCCAGAAGTAATCATATTAACAAACGGCAAACAAAAGCTTCCGCGATTCTTCTGCCGGTTTTGTAACTACACTTGATCAGCCATAGTAATGGTAAAGTGATGTTTAATGCGCTGCTTAACACGCAAACTGACCAGTCGATGTCGATTCCATACAATTGCCATGCTATTTGTTACGATGACTCTTCGCGTACCGATCAGTAGCCGCACTACGAATTGATCAATTTGAAAAGATCAATAATATCTTACCAATCCGTCGTTGATTAGTTGGAAAAGTCAGTAAAGCTCGCGTCGACGAGAAGCTTTATCAAAACGAATGCTACGCCTATCAATCGTCGCATGTCATCTGTAATTCTAAGAAGAAAGCCCGCGGCAACACGACGACTGTTGTATAAATTCGTTGAGGATCCAGAACCATGTAGAAGTAGGCTTTTGTTGAAATTGGTCATTGATCGTTTTAGTAAATCCAAGTATTCTACGGCATTTTAATGCTGACCACCCACCCAGGAATTCAATCAATCAGTTATGTTTCGAACATCAAGTCACAGTGCGAATAGCTTGTGAACGTACTAGCAAAAGCGTTTGAAAGCAATGGTTTAAATTGACATGGGCTGCTCACCACACTCGTCAGCTGTATACAGTTGTTACTCATGGCAACTGGCTTAGCTTCTTCTCTTCTTTTTCTTCTTCGTACTTTCACAGCTGTTCCGATCCGAAAGTGAAAATGATGATCACGGTACAGTTGCGGCTCGGAACTAACAATTTTCTAACAATTAACTAACAAACTTCGGGACGAACGTTAAGTAGAGTCAGCGAGTTTGACGATACCTGCAAATTGGCGATTGATATTGCCAATGGTCGAAGGACGACTGGCTGTATCTAGTAATAACGAATCGATTTATTATAAATACTCGCGCGAGTCTAATAATATTGATCTGAGTTATGTGCGTTTGACGCGACTGCCGAGCAAGCACTTGATTATCGAGACAATATATACATATCGTCTATACGTGCTCGCCTCTGTCGTCCCAATCGCCGATTAATCTCGATTCGAGGTCTCTTTCCGTCTCCAAGCTATCGGAGCGCAATTCATGCCCGGCGCTTCATTACGTCTCACTGTCGAAGCTTTATCGCGCCTGTTCCTATGTGCTCCACCTGTCTCTGACGCGACTGCTATACTATACGTCGTTATTTACTCTCTTACTTCTCAATGGCATTCATTGCTATTCCCGTTCTTCATCAATCGCGCACTGCCTATTAATAACCTAATCAGCAAATAAATTGATCAACTTATTTTTACCAAACGAGTGAAGAAACTACAGATCGATTTTCAGGAGCTTTAATAACAATATATGTACAGTCGTTGAAATCAAGCATTTATCAAGTAGCTTTCTTATATTTGCACTGTATCCATACTCGGTACATTCGCAATTGCCTCCCGCGATTTACTTGCAATCTTCTATCCACGAGATTTTGAACCTCATTAAAGCCACAGCTGGTAAACAAAGTTTTGACTTCGTCTGAAAGGAAAGCATTTTTTAGTTGCATTGCCGATCATTCTTCCACAATCTGTTTTACCTTGCAGAAAAAAGTAAACGCGGGTTCCATCACCGCGAACATAGAAATTAGCAGATAGACAACGGTCTCTTTTAAACCTTAATTGAGCTAAGTCGTAACGACCATAGTCACGAAATAAAATTAAACCTCCTGGTTTCAAATACCTGTGGATCTGCTTAATCACCTGCTGCATTCTAAGAAAAATTAATAAAAATTTTTAATATTATCGTCAATAACGATTCTCTTTTCACAATACCTACTTGTCAGGATGTATTGCTGAAAGTACAAAAATTAATATAACAATATCTAAGCTATTTTCTGGAAAGGGTGGATCCCAGTTTTCTTTCGTCACATCAAGAACAAAAGCTTTACACCTGTAAAACAAGTAGTACTAATACAGTACAATGCTTACTCATCTAATTTTGCACATTACCTGTTTGTATCATATTCTAGACTTTGTTGCAAAATTGTAATTGCTGCAGAAGAAAAGTCACAACAGTATACAAATAAGTTTGGATCATTGTTGTACAGTAATATAGGAAACACAGTATTTCCAACACCACAGCCTATTTCAAGGATCCTTGGGGCAACAATTTGATCAGGTTCATTCTTTAACTGATTATCACTATCATAGTTCTGCACGTCTGGAAAATCTCTGAGCGGCCTGTCTTTGTCTTTTTCAACATCGTTTGGTGCCAATTCTGGAAATTCAGTGAAGAGCCAGTGTCTATCTTTGAAAAACCTACAATTAGAATGTCACTTCAAGGCTCAAAGCAGATTGTTGTGTAATCACATTTAACAACCTATTTTGATGAATGTCATAGAACTTGTCCCAATATTTACTTGCATCCGTTTCATATTTAGTTATCTCTTGGATAGAAACACATACTTTGGAGTTTTCCTTTACTTTGCGTTGAGCTGCCTCCTCTTGTTCTTTGTCCCAGGTAACATTATCCCTATAAAAATTAATTGGCAAATTGGTAGATTTGTCAATTTCCTGTATTATAATTAAGCTCGTTCATTTGGAAATAGGATCAAATATTGTTTTGCACCCAAAGAATTGTTAAAATAAATAAAAGCAAAGTTTGATGAACTAACTAACAGTCTTAAGTTTGTAAAGTGATTTTTCTGAGTGTTTAAAATTAGGTCAATAATATAAACAGTGTACTGAAAGTAGAATTTTTTAGGTTAAAAGCAAAGTAGTAAGCTTTCAGCGGTAAGCGCACGCGTGTGATTTGGTGAAGAATACCATGCGTTATGCTGGAAAACGTCATCTTGATTTATGAGAGTTCTGTTTCCGAATTGCTGCCTTTTATTAACAGGTAGTTCATTGGGAACGTGAAGATTAGTCGATGCCTCGGCCATGTTAATTTCAGCGACTGCTTCAGTGAGCTGCGTATAAACAAGCTGCCTTAGGAGGAGACGAGAAGAAGCATGAAAGAAGCATGTGCGCCTGGCTACACAGTGCTGCCTCTATACCTATACACCGGCTGATAGGCGATCGTCTCGTTTTGAAAATTGATCGACTCGAATTCGACGAAGTAATGAATTGCAATACGCTATTGTGTCATTAGCAACATTGTCATTCGCAAAGTCAATCAAAAAGTAGTTTGATGTTTTCTTACGGTTGATCATTTAAAGCTATACTCGAAGCTATACGTATCTATCGAATTTATAATTATGAGCATTATTAGATAAAAATAACGGTGCACCTGGGTTAACGATCGTTCGATTGCAACAAGTAGACAAAAAAGAGAAAAAAGTAAATTGCTAAGTGCGTGCGCAAGAAAAGTCGGCTAAAGGGGTAAAGGCTCGTAGGTAAAATTAGCCATTAGCACAGGATGCGAGGGTAGAAAGAAGGAGAGAATATGCGGCAGCTTCACTGCTGCAGCTATAGCGGCTTCGATGGTTCGTCTCGTCTCCCTCTTCTTCAAGCCCCTTCGAGGGAGAAATCGATAGCTCGTTGGTTTCTCTCTCGCTTTCTTGGTTTGTTCCAGACCGTGAAAGAGACTCCCAGTAACCCAAACGTTACACAGCGCCTCCGAATCGATCGAGAGCTTTCAGAGCGACTTTGTCCGTACACGGTACACAGTTCTATTGACACATGGAATTTAACGTTCGACAACTCCGGAGCGACGACTTACTGGCTGGTCAAAGATGATCGGTACACTATCGAATTGCCGCTAAATTTTGTAGGGCTATATATCCGCGCGTAAGCGGCGGCAGCTGTAGCAACAGAGCATCTGGCCGAACCTCCCATAGGGATAACAGTCGGTGAACGTGTTCCTCTCGATTGCTGTTCTAGTGCCTGTCATGAGAGTCGTGCCCAAATGAGACGAACAGGAGGTGGCACCAGCAGAGGCACGCTGCGCGAGTTTGCTCGGAGGCCGAGGGGCGAGGCGACGACGAATGGGAGTTGGGCGCTTGGTTACGGGGTGGTTGCCCTCGTCTGCACTTTGCGGGCAATGCCCGCTCGATAGCGTGGCTTAGGTTTCGCAGTGTCGCGCAGTGGCGAGCGGGCGCGCCCCGACGCCTTACCAACGGTGCCTGCAACGCCGAGGGGCCAGCGAGCCGAGGCCGAGTGCCGCCAAAGTCTGACTCTCCGCTCGGCCGCGGCAGCCCTTTACATCGTCCACCAATGCCAGAGCGCGCATCCCTATAGGCATGGCTTGTATGTGGGCCAGCGCTAATGCGGCACGGGGCTGCGCCGCCAAAGGCAACACGAAGATCGCCCGGCCGACGACCTCGGCCTCCCTTTCGCACGCTGCTGCTACCCCCTTGCCTACGCAACGCTCCGGTTCTCTCTCCCTCTCTCTTTGCCTGCCTGCCTGCCTGCCTGCCTGCCTGCTAGCCGCCGATCTCTCGCCCTTTTTTGCTGCGTAGTTGCTTCCGCAGCTCCCTTATTGATCGAACCGAGTCGAGTCGAGTCGAGTCGAGTCGAGTCGAGTCGAGCCGAGCCGAGCCGAGCCGAGCCGAGCCGAGCCGAGCCGAGCCGAGCCGAGCCGAACCTAGCCGAGTCGGGCCGATCCTGCGTAGCACATGCTCTTGGCATGGAAGTGCAGCGGTGTACTCTCTCTCTCTCTCTCTCTCTCTCTCTCTCTCTCTCTCTCTCTCTCTCTCTCTCTCTCTCTCTCTCTCTCTCTCTCTCTCTCTCTCTCTCTCTCTCTCTCTCTCTCTTTCTCTCTCTCTCTCTCTCTCTCTCTCTCTCACTCTCTCACTCTCTCACTCTCTCTCTCTGTCTCTGTCTCTGTCTCTGTCACTCTCTCGGAGGGGGAGTAGCATCTATTTATGCGGAGCGCGCGAGTCGGGTTGCGAGCCGCGAGAGGCAATTGACCGCGCGCCGAGCGGCCTTGACTTTCTGGCGCCCGAGTCTAACGGACTGGCGCCTAGCTCGTCGCCCGGCTGGGCCTCCGCCCGATTTCCTGCGTACTCGGCAGCGAGGCTAGCTTGCAAGCGCGATTTTCGCACCAAGAATTGGATGTTGGCCGAGGCTAACGGCCTTGACCTCGTGCGCGCAACGCGCCACGGCGCCTGGCTCCCGGAAATAGCCGGAGCCGTGCCCGCCTCGCGCGCCACAGTTCACGACCTCGTCTGCGGCTTCTTCTCCGCTCCCTGGTTGTCCGCATAGGCGTGTCCCCGTCTTCCATCGTGCGTTCAACTCACTCGACGCGCTCGGCTCGCTCAGCTATCCGACCCTCAGATGCTCGCCTCGCATCGGCTGTCGATCCGTCGCCTAATCTGCAGCCGTTTCTCCGCCGAGTCCAAATTCGTCCGCGAACGTGGCTCGCAAACTGATAACGCCATTGCTTGGGCGGCCAGAAAGCGAATGGCCCTCCTCGTGGCGGACAAATTGATCGGTACCTCGTCGAAGCCCCCACAGCAGCACGGCGGCAGGCTAACCGACCCGTTTCCGAGCCCTCAGCCCCTCCCGTCGGTACAAGCGATTTCAGACAACGTGCCGACCTCGCCTTACTTCACCTGCTCTCCATTCGCATGCCGCGCGAGGCTACAGCGCATTCCAAGCTCTCACCTTACCCTCGCACACTCGCGTTCGCCATGTTTGTTGCCTTCATTCAACGGCGCAGCTGCTTCTACTACTAAGAGTCTCATCTGTAAAAGCAGCGCCTCTGCAGATTAGTAGATCTGTCGCAGCACCCTACACTAGTCGTACTCTGCGACGCACGAAAGAACCTGCAAGAAGCTAACAAGCTTCACAGTGGCTTTAGCGTTAACGATCGTTGCGAGGCGAAATAGCAGCTCTCGGGGCCCAGAGCAGCTCTGTTATACCGCTTGCTAGGGCCGAGGGCACGGTGATTAGCGGCCACGTCGCTGCAACCGCGCCACGAATTGCCCGAGCCGGGGAAAGTGGACAGGTGCGGCTGTTGACTTCACCGCACCTCCCCGCGTTTGCCACCGCCGCCGCTGGCTGTCGCCGCACGTTAACGTTAATCCATGTACGCGAGCAAGAGTTTTCGCGCAAGTGCGTGCGTTTGTGTGCGTGTCCGTGCGCTAATGTCTGGTGAGTGGTGGGCCGACCGGTGGCGCCGCCTGCTGACAAATTTTTCTCGCGCCCCTCCGCTGCCGTGCGAGATGGTGTGCACTCGTGTCTATGTGGATGCGTAGCATAGTCTGACTGCTCCGCACTATCCGACTATTTTCTTCCCACCTTGGATTGTCCAGCAATTCGTGCTCGGAACCTCCGGCAGAGTTTGAACGCTCGACCGAACGAGTGAGTACTTAGTTGAGTAGCTAACCGGGCATTTCGTATCCACAGAGTCGCTTTTTTTCGAGCGTGCTCGAGGTGAGTGTAGGGTCGCAAATGTGTGCGTATGCATGTGTATGTGTGTGGGGATACTATGTGTGTGTGGCACTGGCTTGTGACTGGCTGGCCGTGTCGGCACTTCCCCTCGAACGCCTATTCGGGCTGTCTCTGTCGCTCTCTTAGCACTGGGCTCGGCGCGGCTGCTGCTGGCAGCGCTCGGCCGCCACGAGTGTGTAGTGGAGGAGACGCCGCGCTCGCGCGATCTCGCCCCCGGTCTCTGTGCCTGTCTCTCTCTCTCTCTCCTCTCTCTCTCTTTCTTTCTCTCTCTCTTTCTCTCGGTCTGTCCGTGCCTGTGTTTCTCTATCGCTTCTCCAGCGGTAATTCTACAGTCCGTCTGTCGTGTCGTTGGATCAGAGTGGATCCGCGCTTTATCAAGACTCGGTACGCGGCTCTTACTCCTTGTCACGTCCAGGCAGCTATACGCATATCCAGCCATCTCAAGTAGTGCCAGTGAACCATAGAGTGCTGTGCTAGATTTGCGCTTTGCGCGTGTTAGGTTAGTTGCGAGAGTTCAGCTGGCTCAACCGCCTTGGCTCCTGCGTTGATGCTTTCTACTTGTTTGTCGGCGATGCTCTCTCCCTTCCTTTAGCTATGCATACATGCATCTAATCGCTGGCAAGTATCGTTTGCGAGTGTCGATCATTGGCACTGTGGTTATCTGTGGTGTAGTGTAGTGCAGTGTGAGCAGTTAAGTGTACGTATGTGTGCGCGTATCCGCGGAGAAAACAGCAAAACCGTGCGACTATTCGGCGGATCGGGGACTCGGGGGAACAGCGTTTTCTCCATTCACGCGGTTCATTCACTCCGGAATCGAAAGCAGCCGAGATATTCGAGCGGAGTCCAGTACGCTCCTACGTGTGCAGACATAAGCAGCGTTCTCTCCTTCTCCCCTTACCTCTTCCCCGCCATCTGCCCTCGTCTTTCCCCTCTCGTTCTCTCGCGCTCTCTTTCTCTCTCTGTGGCATGTGTGCATCGGCGCGCGGCTCCCGATGACACACCCTTAAATACTCTCCCTCTCCCTCTCGGCGGCGGCGGCGGCGGCGGCGGGCGGCTGCTGCTGCTGCTGCTGGTGCTGCTGCCGCTGCCGCTGCTGCTCGCCGCTGCCGCTGCCGCTGCTGCCGCTGCCGCTGCCGGCTGCTGCGCCGCTGCTGATGCACTCGCGGCCGAGCGAAATCCGTGGCGCGCGTCTTCTCGCGAGAAAGTGCATTGGCGCAGGTGCAGGCTCGTAGCCAACTCGCGAGTCGCAGTGCGTATGTGTGTGCGTACGCGCGTGCGTCGTAGAGTCGTAAATCAGTGCGATTCGCATCCTAGCGATCGAGCTGCACGTGAAAAGAGCATCGCCGGCACGAGTAGGGAGCACGCGAACATTGCGCGTGGTTTGTGTTGCGTGGAAATAACTGTTTGATGTGTTTGTTGGTTAGCTCGGGGACTTGATCCGAGAAGGAGGTGCGGCGATCGGCGGCTGCCGCTGACGCTCGCGCTCGACAGACGTCATCGGCGGCGGCAGCGGCAGTGAAGCGGAGAGAGAAAAGCCAGCCGCAACAGCAGCCGAAGACGCGAGCGCACGAGTGCGCGAGGAGGTGCGGGCAGCGCGCACGCTCCCAGCCTGCAGACGGAGCGGACAGCCAACTGGGCGTTGCGGACTCGCGAGAGCGCTGCTAGGATGTCCGTCAGAATGGAGAACGTGGCCGCGCCGAGGAAGCTCAACTACAAGATGATGGTGAGTAGCGCCCCTTCACGTGCACCTCTCCGCGGCGAGGCGGCCGGCTGGCGGGCCGCTCGTCGAGAGCCTGCCCCACCCAGTCGGCCGCTCGCCGGCGCGTGCCCCGGGAGCGCGCCCCGGCCACGGCGTCGATCGGCCGGTCGGGCCGCGCGGCACGGGAAGCCCGAGGAAGGTAGCCGGGCCGCGCTTGGCTGCCTCGAGTCGAGGCGAATCAGCGCGACAGGTGCGAGCGGCTATCGATCCCCGCGAGCAGCAAGGTTTCGGCCAGCGGCGGGAGTCGTCTGGTCGCGCAAGCGCCTGCGCCCAAGTCCGCTCGACGACGCCCTTTCGCGCGCCTCCGCTCTCGCTCCGCCCAGCCCGCTCGGCACTGCGGTTGCCGGCAGCACACTTGGCCTGGCCGCCGACAACCGCTGCCACAATCGCTTCTCCGCACCTGCCTGGCCTGCTGCTGCTGCTGCTGCTGCTACTACTCGTTGCGCACCTCCTCGCCCACTCCGGCCCGCGGAGCGTGCTCGCGATCACCCGGCATCGGACTCTGCCACGCCTACGCTTGCACCGCGTAGGCACGCTGCTCGGGATCGCTCCGCGAGCCAAGTCCCCGCCGGTCGGGATCTCGACGGGCGCGAATGTGGACCAGGCCGGAGGCTGTCCCTCGCAGTTGCCGCAAGCTTGCGCGCATCCGGAACTCGAGGTTACGGCAATGGGTGTGGAGTCCAGGCCAAACCTCGACGAGGACGCATCGTCGTCGAACGTAAGCGGCGAGTGCTTGTCTTACAGGGACCGTCGCGCACCGCGGCGGACAAAGCAGCTCGCGGCTATAAATAGAGCCGCTAGTGCACGAATTCCAGTCAATGTCGCGATAAAGTTGGCTGTACTGCGCGCCGCCGCCGCGGTGCAGACGAGAGAGCCGAGCACGCGGATGCCGTTAGCCGGCGTGGCCTCATTCGCAGACGTTCCCCCCGCCCCGAGGGCACCTCGAGCTCCTTTTGCCCACGACTCGGCCGGAGAATCGCAGCCCAGCGGTGGCCTGGGGCAAGCTCCGATCGGGGGCGCGCACCGAGGGCCAGCTTCAGTCTCCCCTCGCGGGTGGTTCGCGAGCCCAGCGCGCATTTGCCCTTCGCGCTGCCCCAGTCGCGGTTCACCTTGGCTGCGAGCGGCAAGCGAGCTTGGCCGGAGGACTGGCTCTTCTTTCTTCGAATCGATGGGCGACGAGTGGAGGAAGAGGAGCAGGCGGCGAAAGAGAGGCAAATCGCGGAGGCGCTGCTGTCGCCTTTCGATCGATTTTCTCCGAGTCGCGACGACGAGCGCCGCCGTCGACCGCCCCGCGCCGTACGCACGGGTCGGGCTGCGCTGCCCGTGGAGCGCAGCGCGGACCGACGCCTGCTAATAATAAACGCTGCAGCCGGCGAGCGAGCGCCCGATCTGCCAGCCGCAGCCGGAGCACGGGCTCGAGGCTGGCCGCGCGACGCCGCTCGGCGAGCTCCCCGGCACCTACCTCCAGCCGCTCGCGCACTCGACCTGTTGAGCGCTTGTAGCCCCGCTCAACCCGGGCCACGTCCTCGTGACTTTGAGCTGAGCTCGAACGCTAGACAACGATAACGACCTCTGCGCCCGTTTGCTCTTGTTCCAGGTAAGTCCCGCGGCCGGGGTTTCGCTCGCCACGAGCTGCCACGACGCGGAGCGCGGCCGTCCTCTCGGGTCGATTTGAGAAATGCTTCTAGTCCGTTGCACTCGGCTGCAAGTCGTCGTGGATAGCGCGTCGCCGCGTGCCCGCAGTTTCTAGCACACAAGTAGTGGCCGGGCGCGCCGGCAGCGGATGTGGAATGTTGCTTGAAATGCATCTGCCTGCTTTCGAAGGCGTTTCCGGGGGCGCGCGTCCGAGACCGAAAGCCGGATGAAGAGGCTCTCGAGCTTCCTTCGCCGTGCTTCTACACAGAGTCGCTGCTGCTGCTGCTGCTGCTGCAGTCGGCCTCATCGATTTTGTCACGGCGTGTCTGCGAATCAGCTGACAGTCAACGCCAGCGTGCAGTGATTCCGACGGGCTCTCTCAATCAGCGATGATTCGATCGGATTGGTTTGCCATAGAGCTGCGAGGAGGTGCGCCGAGTGTTCGGTGGCAGTGAGAGCGAGCGAAGCGCTCGGTAAGCAGGAAGCAGCATCGCATCCGGTCGCTCGTGGAGCGTGCGCGTCGCTCAATTGCCCTCTCTCTCTCTCTCTCTCTCTCTCTCTCTCTCTCTCTCTCTCTCTCTCTCTCTCTCTCTCTGCTCTCTCTCCTCTCTCTCTCTCTCCTCTCTCTCTCCTCTCTTCTTCTCTCTCTCTCTCTCTCTCTCTCTCGCTCTTTCTCGCTCGCTCTCTCTCGCTCTTTCTCGCTCGCTCTCTCTCGCTCTCGGTCCTCGGATAATCATCTGTGTAATACTCTCCCTCTGCTCGCTCACTACCGCGACACGCACGCTCGCGGATCCGACGAGAGGCAGCTTCGATCCGTTACTGACGGTCGTTGATTTGCCATTTCGGCAGTAGAAGAGCAGCAGCGTCGCGATCCGCGGGGTCAACGCTCCCGGGACGCCGCGCCACGACCGTGCGACGATGTAACATGCGATCGATCCCGAGCCGCTCTGCCATCCCTTACTCGCCACGGCAGCTCGTCCGTGTCCTCCGATGCCCTGCGTTCGCGGCCTTTGCCTTTCGCGTCGATCGACTTGATTCGAGTTCCTCGCCAAGTCCCCGAAGCGGGCCAGCGTTTTCCAGAACTGGCTCGCGGACTGGCGACCAGACGTGGCGGGTGGTGAGCGACACTCGAACGTGCGGAGCGGCCGCCCTCTCGAGGGAGCGGCCATCCTTCCCTCTCTCTTGCGCCCCCCCCTCCCGGGCAGCCATCGCCCTCGTCCCTCGCTCCCCCATAGCCTAGTCTATTGATCGGATTCGCCACACATCAGGGCGCCTCGCTGCATCCTCCAATTGACGGCAATGGCCGCGTAAAGCACAGCGCAGAGGCCGCCGCAAAGCTGTTGGTCACTGCGCGCCGCTCGATGCACCCTGAACCATCGGGCGACGACATCGCCGACTCTGATGCGGCGCTCGGCCGCCTGACTGGCGCTTGCCCTCTTTTCAGCCGAGCTAACCTCAGCCGTCTGCGAGCACTCACCACGCACAGCAAAGCTGCCTCTGCAGCGACTGGCTACCTCCGTTGGTCGGCCAATATCAAGCTACTCGAGAGGCAGGCTGGAAGCTTCGCATCAAGCACTAAGTGGCACTTGTTTTGGTTTCAGGGTCCTAACGGACCGCGGCCGACGTACACAGGTGCGAACGGAGCCGGCGGCGGGACCGGAGGAGGCGGCGGTGGCTCCGGAGGTGGCGCCGGCGCCGGCAGCAGCACGGGCCAGGCCGGCGGCCAACAGCCGAGCGGCGGCGGCGGCCAGAGCAACGTCGGGGGCGCGGCGACGACTGGGGTCGGCGTGAAGAGCGCCGGCGGGCCGCGCGGCGGCGGCGGCGCCGGCGGGCCCGGGGCCTACCGGGCGAGCGGCGGCGCGGGCGGCGGGCCGACCTCGGGCGCCGCGACCACGGCCGCCGCCGCGGCCTGGGGGGCGCCGGCGCCCCAGCACGCAGCCGCGGCGGCAGCAGCTGCGGCAGCTGCCGCCGCCGGCTATCCGGCCTACTCGAGGTACCCCAATGCTGCGGCCGCCGCGGCGGCCGCGGCCGCTGCGGCCCAAATGCCCGTCAGCGCTCAGCAGATTGCGCCCAACCCGGCTAATCCCTACAGTGCCACCAGCTACGCCCAGCACGCGTCGGTCCGTACCTACCGCCCTGACCCGCCGACCCTCGCTCAACGCGCCTTCTTTCACTCTCTCTGTTGCAGTATGGCGGGCAGCGAGTTCCTACCGCCTCCTCTCCGGCCAACACTAACAGTAGTTCTAGCAGTGCCACGGGTAGTCAGAGCGGAACCATGAGTACTAACCTTAGCAATAACGCGATGCAGGGACAGCAGTCCGAGCAGCTCTCCAAAACCAACCTCTACATTCGTGGCCTCAACCAAAATACCACTGACAAGGACCTCGTCAACATGTGTTCTCAGTAAGTCTCTGACTTTATTATCACTTCTGTCTCTCGCCTTAGTCCCAATGTTAACGCTTGCTCGTTTCAGGTACGGAACCATCACCTCCACCAAGGCGATTCTCGACAAAAATACTAATAAATGTAAAGGTACTTCATTGGCATTTCTATTTTGCGCGTCCTCGCTCTCAACACAAACACACGCAGTCGCCACGCACGCACCTCACCTAACCTCCCCCATTTATCACAACAGCATCCTCGATGGGTCATTGCAACTAGCACTTGTTTTAAGTAGTCAATCGTGCGATTTCTATTTGCTATTTTTGATATCACATCGAGAATAGAGTGGTGTGCTTCTCCGCGAGATATCAAGGAGTGTAGCATTTTTACGGGAAAAATCAGTAAATTAAGAAAACCTGACGGCACGATATTACAAAAAATGTTCGATCATTCAATGGTTTGGTTCCAAATTTTCCGAATAAAAGAACTTCCGCAAATTCATAAACGTAACTTGGTACTTTGCAGGAGTTCGATCATCGTTTACATAATTATAGTCGAATAGCTCGTTGTAGAATACATTCAAACCTTACTTTGATTTTCATCGTCTTTGAATGTACAAGTAGTCGACATGATTTAGTTAATGACGATATTTATATTTTTTAAATGACTTTCAGTTCATTCAAACTGAATTTTAATTGACCTTAGTAGCAATGACAACTTTTATGATGTTTTATGATGTGCACCAAGGTGTCCCGAATTCTCGGTGTACTCCATACGAATGATTGAATGGCCCAGCTAGAGCGACGATATGTAATGCAGAAATGTTTACTTTTCAGGTTACGGCTTTGTAGACTTTGAGTCACCGGTAGCGGCAGAGGGTGCTGTCAAAGCCCTGGTCGCCAAGGGTATCCAAGCACAGATGGCGAAAGTGGGTATCTGGTTGATCCGTAGACTGGCCAGTGTACGTTGGTTGTGCATGCAAGTACAGTAATACCAGAGTAACAGTAAACCTTTCTCTTATCTTTCTATGCCTCTCAACCTCTCGTCTCTCTCTCTCTCTCTCTCTCTCTCTCTCTCTCTCTCTCTCTCTCCTCTCTCTCTATCTATCTCTCTCTCACACACTCTCTTCTTTTCTATATTTATCTTTCCGCTTCCTCATATCCCTCAACATGTTTCCTATCTATTTTCCTACTGCCTAACCTTGCCACTATTGTCTCCAATCTCCTTATGACAATACAGGATGAAATACAGCAATCATAATAATCACTATAACAATAATAATCGTAATAATATTAATAATATTAATAATATTAATCATATTAATAATATTAATATGACAATATATGCAAAGGATAGTACTTATAATTTTTATAAACGCTCCAAATAATTTTGTATCAAGTTTTTTCTAATTACTCATTTATTTTTATAGTTTTTAGATATGTTTGATTCATAAACTGTTATTATTTTATCAAGAATTTGTTCAAACCTTAAGAAATTACAGTACTTTCAATCTGCAAAAATATACAATAACATTCTTGTACAATCATAGATATCCAATACAAGCCCTTTATTCTCTTATCTGATATACAAATCTGTTGCCAATTCTTCAAATCTGTCTTTACTTATCTCACATTACCTGCCAACCTGTCAATGCTTGCTGCTGTACCTCGGCCACATTTGCTGACTACTGCTATGTTGAACACAACCCAAGTCATTACGAAAAATTGTACTTATTTGGCATTGATTCAAACTCGCGCGGATCAAACAGACGTATTAATTGTCACTTCAAATTCAAATAAATTAGTTACTAGCTAGTTCACTCAATGGCTTCTGCCATAAAATGCTTAACAAGAAAAAAATTATCATTATGAATGTGTGAATTTATCATTATTGCGTGATATTGACATCTTCAGACCTTTTCAACAGTGACTGTCGTTTGTTTTCAATGCTTAAATCAGATTGGATAAAGTTTTTTGACGCCACTAATTTATTTAAAGGAAACTTCACAATCTAATAGTATCTTATTAATGGACTTCATTTTGTCATGGTCTAACTTGTTTGAAGTATGGCAGCATAGACAAATTTTGAACATGTAAAGATGACAATTAATAAAATTTCGAAATAGCGAATAGTAGAATCTACCAACAATGAAATGGTGTGAAAAATAGCAGGCAAATAAGAAAAGAATTTCAATGACGAGTTACGCAGATAACAAGTTTTCATAACTTTCATAATTTGAGTAAGACTAACTCGGAATGGTTTTGCTAACTGCAACATGTGAAAGCACGAAGTACCACTTGTGATCATCTAATAGAATGCATGTAACTGCATTTAACAACAAAAAATACCCTAATAATAACGGATAGTGCGGATGCATCTGTTCACTATTTTTTACCAAATGGTACGCGGCCATGAGTCTAATGAATTCTAACAATAACTCTGTTGCATACTTTATTACGAATGCCCGGAAATTAAAGCTTGTATTTCAAGGTGTAGGTTGGCTGTAAATTGCATAAGCATTGCTTTGTCCATTTTAGCTCAAAATAAATTTCCAACAATGTACAACCAACTGTTAAAATTTTATGAGAATTAGGATAAAGATGTAAATAATATCGTACAAGACGTTTGGACAACTTATTACATTCCGTTGGTTCGTCTCAAAGAAATGTTGATTATTAGTAGATTATCGTATACTATTTTTCGATACTCCGTGTGCAAAGTGCGTCTTTCCCGCACACTCGGCAGAAAACGTACGTTGAAAATCGCACTTTCCACGTCGTATCAAAAAATACGATACGGCACATGTTCGGGAAAGAGTTTCTCGTTTCGTGTACCTTTCCACCCTCGTTTCGCTCGGGCGTATACGTCACACGAGACAAGAATCTACTTTCTCGCACTTGTATCGTAATGTACTATTACACAATGACATTCTTTGTATGTTCCATGCTGAAGTATTCGTCAAATTTAAAAGTAAAGCCAAATTGTCGCAAAGTAAAAGTACAATGAAGTAACTGTAAACCTGATTGAGACTTGGATTGAAAGAAATGGTGGATTTCAAAATGTGCTTGATTGTCTTTCTCGCGTTTACTCTTCGCTTGAGACCGAAATGCGATATTTTTTGTCTTTTATTTACCTTTTGTTGTACTAGTTCCATTGTATCATGTTACGATGTTCTCGTGCCTATTCCTCGTGCTATTATTTTTTTCTATATACTATCTATAAATATGTTTTTTTTAATATTATTTATGTTGTTTCTTGCTATCAACATTAACCTTGTTTCATTTCCTATACGTTGAATAGATTTTCAGTGTGCTTCAATTATCTAGCTTGAGTTTATCGGAATGTTGTAAAAAAATCCAACTAGAAAGATTTGTCTACTATAGTCTATAGCTTTTGATGGTTCGTAACAGTATTTGATCTCTCTTCGTACACACGTAGAAAAGAAATTATTAAATGTAAAATTTCTCACAAGAAATCAATTCTGTTAAAATACTTATTGGAAAATAAATTTAAATCTTGTGCATTAAACACATCGTGACGTAGAATTAAGAATTTCATTTGTAGAAAGTAGAACTCTATTATTTCTCTTCAGTTGACTTTTCTGTTTCACTCATATCAGATAAATCTTATTTGGAAGACCACCAGAACGTGGTAACGTAATGCAATGGAGCATGATGACATATTTTTTGTTACATTAAACACGACAAAGTCTTATAAGTATACCTTATAATGTATCTGAAAACGTTACTGTGTCCGCCATTGTTTGCGTTTTTTGCAGTCTCCAATACTTATATAGTTACATCGAGTACTGTCATAGCTTATTGGTCTTCCTTTTTTTGTAGCTTTCATTGCTGTAGATTTAACGTTTTGTTTGGTTTTATTTCCACTTGTTATCACGATAACGTGAAGTGCCAGATTTTACTTTCCCTTGTTTTTTCCACGATTTGATAATGTTTTATTGCTTTATGCGTTTCAATTGATTTCGACGATTTTATTTATACTTTAAATTAAATTTTGGCAGAAACGACATTTCAAAGTGAACAATGTGACGGCAATTGGTTAAAAAAACAATAACAATGGGAAAGCGATTTTCCCTACAAGCTAATATTACCAAGCTTGAGATGTCGATAAATTTTATATTTTATTTATTATTTGGTAGAAATGACACTTAAGCAGCGCGAACGCGCGCTAGCGAGGCAATCGACAATCCATTGCATAGCTTTTTTGTGATTTTCTCAACAGCAACAGGAGCAGGATCCGACAAATTTATACATTGCAAATCTGCCACTGTCCTTCAAAGAAAATGATGTTGAAGCATTATTAACTCAATACGGTCAAGTTATCTCCACGCGTATTCTACGCGACACTTCTGGACAAAGTAAAGGAGTCGGATTTGCAAGGTATATACTCTCTACTGTTTATTCAAGAATGATTCAACTTGTCTGTTAAATAGGTAACAGTTTTTTAATATGCACTGGTCGTTTGCAGGATGGAATCCAAAGAGAAATGCGAGCAGATTATTCAGATGTTCAATGGCAAAGCGCTGCACGGAGCAAAGGATCCTCTGCTGGTGAAGTTCGCTGACGGCGGTAACAAGAAGAAATCTCTGTATAAGAGCACGATATGGAGAGAGCAGGGTGACATGAGTAATTCGGTAAATGTAATTTCGAATTTCAATTAATCCTACTTGTTACGTTAATTGTCAAATACCCGTGTTAATGGTCCGCGCGTCTACGTGTTTTCTTCATTTGCAGAATATGACATTGAACTACGACACAACAGCGGTTGGCCAAAACGGAGTGGCGACGGCTCACATGCTGCCAACTGCAACTCTTGCTCAGTACGGCCGACATTACAGTCAAGCTATGCCTGGTTACAACGTGCCGGGAGCACCCTGGGTCACACCCTACCTCGCTCTACAAACTCCTCCTCACATGCAACAGGTCGACGTGAGTTTTTGTATCTTAGGACAATTTGCCAATTCGTCGCGTTGCGCTTTTTTCGTCTTATATGTGTCTCTCGATACCGACGTTACTATTAATGAATTTTTTTATTTAACACTTATTTGCTCAGTACCCCGCCCCCGTCTCTCTCTCTCTCTCTCTCTCTCTCTCTCTCTCTCTCTCTCTCTCTCTCTCTCTCTTTCCTCCACTGATTCTCTTAACCTAGGCAATTATTACTCTACCTGAATGTCATTCTCCATATTGCTCTCTAAACTTTGTACTTTCCTATACCAAATAGATGATGCCATCGGCCGACCCGAGTAACCCACAGTATAGCATGATTCCACAGCTTACCACTCAGATGTCTACATTACATCTTGGCACTGGTTCCGTAAGTACTACTCACTGATTCATTCGCTAGCCATCAGCTGCTTCACTCATGCGATAATGATCTGTCTCAACAGTATATAAGTCCACATCCATACCCATACACGACTTACCCGGCTCCCAGCATCATACACGCTCCGATGACTCTTGGTGACTCCGAGCAGACGAGCAACGCAGCTTCACCGGACGACTCCTACCAACAATACCAGGCTCAGCAGCCCAAGTAGGCTACAAATTTTCTAGGTTAGGCCAAGTTTTAGCAATTAGAGTCAGTGCCGTCAATGTTATTATTACAAATTCGGGAGAATAGGTTATCTTAGGCCTAATTATTATATTTTTTAGCTTAACCCTGCGATTGGTCTCCAACATATATACGTCTAACATTGCTCTTTTTTTGCAGGTTTAACTATGCGGAAGGTTATACGAGTTAGGCAAGATATGCTTGCCAATATGGAGAGTTACATTGAAAATAAGAGATAACAACAACAAAAACACAACATTGATGAGAAAAAACAAACAAACAAAAAGCAAAAAAAAAAGAAAGGAAGAAAGAAACCGACGAATAGGCAAGAGCAAACAGATAATGCATTGAGTAAAGTCAGAAATGAATCCTCCTAACAATAAATTGACTTACCAGCCATCTTTTATACATTTTATCCAGCAAGATAAAATAGGTGAAAGTAGTTGAATATTTTGCAACGATTAGAGAATGATTGAATGTTGATCTTGAGATTAGGAGAGCGAGCAGGGACAAAACGATACTCGCAATGTTGATTTATGTATGTCATGCTATACACACAAACAAAAGAAAATTAAAAGAAAATTCAGAAAAAAAAAATGATAAGAAAAAACGGCACGACGGCCACACAAAGCGCCAACACACCGTATGGTTAATTAGCGATAGCTGATATAGGCAACGGGGCAGTCATAGACGTCAAGCTGATAGGCTTCCAGGATAACTTTAGGTATTACATACTAAGGAAGACGTAAATAAGTCGTCGAAACTAAATGCTTGAGAGAGTGTGAATAAATATTTTAACAAACTGGAAACTATAAAGAAGAAACGCTGCTTAGAAATATACAAAGAAAATGAAAAATCTTCCCATGTTTCAAGTTTCAGAAAAACTCAAATTCTAACTCGTAGTTGATTGTTTGCAACAAGACTCGTAGAATTTTTCCAAAAAGAAACTCGTTATCCTTATCAATAACATGCCTTACTATACAATTTTTACCTTTTTATATTGTTCACTGGCTACTTTATTAGAACAAATTTTGATACAGTGCCTTTATTGACCTTTGAGTCCTTTAAATACGCGGATTTCTATCTATATAATCATCTGTGTAAATTATCGTTGTGATCTTATTTTGTCGTATTTATGCCAGTTCTTCATCTCTTTAAACCCATGCTCACACTTTCCACATCTATACTTTTGTCAAGTCGTAATAATCATTAAAAAATTGCAATTTTCAATGTTAATTTTATTTAATATCTATTTAATAGATATATTATCGTATTTATTGTAAAGAGGTCAATTGGTACGGGTTGTTTAGAAAGATCATAACAAATCGGTAAGGTGCTAGTGAACAGTTTTTAAAAGAAATACAAAGATTGATAACATTTGATCGTAGCTTTTCTATTATAGCAGTATGAAAGGATTTCGAGTAATTTTATAAAACAAAGTGTAACAATAGTTAAACTTGAATTTTTCACGAAACTTGAAAAAGGTCAGGGCATAAGCCAGTAAAAGTGCCCTTAGTTTATTTTGGATCGTTTGGAAAAAGAAAGCTAGTCTTTGTGAAAGATAATGTGGAGGTTTAGATAGAGTCTTTTAAAGAAAGGAAAAAAGTAATTGAATAACAAAATGGGCAGATATAAAAGTATATGAAGAACGCCTGTGAAAAATAGAGAATATTTGAAAAAGCGATCTGCCTATTAACATGATACAGACTGCTGATACACTGTTAAATTGTAAAAAAATATCTGCACACATGTGCTGCGAGTGCACGTTGCATCGAAGCATGTACAGATCTGTTGATTTTATCACGTAACATTCATGAATCGGATCATCTAAAATGATACGCCAAAAATAAAATTATTAAAATTAAAAACATAAAAATAAATTTTGTTGATATCAAATTTGTCCCTTTTTATTGCTCAGTAAATAAAAGTCTGAATTGAAAAAAATTAAATTTTAAAACTTAAATTTTTCTTCACTCAAATTATGCAACTACAGTTTTTTGAAAGGGACACGAGACTCACTCGCGAAGTATTCTTTGAGGCAGATATCTTATAAAAAAACTCTATGCACTTATGAAGGATACTGCGAATTAAATATTTTTAAAAACTATAGATTTTTTATATTTTTATGCAAATTTTTAGAGTTGATATTATTAGGATTAACCTTCATTGTAACGAATTGTTCTATTTTAAAGAAATCGAAAATATAAAACGAAATCCCGGCTAGATAATCGATATAATCGTGTATCAGACAGAAGATGTATATGAAATTCTAAATTCGGCAAAATGAATTTTTTTCTCAATTCAACGTCTTGTACAACATCATTAATGGAATATAACAAATTTTGTTCGGAAACCAGGATATGTACATTGTACAAGCACGTCTTGCCTGACGATACATTCATGTCAAAGTTAGTGTAATCAATGTAAATTCCTGAACGAAGAAATCGATAGAGTAAGGCTTAATCGACAAAGTAGGTAAAACGGTTCGACTGAAACGTACGTAAGGCAAGATGGTCTAGAAACGATTCAGTATTAAATAAGAACGTCCCGCATAAACATTAGACGTTACACATTCCCCCACATTATCCTGAAGCAGCGCAATGCATTTACGGTGTCCACCTAAAGTAATGACTTAGGTTAAAGGTAAAAAGAAACAAGACTGGGAAGTAGCGTGTTACGTGTGAGTCAGTAGGCAAACCTTTTAAATTTCGAAGATTTTCTTAGCGCCCTTAGAGTGTAAAATGTGATATTTTTCACGAGAAAAAAGAGAGAAAGAGGTTGAGAGAGAGAGAGAGAGAGAGAGAGAGAGAGAGAGAGAGAGAGAGAGAGAGAGAGAATGCGCGCACCACAAAGAGAGATGGATAGAATGAACGAGTGGAAAGCGAAAGAGTGTGAGAAAAAAAAAGAAATTTTTTGTGACCGGTCGATGAGCAAATGGACGTAGGCGAGCTTTTTCTTCCATGGAAAAAGCTTTGGCGTTGTATCGTTTAGTCTATCTGTTCATCAATATAAAAAAAGTGCTTTTGTTAAAGCGCTATCTAGCGAGAATAAAAGAGGAATTTTAAAAATCGGCACGGTGCAATGGAATTCATCGGATGGTTTATAGAAATAAAGACGATACTTTTGTGTCAAGGCTATTTCGAACCTTTCAATCAATTTCTTTTTACTTTTTCAACGCTTGTAAAATGTTAATCCTGTAAATATTACGAGTTACAAGTAAGAAACGAAATGACGTGTTACTATGTGAAAAATTTCTTTGCTTACGAAAATGATCCCTTCTGTTGGCTTCTGTGGATGAGTTTGCCTCTTATTATCTGATAAGCTGATTATTTTTTTTACTTCTACTTTTTGGCTTTTTCGTCTTCTTCTAAGTTCTTGTTGAATCACTGAGCGACAATGTGGGAACAACTGATATTTTTTTTGTGTTTACTATTTTTGATTATTTGTACATTGTAGATTGAATTAATAATTTCATACAGAAAGGTCTTTGTATAATCCACAGTTTTATGTTAGTTAATGACTGAGGATCACAACTTTTGCGCTGGTATTTTTTTGACATTAATAAAATAAATTATAGTAAGTAAATTTTTTCAAGTTGGTTATTCTATCAAATCAAAGAGCCCTGCAAATTTTGCATCAATTTAAATATATTTTTGTAATTTTAATTTTAATGCTTCGCATTTGTAAATAAACATAACACAACTTGTGCTGATTGTTGTTCTATATGAAATGGAACATTTTTTATTTACTAATTTTTAGATATTGCTTAAATACTTTGGAACTATAAATCTAGAATAATAATGAATTACTTTTATTTTAAATTCGTGAAAATGCAATTTTGTACATTTATGAATTTCTAATTTTATAATGTAAGATTAAGTTGACAATTAACTTAGCATGTAAATATACAATAGAATGAACGTTGAACGATAAAGAGACGGAAATTAGAGATAATAAATTATAATAGATTTTAATTTACAATAAAATCATAAGTACACTTTGAAAAACTAGATATTTATGTTTTTGTTTTGTACCTCTATCTCGCTTATATATGCCTATATCGCATATATAATTATAAAATTCATTCTAATGGAAGGCGTAAAATAGTCGAAGTTACGTCTTTTTTATTTGCAAATTGGAGATTCCCTATGATCTAATGCTTGTGGGGGGTACCTTTGGGATTAAACTGCTACACTTATTGGTGACGGCTTCTACGTATTTGTAAGGAGAGGCGCGTAATATAAGAAATAGATATGTTGTTTTACGCAAAAGTGAAAGTGAGAAGCTTTTTTCGACATATCATTAGTTAATTTTCATGATTGTAAGTAATATATGAAATAGATATTCACGTTTTTGGAATTTGCTATTTAGCAAAAATTATATATCATTGCGACTTCCCAGTGAAGTCTCAAAGTAACTTGCAAATGTTACGAATATGTGTGTGCGCGCGTGTGTGTGTGTGTGTTTGTATAAACTCAATAACAATATGTCTATAAAAATCATGAAAATAGACTAATATTTATCAGAAAGCCAGGCAATTCGTTCATTAAATCAGTTTCTGCTAGTAAAACTTTAAGATTTGAGTTGAGTAAGAGACTGGAGCCGCAAACTTTTGCAAAAAATTTCTAGAAAACGTTAAATGATTATTGATCTTTAAATGGATAACTTTAAGTTTTTCTTTAGAATAATCGTCTTTCGTTGACAGTTCATAAAATTGAAAAAAACGTTCAACGTAGTAAGTACAGCAAAATCAAACGCTGGATTCGACCACTTTTTCAAGTTTAATCAAGTGATAATATGGATTTTCAACGATTTATCGATAAAGCCAAGTGATAGAAATTTTAATTCAGCGTGTAATGAGTAACTCGAAAATTTGTCCAGCAGTTTTCTTAGTCTGAAATTACGGTATATCAGAGAATTTTTCGATTGATGCAGGCAATCGTTGAATGTACGGCAACTACTACGAGTATTACTCGTTCATCAAGACAACATCCATAAACTATAACTTGACTAATAATCATCCATGATTATACGCAATATATGACTGTCCCTTATTAAATCTTATAAGGAAAAATTTAATTATAATGGCTTCCAAAGAATTTTTATTGAATTTGTCTAGAAGGAAGCCTATTCTTGAAATAAACAATTAATCTCTATATCAATAAATGTACCATAATAAGAGTTTATAATATATGTGGGAAAAACTCGAGGCAATGAGCAACGGAAATTTGTGCATCTCCAGTTCTTATTTTTTTCGTTCGGCTGTAATGATTTCAAAATACCAAGTGCTAAAGTTAGTTCGGCCTGACAAATCTGACCGTGAGCTTAGTAACTTACAACCCGTGATATTTCGGACTTCTCATGAAGCATCTAGGGGAGAGAGGACACCTTTATCGGTTAATTGAGTTTTAATACTGAATGAATTGAGGTTAATGAAATTGTCAAAGTTGTTTGTATGCATTTAGTAAATTTTCCTTTCTGATTATCCACTCTTCCAGCTTCAGCATCCATCTATTACAATGGTTTGCAAATGATCAAATATCTAACAGAAACAGGATCGAGGAGATAATCAATTACTTGATACATAAACTTGAAATGGTTTCTTACAAAACCATACTTGAACATGCGACATAAATATAGATAAATACATTGATTTCGAGACGACAGTTAATAATCGCTAACGTCGCCAACTCTCGTATGTCGACGCGACGTGTACGTATAAAGATATTACAGATAGAGTAGGCATGCTTAAGGGAGTGTCCACACGAAATCCCTCTTCCTTCCTAACCTAACCCCGGGGCCGTCCGAGATTTTATTATATGCCCACGCCATCTCTATAATTACGAGGTGGTAAGTGTGAGATACGCATCTTAATCTATAAACTCAAAATTATAGAGATGACGTGCGCACACAAAAACTCGGACGGGGACGGCCCCGGGGTCGTGAAAGAAGAGGGATACCGTATGAACACTCCCTAAGGGGTGCTAGCTGGTGCTGGTAAGCGGAAACGTTCGACCAATGGAAAGAGAGGAAAGATGAATTTAGTATTGCGGTCTTTGTCTACTTTTGCCATTGCATACAATATATACGGTAAAGTCACGCATGTGCAGTAAATTGTGCAAGAGAAAGATAGAACTACCAATTTGATTCTCTTTCTCTTTTGATTCAGTGGACGCTTTCACTTACACGTATGCCTACTCTATCTGCAATATCTTTATGGTTTTTATCGTTATAGCACTGCTGTCGTATATGCGGTCATGATGCTACGGTCATTTTGGGTGCTGTATTACCGGTACCGCAGCTGTCGCTTCAGACCCCGGTCCCATAGCTACGTATGAATGCGGACGGATACGGACGCGAATCGCAACTCTAGTAACATCACTAAAAATATCTAGTTCGATTATTCAGTACCAACACTACCGGTAGTGAGCAAAAGTAACTGTTGTTTAAAACTGTAGCTCCGAACGTACCACATTTAATGTTCAAATGTCAGGTCTACAATTTACTTTTCAAATTCTCATGAATATTGCTTATTGATGAGTATGCTAATGTAATAAAAGCTTTTGGGATGATTAATACATATCATTTATATATTTTTTCTTCTTCTCATATATTCAAGTACTTCCATAAAATTAAGGCCTAATTCCACTAATTGTAGTTGAAAGTCTATCAATTCTCTATCATTTGCCATCTTATAGACTGCAATAATGTAAAGGTTAGATAAGCGTTCATTAAATGTGGTTCGTTCGGCGCTACAGTTTTAAACAACAGTTACTTTTGCTCACTACCTGTAGTGTTGGTACTAAATAATCGAACTAGATATTTTTAGTGATGTTACTAGAGTTGCGATTCGCGTCCGTATCCGTCCGCATTCAGGAGGTTCGGGACAGTCACCGGGGGGGGGGGGGGTAAGGGGAAAGTACCTATGCTTTAACATAGGATGAAATCAGTGGCGCAAACTGTAGATAACTGAATTCAATGTTCTGTATTATTGTACTTAGATGAGTATGAACTGGTAAAAATGATGAGAATTGAACATTCATCACAAGTATCTACTCCTAATATGAATTAGTCGTTAATTTTTATGTTTTTATTTGAATTATGAAAGTACGAATTGGAGGTAACGATCTGGCAACATAGCATACTTCGAAATTTATTTTTCTTAAGTTGTCTGCACTGCGTATGCGTGCACAGAGCAGGCGAGTGACACGATACGAGGCGGTTGGAGCAGCTGCGTGTACCTATCCTAACCTCCAGTTGTTTATATTGTGATTGTATCCAGTGGTGGGTAGGTAAATTATCGTAGGTAAAATACATAGTTTTTGACACGTAATTTACTATGTATATTACCTCTCGAACTTTCTGAGTTTTTGACAACACGTTTTGACATCTTTTCGGCCATCCCACGGCGATGGCGCGCCGACGCGGTGTGCCGGTACTGCTGGTGCGGTACCGGTCTAAGTCAGGTCTTTTAAAATCTGTTAGCAAAGCATGCCCTCTTCCTGCAAATCCATTATCCACGACACTTTTTGCTAACGAATTGCCGTTATGGCTATTACACGTTACATGCCAAATCCCAAGTTGACCCATGAGAATCATCACAGCTACACTGTCACTGATAACAACGTATATATTAATATTATATTTTTCTCTTGCCATCCCAATACATTCGTCAACCACTTGACGCAAAGCTTCCCCAGTTTCACGATGAGTACTGAAATTCCAGGTATTCAAAAAAATGTACTTTCTTCTCTGCATGTTGTCTAAACGAAACATGGCAACAACATTTTGTTTATTGGCCGCCTTATTTTTCCATCCGTCTATTAACAAAACTACATTATTTACACCCATATTGGCTATTGATTGCTGTAACTCGTTGAATCGATTATTAAGATTACTGTTGGAGAGAGTCTTCTTACTTGGAATAATGTAATTTGGATTTAAGGATTGAATGAAATTTCTAAACAATGGTGATTCGACTATTACGAAAGGTATGTTGCATCCAAAAAAAATAGCCTAAACAATCTGTCCAATTCATTACGATCAATATTAGCTAAAAAAAAATTATTATCATTATAAATTTGAATTTAAAACATTTTAATAAAGACTATTTTAGATCATCTACATTATTATTGAAAAATATCGTATATATACCTGCCATTTTAATAAATAATCCAAACAAGAAAACTAGGAAAAATCACTAATTCCTGAACAGTTAATAATATATGATTTTTCTGAAATATGATTCGCTTCTTCACTTTGGTATAAGATTTGAGGTGAATAACCGAAATTTTCAAATGAAGAATGATAAATTACCTGGTACTAGTACTATTATTACTGTTTAGTGTTTATTGTGAAAATTAATTTTACAAAAACTGTGATAATTGTTACATTTAGGTTGTTAGTTTACTGTTGGAGATAAATAAATAACACCGGGCTTTCTTAGCGTCAAAGGATCAAAGGTCGAATTAAAAATATTCAAATTAGAATTTCAATTGCAAAGTACGTTGGTGTAACACTGCTGCGCATGCGCAATAGTCTTTGGAAGTTTTTGACATTTTTGACAATCTGACATGGTTTTTGACGTTGTTTACAGCTTCTGACATGTACATGTCGAAAACCTCAAAATCGTGTCATTTTCCCACCACTGATTGTATCGAAACACCTATTATTTATAATGTCTGACGAAAACTGCGAATCTATGCGAGTATCGATGGAAAGGCAAGTTTGCAAACAAAAAACAGTACAAGCGAATGCTATAACGTACTGAATGCGGAAATAGGAGAAAAGGCTGTACAAAAATGCGAGAGATAGATCCTACAGAGGTGAAATGCAACTTGCAAGGAAATCGTATAGTCGACTTGGCATTTATGTCTAAAAATATGAATTGCACTATGTGTAATACAAGGCTGGATTTACAATATATTGAGCAAGAGACTATAAAAGGTGCAGCTTCAATTTTTAGTATTAGATATCATTACTGCTTGCTTGTGAATACGCTGAAAACTGGAAATGAATACACAAATCCAGTCACTGGGAAAAGTGTATTCGCCATCAATACCAAACTTGCATTAAGTATGTATTAATTTTTATGACATGCATCAACAATGTAACAACAAAGTGTGTAGTGTATATGTGAGATTGATTTGTAATGTGTATTTACAGCTGCCATTCATAGTGGCGTCGGTGAGACTCATATTACCAAGTTTTTCAATGTATTGGATTTGCCAACAGTTGATTCACATACTTTTAAAACTCATGAAAGAATTATTGGACCTATTGTAGAAGCTGTGGCAAAAGAAAGTTTCACAGAGGCAACTGCCATGGAACGGTTACTTACTGTTGAAAGCATAGAAGAATTAAAGAAGTTGTTGTAAGCTAATTATAAACATTTTACGCTCTACCAATTGCACAACGAAACTTCATTGAGAGTCAATTTTATAAGTGAATTTAAAGTAATCGTAGTGATTTTTATTTTTGAATAACTATCAGTTACAACCAAACCAATCAATTATTTACTATTGATTTCTTCTACGGCTTATTAAATGAAATGATAATTTATACATCTAATTGATTTATTATTTACAGTGATTTTTTATTTATAATCAATTTTATATTTTGTTAAGATAATAGCTTTTGATTTTTTTATTTTTCTTAGTGCATTGCATGCAAATCAATCAAGTTATGAGATCTGTTTACGTTATATACAATAAGACAATAATTTTAAGAATTAATAGTATATTATAAAATTTAAATTCAAACAAACATGTAAACATTCATATGAACATTCATTGATGAATTGGAATAAATTTCCACAAAAAAAATTGAGATACAAAAGATAAAAAATTTTTATTTATTATTTTACTTTCATTTTTTTGTTAGACCAGAAGAATTGCAAGAAGGGTACTTGATTGTTAATGTTGATAATAATGGTAGCAGCATTGTCAGAGTTTTTGCATCATTTGACATGGGCTGGGGTCAGAGAGGAAATGGTCACACGTATGATAGTCTGAATGGTTACTGTGCTCTAATAGGCTTGAAAACTGGAAAGGTTCTAGACTATTGCACGAGGAATCGTAAATGCCACTATTGTGACTCCGAGCTTTACACAGGAAAGAAGGTGCTGCATGATTGCAGAAAAAATTTCAAGGGCAGTGCATTAATGTATTTTCAATTCAACTAAAATTAATAAAAAAAATCATAATGTTGAATAAGTTTCGTCTAAATCATTTGAAAATTAATTCAATTTCAATTCATAATAAATATAATCGTATCTGCTCTGCAATACCGGCTACAGTAAATATATCTATATAGTGTTTGCGATGTTGCCGCACTTCATTAGTTAGCACCGTGAGCTTGGATTAAGCTAGAAAATTTTTATACTAAAATTACTATTATTTAATCGGAATCACGGTAAGCCATGAGTTTAAACACATAAAAACAATCATCGATTAATTCTCTTTCAAACCGTTTTTACAAATTTAAAATCTGTGCTTTTTTCATCAAGTTATTCCCATAAGATGAAGTCAATTTACTCATTTACACGAGAAGTCTATTTAAAACAATGCTAACTATACGCATTAATTTCTCCAAAACTACGCGGTCAAAAATTTTGAAAAAAATCAGACATCAATGTTGCGTCATACTCTACCATAGTTTTCAATTTCATGAAAATCTGTGCATTTTCATGACACTCCTGAACCTCCTTCATACGTACCTATGGGACCGGGGCCTCAGGCCCTCGCTACATATGCGCATACGCGCGCGTACGAGGGCATACAAACGCGTACAAATCGCTAAAAATTTTGATAGTGCCAACAACAGAAAGTTACTACTATTCCTCACATACCCCAAACGAACACACTTACTCCCGGAACAAACGTATCATAACGAGATTTGTGAAGCTGACGCCCAAAAAATTTTTTTAAAAATATTTTTGAGTTTTCATGAGCTAAAACGTTTTCTCCCTATTTCCGGATTAAGTCTCCGCTTGAAATTTTATTTTCGAATTTTCCGTTTTTAAGAGAATTGCGAAAAAAAATCGGGCGTTCGGACAGCGCGCAATATGCATTGAATATTTTTCTCCTGTTTAAAAAGAAATAATATCAATAGCGGATGATAGATCCTTATTTCCGAATTACAAAACAATTTTCCTTTTGTCGATTTTCTATCCAAAATTGAGGAAAATGTAAAGATCAGTAATATACGGCAGTTAGTCGATAAAACAGGTCAAACATTTGCTAATCACCAGATATCCCTATGAGTTCTACAGTGCGTACAGTGCTATCTGTGTCGTCTAGCAGTGTGGCTGTAGTAGTTTTGTATACATCTAAATCATTATCCAGAATGCAGTATCTTTACAAGTAAGGCAGCATCTATTTTTATGTAATTTTATCCAATATTAAGCAAAAATAATGAATCTAGATCTGTTTTATCGGTTTATCGATTTTTGTTCATGAGTTATAGTGAAAAACAATTTTAGCACTGTACGCACTGTACAATTCATATAGGGATATCTGGTGATTAGCAAATGTTTGACCTGTTTTATCGACTAACTGCCGCATATTACTAATCTTTACATTTTCCTCAATTTTCGATAGAAAATCGACAAAAGAAAAATTGTTTCGTAATCCGGGAATAAGGAGTTATCATCCGCTATCGATATTATTTCTTTTTAAACAGGAGATAAATGTTCAATGCATATTGTGCGGTGTCCGAACGCCCGATTTTTTTTCGCAATTCTCTTAAAAACGGAAAATCCGGAAATAAAATTTCAAGCGGAGACTTAATCCGAAAATAGGGAGAAAACATTTTAGCGCGTGAAAGCTCAAAAATATTTTTAAAAAAATTTTCTGGGCGTCAACTTCACAAGTCTGTTTTTCAGGCACCCACGGTCATTAAACCCCGGTCCTATAGCTACGTATGAATGCGGACGGATATGAACGCGAATCGCAACTCTAGTAACATCACTAAAAATATCTAGTTCGATTATTTAATACCAACACTACCGGTAGTGAGCAAAAGTAACTGTTGCTTAAAACTGTAGCGCCGAACGTACCATATTTAGTGTTCAAATGTCAGGTCTACAATTTACTTTTCAAATTCTCATGAATATTGCTTATTGATGAGTATGCTAATGTAATAAAAGCTTTTGGGATGATTAATACATATCATTTATATATTTTTTCTTCTTCTTCTCATATATTCAAGTACTTCCATAAAATTAAGGCCTAATTCCACTAATTGTAGTTGAAAGTCTATCAATTCTCTATCATTTGCCATCTTATAGACTGCAATAATGTAAAAGTTAGATAAGCGTTCATTAAATGTGGTACGTTCGGCGCTACAGTTTTAAACAACAGTTACTTTTGCTCACTACCTGTAGTGTTGGTACTAAATAATCGAACTAGATATTTTTAGTGATGTTACTAGAGTTGCGATTCGCGTCCGTATCCGTCCGCATTCAGGAGGTTCGGGACAGTCACCGGGGGGGGGGGGGGGTAAGGGGAAAGTACCTATGCTTTAACATAGGATGAAATCAGTGGCGCAAACTGTAGATAACTGAATTCAATGTTCACAATATATCTACAGTCTTTGAGGTACAGATGTACATACATAGTAATTCATCTTTATTGTTGAGACTTGTCGAAATTTTCCCTTTTCCCAAGTGACATGTATGATTTAACGGTACAAATATATTATCTGTAGATTACTTTTACTTAGCTATACAAATGCATTCTACTTTCAATTTGTTGTATTGTTTAAATTAAATCAAGCGCGTACTGAATATAAAAATCTTATATAGAGTATTTTACCTCGCGATGACATATGGCAATACATAAAATACGCGACGTATATGTCAGTACGTTACAAAACAATCGAAACTCGAGAGACGACAGCAGCGCGCCATGTGAGCTCGTGAGTAGATAGCCTGGTGCCACTTACAGATACTCCGGTAGTGTTGTACCGTAACTTGTTGTGTGTATTCACACGCCATTACTTTAGTTAAGCAACTCCCGCCATATATATTCCGACAGAGATCCAAGTAGATTTTAGTTTTTCTAAACGAAGCTGGCCACGAGCTGCTAATCAGCCATGGCTGCCTCGTCAATCGACAAGGATATCTTTTTCCGACGTATGAAGCGTCTCTACAGTGCTTGGAAGGTAAAATGTCGAAATAATCCCGGAGTACGCTATCCGCGCCAAGCTGCTCCTATCCTAACCTAATACAAAGCAACCCTCTTTAACCGCGTTCATTTGATATTTTATTCTATGTCCAGGATGGAGAAGCTTGTTCGGATGACAGTCTTAGTAAAATGGACTGCCTCGTCTCCGTCGTCGGCGCCGACGAAGATGTCGTTTACAGTAAAGCGACTGCACTCCAGGTATCTGTTCTTCCTATGCTTTTTAAACTCACCTTATATTCCAATTGTTATTCTAAGAAATTGTGCGTAATTATTAAGGTGCCACGCTATTTAGCTTATAGGCATTATTCAAACTTGCTGAGTTGCATTCCTTCTGTATTGTAGTAGTAGCAAAGGCATCTCAAGCAATTCTGTTCTATATGCCTTGGATTGAAATGAAGACTTTTCAACTAATATCTTGAAAAAGTGATTCATACTTTTAAATAATTTATAATTTAAATTCAACTTTTAAACATATTGGGATTTTTGAACTTATATCCAAAAGATTTTTATGTAATAAATAAATTATTTAAAAAATAATGATAGTATAAGAAAGTACTCCATTTTTCAAGATATTACAAGACTATATGTCTTAACCCAAGGTCTATTGGATAGAATATATTGAATAGCTTTTGCTGTAATACAAAAAGACACTACAATATTAAACCAAACCTATAATTTATACGGGTCACTTTATTATTTATTCCTTTTATTAGTTAAAGATTGAAATATTGTTCAAATGAGTGTTGCTCATATTTTTTCAACATAACATGTGATATATAAAGAAAAGTCACTTTAACTACTAGACAAAGGTAGATTTATCCTTTAATTTTATAATTATTTTTTGAAACTAATATAGCTTTATTATTTACTTTTTCATTGTAGACTTGGCTGATTAGTTATGAACTACCGGATACTATCATGATTTTGTCCAAAGATTCCATAAGTTTTTTAGCTAGTAAAAAGAAAATAGAGTTCTTACGGAAATTAGAAGAGGCAAAACCTGAAGAAACAAATGTTCCTCCTGTAAAATTGTATATTAGAGACAGAGTAAGTTCATACCTTATTAATATTATCTTTAATTTATTTGTATCTGTGAAATAATAGATAAAATTTCTTGTTTTTTGTGTTATAGGCTGATGAAGATAAAGCCAACTTTGCAAAGCTCATTAACATTATAAAAAATAGTAAAAATGGTAAAGCAATAGGTGTCTTTCCCAAGGATAATTACAAATCTACTTTCGTGGAAGCATGGAAAGCTGTCTTAAAAAAAGAAAATTTTGAAACTGTATTTAGCAAATTACTTAAAATAGATTATTTTAGTTCTCTTTATCAATGAAATCATTTTATTTCTATATAGGTGGATGTGAGTGCTGCAGTAGCCTATGTAATGGCCCCAAAAGAAGAATCAGAAATTTTAACTGTTAAAAAAGCCTGTTTAGTGTCCGTTGATGTTTATAATAAATATCTTAGGGACCAAATTTTGGAGGTGATTGATAGTGATAAGGTAAAAGCATTAATTTCCATTAGTTACTAATAATATTGTGAAATACTTAAGAAATAACTAATATGAGTAATTTTTTATTTTTACAGAAAATAAAACATTCAAAGCTAGCCGATGGTGTCGATTCTGCTGTACAAGATAAAAAATATGTCAGTGGAGTTGATACTTCTCAAGTAGACATGTGTTATCCTGCAATTATTCAAAGCGGTGGAAATTATTCTTTAAAATTCAGTGCTGTTAGTGATAACAATGTCTTGCATTTTGGTGTTATTATTTGCTCCTTAGGAGCTCGATACAAAGGATACTGTTCAAACATTGTAAGGACACTGCTAGTTAATCCAACAAAGCAACTTGAGGTAAATAAGTTTATTATTAAAATTGAAAATACAAATTTTTTAACTTATTCTAATTTAAAGTATATCTTTGAATTTTAGGAAAAATACAATTTTCTCACGCAAATTGAAGAAGAAATTTTAAAAAAGTTGACTGCTGGAGTGAAATTGAGTAGTGTATATGAGGCTGTAATAAAATTTGTAAAAGATGAAAATTCTAGTTTATTGGATCATTTAACTAAAAATTTTGGCTTTGCTATGGGAATTGAGTTCAGAGAAAGCTCATTGCTGATTGGTCCAAAAACTAATGCTGTTGCTAAAAAAGGAATGGTATTCAATGTCAATGTTGGATTATCCAATCTGACAAATCCTGATGCAAAAGATAAGGAATCAAAAAGTTATGCATTATTCATTGGTGATACTGTCATTGTCAATGAGGTATAATCACGTTTTCAACTTATGTTATTCACAATAATATTTATTCAATTATTATGTTACTTATGTGTGAATAATCACTAAATACAATGATTTCAATTTCAGGATCAGCCTGCAACGATTTTAACTCCTGTTAAGAAAAAAATAAAAAATATAGGAATTTTCCTGAAAGACGACGAAGATGAAGAAGAAGAAGACAGCGGAAAAGAAAACGAACCAAAACCCGAAATACTCGGAAGAGGAAAAAGAACAGCTGTTATTGAATCTAAATTGAGAACTGAGCATAGCTCAGAAGAAAAGAGAAAGCAGCATCAAAAAGAATTGGCTCAGCAATTGAATGAAATCGCAAAGGCTCGACTAGCTCAGCAATCCAACGGGAAAGAGCAAGAAAAAATACGAAAATCAACGGTATCTTACAAAAGTCTTAGTAGTATGCCTCACGATTCAGAAGTCAAAGATCTTAAGTTATTTGTTGGTATGTTTCTTTTCGGTATTTCCAAAATAAACGTTTCAATTCCCTATAGAAAGAAACTTCTTGCATTCCAGATAAAAAGTATGAAACTGTGATTATGCCGATATTTGGGATACCTGTACCTTATCACATCTCTACTATTAAAAATATTTCTCAGTCTGTTGAAGGCGACTATACTTATCTCAGGATAAACTTTTTCCATCCTGGCGCAACAATGGGCCGAAATGAAGGAGGCGTTTATCCACAGCCAGATGCTACATTTGTTAAAGAAGTGTTTGTGTGATCGTTAAATTTTTAAATATTTATAAATAAATATGCCTCTGCTAATTTATTCAATGTTACTTTTATAGAACTTATCGCAGCACAAATACTAAAGAGCCTGGTGAAATCTCTGCCCCATCGTCAAATTTGAACACGGCTTTTAGATTGATCAAGGAAGTTCAGAAGAAATTTAAAAATAGAGAAGCTGAAGAACGTGAAAAAGAAGATCTTGTCAAACAGGATACTTTAATTCTATCTCAAAATAAGGGAAACCCCAGGCTTAAAGATTTATATATTAGGCCAAATATTGTTAGTAAAAGAATGACTGGCCAATTAGAAGCCCATACAAATGGTTTTCGTTATACTTCTGTCAGGGGTGATAAAGTTGATATTTTATATAACAATATAAAAAATGCTTTCTTCCAACCATGTGATGGAGAGATGATCATTCTTCTACATTTTCATTTGAAGGTAATAAAATTATAGTTATTTATTTTGGATTGTCGACTGTAGAATGGTATTATGATATTTTAGCATGCTATCATGTTTGGAAAGAAAAAACATGTAGACGTACAGTTCTATACCGAAGTCGGTGAAATTACAACAGATTTAGGAAAACACCAACATATGCATGATCGTGATGATTTAGCTGCTGAACAGTCTGAAAGAGAGTTAAGACATAAATTAAAAACGGCATTTAAAAGTTTTTGCGAAAAAGTTGATGCCATGACCAAACAAGAGATCGAATTTGACACACCGTTCAGAGAACTTGGATTTCCAGGTGCACCTTTCAGGAGTACAGTTCTTCTCCAACCCACAAGTGGGTGTTTAGTAAATCTTACAGAGTGGGTACGTATTTATCGGCGATTTTTCGTTGCAACGACACAAACGTGTTTTAAAATATCTCACATTACTTTGTACATTTCAGCCCCCATTTGTCATTACTCTTGAAGACGTTGAGTTAGTTCACTTTGAAAGAGTACAATTCCATTTAAAGAACTTTGATATGATTTTCGTCTTCAAAGATTATCAACGCAAAGTTGCAATGGTTAACGCTATTCCTATGAACATGCTGGATCACGTCAAAGAATGGCTTAAGTAATAAAATATTCAAATTTTATTTGGAATATTACAGATTGTTCCACGTTACTTTATACGATGTGTGTTGTTTAGCTCTTGTGACATAAGATATTCTGAGGGAGTTCAATCTCTGAATTGGACCAAAATTATGAAAACGATTACGGATGACCCAGAAGGATTTTTCGAAAGTGGTGGATGGACCTTTTTAGATCCTGAGAGTGGTGATGAAAATGAAGAAGTTGAAGATGAAGAAGAAGAAGAGGATGATGCCTATGAGGTAATTTAAATAAAAATTTGATTGAAATTTAAAAACTGACTAATGAAATCATTCAATCATATCATCTTAGCCATCAGATTCTGGTGATGAAGAAGAATCTGATGATGATTCTGATTATTCTGAAGCGTCAGAAGATTCTGATAGTGAAGGTATTAATCCAAAAAATTATAAGTAACTAAAATTTACTGAAACACGAATAAAATTATATATTCATAACATTTTATAGAGGAAGAATTAGGAAGCTCTGAAGAATCTGGAAAAGACTGGTCAGACCTTGAAAGAGAAGCAGCTGAGGAAGATAAAGAAAGAGGGGAATACAATGAATCTTCAGATTATAAGGGCAAGAAAGGAAGTAAACATTCTTCTTCGAAAGATAGGTATGTAATCATTGATAGAATCGTACAATTTCATTGAATAATTAGAAACAAAATCGTCGTTTACAAAATATTTTATCTAAATACTTAGGCATAACTCTCACAAAAGTGCATCACACTCTAAAAATAAAAATTCATCTAGTAGTAAAGACAGGAGATCGTCAGATAAACACAGGTGAATATCTTTTTATAACTAAATAAAAAAAAATTAAATAAATGGGTGATGGTGGAACAGTTGAATTTAATTAGCATTTGTGTTAGAGCTGCTTCAAACAGTGTGATGAATGAACAAATATTTATAAAAATTCGAGTAATTTTGTCAATGTTTAAAGAATATCCAATGTCCTAAAAAATTAGAAAAACAAATATTCACTAAAATTATTTAGTATAAATTTAGGTAACAAAATTTACTCAAAGTGAAATCAAAGGTTTTTTTATTTCATTCTATAAATTTAAACTCATATTACAAAACATATATAACTTGGTAAAGTTTACGCCAACTATCAGAATAATGTAAGGATCTTATATAAAATGGTGTAGTAACCCTAATAATTTATCTGTGACACTTGATCTTGTTATTGACATTTTATTAATAATTAAAGATCGGGTAGATCAAAGAACGAGGGATCACACAAGAAAGTGTCATCTCATTCTAAATCATCCAAACACAGGTGAAAACTATCATTTGTGATATTTTGGAAATTGTACTAAACCTTTTGATTCATTATTTCAGTCCAAAAAAAGGTGACAAGCACAGCAAGCATGATAGACACAATAGCAGCAAGGATAAAAGTAAATCATCTACTCATTCTTCCAATAGTAAGAAGCGTTCGCGTGACGATAGTTCTGACAGACACAGAAGCCCTAAAAAGTCTAAGTAAGTTTACTTCTTTATAGTCTTTAACTATATGCACATCACAAAAAAAATAATTTTAAAATAATCGGATTAATGAGTAAACAATTTTTTAATATATCAATTCATACATGTAATATATAGAAATATTAGGTAAGACGATATCTTTAAATTGCGGCTTAATAACTAATCTGGTGAATCTGAAAATATTATAGAAAAAAGTATGCATAATTAAGCAAAATACTTTATTTTAGGCCCAATAATGAAACTAATTGTTTGATATAATTCTTTCGAGACAATGTGATACGTTTTTAAATTGCGAATGAGGAGTTCGACAGACTAAAATTGTTTTTTTATCTCAGTTCTCTTTTAATACATTTAAAGATTCTTGAGTGGCGTTGAATCTCATAGCAAATAAGTATATTCTCTTTCGTTACTGCGTTATATATTAAATTCAATTCAACTTCTGTTGAAATAATATAAATAGTAGTGTGGTATTCAATGCTGTCGAGTTATCATCCCATTCTCTTTCGCTAAAATATTATAATTGAAGAAAAATGGTTGCCTTTTAACTAGTTTTTCAGACGTGTATCTAAACAATCAACCCTAGGTGCTGTAAAACACTAGTGATATAGTTTTTACGTTATGATATATCATTTAACCATTTTCAAAGCACTTTCTGCAGTCGTTTCTTAAAAAGTAGATTATACAGAATATTTCAATTGAATAGTAATTAACCAATATCCAAATATGAAAATTTATGTATGATACTTATGTCAATAGAAAAACAATGTATTTTCTTCATTTATAATCCAGACTTTAGTGTTATGAATAGCGATAAGGAGTTCGAAAGAACAAATATTTACTAAAAAATGCAATTCAAACAACAATTTTACTTCGATAAATATCATTAAACGATTAATCGCTTTGTGCGAATAATTTTGTTAGATTAATATTTTCAACGCAGAATTGCGACCTTAAAATTCCGAAAAAGCGGCGCTGCCTATCAACTGTACAAATCGCATACGTGTGTACATTAGCATTAATGTACATATATATATATATGTGTGTGTGTGCGCGCGCGCGCGCGCGTGTGTGTGTGTGTGTGTGTGCGCGCGCGTGCGTGTGTGTGTGTGTGTGCTGAAGTTCGAATGAGGTATTCGAATTAGTGTCTCATTTAACAGGTGCCCATCAACTGTTTTATTATAAAATCATTTTTACATCTATCTGATGCTCTGTTTTTACTAATTTGGATATTGGAACTAGTGCAATGATGAAAAAAATTATATTTCTAAAAACAATCTTTTTTTTTCGCAGGAAATAAACGTTCACCACAATAGCCAGTTTTTGGAAAACAAAAAGCATCCATGTTCTCTTGAAATAAGCGTATTTTGATAAATTTTATTTCATGGTGCGGTAAAAACTTTTTACTACAAAAAATACCCTTATGTTACTGTAAAACTGAGAATTCAGATAAAAACAAATATCTAAAAATAAGTATAAAAAAATTGGAATCGTTATGTTCATTTACAATGTTAGTTGTGGTTCGAGTATATTTTTATAGATCTCATCTACTCCTTTCTAAAAAAATTATATAATTACACTTGAAAAGTAATGTCAAATCATACCTAGGTTATTTATATTCTATTTAATAAATTTTCGTATCTACTATTTCTGAACAATTGGTATGTTTTAAAGTATAGACAACTTTTTCTACCGGCAAATATTTGTAATGTATTGAAATATTGTAACAAAAATTACATGAAGTGTTTGAATACAGTGTAAAGTGCTTTTTTTTAACCGAGTAAACAGTTATTTTCCCGATTATCCGATGATCCTTCTCTGACATAACAATTTTTTAAATAATTATTTAGAAAGAATCAGTTGTTCATATTTTCAAAATAATTGTCTAAAATGATTTTTATGTCGATAATATTTGTCGACCGTATCTTATGTAAGTGAAAAAATTGGAAAACATTGTTTTTGAAAAAATGATCATGGTCTGTAATGAAATGCTGACCAATAATTTTTCAGATTTGAGTGTTTATAATAAAATAAGTAGTATAGTTGAAGCAATAAGAATGTCAATAGGGTCATGAATCAATAATGGAATTGATGAAAATCTATGAGAAGTGAAAGTGCATACGTTGGCGATCACGTGGGCACTTTCTCTTGACGGTGTCAGCAGTCGAATCTTTATCTAAAGAAACAGCTGGCTAGAAGAATTGAGTCACATGCGTGAAATGAAATTGCGAGAAATATGTTGATTACGTAATTACGTAAGGTGTAAAAAGTGGAGGAGTAAAGAAAGAAAGAATATGGTGGGGTGAAAAGAGCGCATAGGGCGGGAAAGAGGCTGGTTGCTGAGTACAAAGCGAGAAAGTCGGCAATTTTACGAAAAATAAAGTATTTTATTGAGCATTAAGAAATTAAGTAAACGACAAAAGAGAAAAGAGAATGAAGAGTGTCAGGTGGGTCATAGCTGCAGAACGAGTCGACCTGCAGAAGATAACCATCGAGGGGCGACGATGTGGAGCAACAAGGGGCGACGAGGAGCGAAGAGAAGTGAAAGTCGGCTAATTCCTGCCGATCTGGTCAATCTGTCCCTGGAGGTTGTTAACAACCTCGGCGGGCACGTGCTTGCCGAGAATCTCGAAGAGGTTGATCCTTTGGTTGCCGGGAATGGACTCGTAGGCGGCGAGCTCGATGCCCTCCTGTACGTTCTGGATCTGCGCGTCTTTGGGAATGAGAAAGGTCGACTGTGCCTGCTTGATGGCCTCGTCGCTGAAGCGCTGGCCGTCCTTCTGCTGGGGCATCCCAGCGGCCGTCGCTACCATCAGACTCAGCACCAACATCGCCGCCGATTTCATCCTGCAGCTACTTGTTTTGCCTGCTGAAAGCACGCCAAGGCACGCCCGGGCCTGATTAGCACCCACGTACGTAAAGTGACATCGCGTGCAAAAGCAGCGATAGCACCTGTGGTCAATGACAGGAACCTATCGCGAGCAAGCGCGTTGCAACTGCGGCTGCGAAGCAAGCGTCTGACTATAAAGGAAAGAGCGGTGGCGTCGAGGAAACGACAGGCCGCTTGGGCCAGCTGTGTGTCGCTCGCAACTCCACAACTTTCTCGGAAGTTTGGCCTACGTATTGCGCCAGCGCCCGGTCGCCACTCGCTTGCGAGCCTTACTCGACGGGCGTTCGCCAAGTCAAGCTTGCAATGTGCGTGCAAGTCTCCGACTAGCCAAAGCGTTAGCCCATTGCCTCGGGACCGACGCAAGCAGTTGAGAGGCGATGAAGAAGTGCGAAGGACTGCGCGAGAGCGAGGGCAGGCGCAGGCGGAAGGATGGGAGTAGGAGCAAGGGAGCCTGGACACTTACACTGTGAGAGACGCAGATGGGCGGTCGACCTTCCGGGAACTAAAGGCGCCAGCGATATGGCACTGGCTTATATAGCGCGCGCTCGAGGATTCGAGGCCCCTCGCCCGTGCTCTTTCCTTCTGAAAGTGGGAGGCTCCGCTATGCACGCGTGCACGTTTGGCGCCACCACTCGCTCCTCTCGCTCGGCCGCGTTTCGTTAGCTCGTCGCGCTTTGCAGAAATGCATCGTCCAGCCGTCAGCCCTTTATTGCAACGCTCTTGACTTTGGCACCGCCCCGGCGCGGCGGGCCCGATCACCTGCAGGCCGCGCCGGCTACTACTCGTGCTTCTCGCTTGTCCTGACTCTCGGCCAGAAAGAAAGCACTGGCCGACTGTCTGAATATTCATGAGCTGTGCCAGATATAGCGTTGCCTCGTTCGCTTGATCGAAGCCGCCTCCGATTCTCGCCAAGTCCATACGGATCCTCCAGCGCAAAATAAAAGTGACCCAAAAGCATGATCTTTTTACAATCCAATCCGTTTTACGATCACTTACGGCAAACCTATGATCCCCTGATCGAGCATCCAAGCGTTTTCAGCTATTTCTTATGCCATCGCATCATCAAAGCACTTTATTTAACAATTGAATAGTGCGCATTTGAGCCAGACTAGATAGCTAGAGATTGCATTACCATTACATCTTCCCGGGTACCTCTGGCCGATATTCCTTAGCTGTGCAATAGCGAACTAAACATTTTCTCAATGCATCTGCAACTTTGGCGCACAGCGCCGCCAGTGCGCACTGCACGCGGATGAAAGTCATCTTTCGCTCGGTCTACCTCGTATTCGTAAACACACTCAGAAAGCATTTTACGGTACTTTGTAATATCAGCCTTTCGCCACACACGGCACATCTTCGCGCCTCTAACGCAACACCACCACTTATCGCCTCAAACCTCTCCATATACCTCGTCTTTTTTACCACAAAATAATAGCTTTACTTTTCTTTTCTTCGAGAACAGCTGGCTCTCGTGGCTTTTCGTCGATTTCCAGTACCCTTCCTCTATTGCACACTTTACAAGCGTACTTCTAATTCGTGCTCTTGAATTCATTAAATTTCAAGCTTACACATGCGCACATATGCGTATTCCTAAAGCTTAGATAAAAGTACAAGAGATCAATGTCATTTACTTAAGGAATTCATACAAAATAAAGCGAAAATATCATCAATATCATCAAGGTTCACACACGACTTTGTAATGCACCCTCGTTGGTCTTCTCTTGCACGAAACTTTAACTTACGATTCTTTTCTAGTTGAAAAACACATACTTACAGCATAGTTTAGGAAAACTTATGTCAATAATAAAGAACTACTGATTTTATTGATATTATCTAATCTATTAACTTTTGCAAAGTAACTATATATATAAGCGTATAGATTTCCTTAACCCGTAAAGGTCACTTTCACATTCAGCACGTATCAAATAAACAAAAAATTGATGGCATTAACTTTTTATCTGTCATTATAGACGCTACGAAAGAAATAGAGAACATTTGTTTACCAAAATTCATAATTGACATGTTTAATACAACTTATTCAACAAAGCTGTTGGCTTCAGGCGATATGATTACATTAAAGGGTTGATTTGAAAAAATTAGGAATATCTCGTAATATTTTATTCTTTTACATTTTTAATTGACCTCTTTCAATAAATATTTTTTACAAAAAAAACTATCTTTTGTACGAGCAATTTATTTTTTAGTAAATCATTATCCGCATTATTTTTATAATAATTATATAAGCTATTACGAAAAATACACAAGTGTATAAATTTACAAATGAGTTAAATACGAATTTACACATTAATCGAAATAAACACTTTGGAAACTAGTTTTTGTCTAATGTATGATGAGCTTTTGAAATAGCAGAAGACGCATTACAGCACTCATTATATCGGATAAATTTATACGAAAATACCGCATGTATGGGCTTACTAGTATGATGATCTTACTAGTTCAAACTCTTTTTAATTAATCGCGTATATACATCTTTAACGTATAAATATGACACTTACAGCCAAGATTTCTTGTTAAATATTTTTTATTAATCTTTCTATTTCAAAGGTAAAAATATTCTTCATTATATCACTCTTATAAACTCTAATCGAAACCAGTTGCATCATTTCTTGATTCTTGTCTTATTTAACACTATTCTGTATCAGAACAATAATTTGTTTGACGTGCTAAATACTATTAGTTTTTACAACTGATTATTTACTCTACGCATATCACGACAATAAATGAATGGTAATAATGTGAATGTCTTCTCTTGTAAAATAGTGAATAATCGTATTTACAAGAACTTACGTTCCTTTCAAATATTTTATCACGTATCACTTATGAGGATAAAATTTCTAAGGCTACTTGTAATATCTCAGCAGTTTTTAAAATATCCACAATAATTATAATGATCTATTACATATAAAATATGCAACAAGTATTATTGTCAAGACTTATAAAATCTATAAGCTGCCGTTTTATATGTATTTCATCCTCATTTGAATAGAAACATCAAACGAGAATCGTACAGCAACGTGAGGACGCTATATCACTTTTTAATCTTCATCTCATCTGCTGAACTCTGGGAGCGGCTTAACGATGCCTTCAGTGTATGCTTTGTGGACAGCTTCACAAACAAATCTATATTGACTCTGCAATGAGAAAACAGACACGATTATTGAAAGAATGACTGTATACAATATTTTGATTTGACAGTAAATCAAATAATTTAAACCAATGTAGTAAAAAGTAAAAAAATGAAAGATTATTTGATATTGAATGAGGCTGTAGTAAGGTATAGAATAAATATATTTACAGCATTTTGAATCATCATCGCTCGTTGGTCCCTCATCGAGCGAACGATATCTAAAGGATACACAGGCTGATTGGCTTCAATGAGACACAATGCCGTTTCCATGAGCACGAGTACACCGGTCCGACCAATTCCCGCTGAACAATGGACAACTGCGGGCTCCACACTTCCTGTACGAGCTGCTCTGACTTTTTCCGTGAATGTTGTGAATTGTCGCCAGTCACTTGGTACTCCGTGATCTGGCCATGCGCAATACTGCATGTGGCTTATATCTCTCTCCTCTCCAGTCTAAATAAACACAGTAAAACTTCACTCAATATCAACTGGCGTATGCAAGTGTTTATCTTAATTGAAATGACTCATAGCTTACTACCACTTACAATTGTATCTGTGAGCACGAATTCACGGAAAACAAAAGTATCCTTGATCGTCTCGGAGGTACATTGCAGCGTAAGGTTTCTAAGAGTAAGTGTTTCTTCCAGTCCAGGCCAATACTGATGACATTTGGTGCGTCCCCTTTCTATCAAAGTTGTCAGCATTACAACTAGCGTACTACCAGCTTCCAAAACCATTTCCCAAAAATCCGCAACCGTCGATGACAAAGGCCCTTGAGTGGCAATATAACGATTTATAATCCCTGAACCAGGAATTTCCATATTTACATAATTTGCATTTATGTAATCTCCATTTGTACAACCCATGAGTATGACTCGCGTAACATCATCTGAAATGAAATTTAGTCATTACATTCAGTCGTGACTACATATAAACAAGGTAACAATTAAAATAGTACATTACGATACAAGTGCGGAAAAGTCGATTCTTTTCTAGTAAATTTGAGAGACAAGAATCTACTTTTCCGCACTTTTATCGTAATGTGCTAAAACATAATATTCAGTCGTCACTTACACGGAGATATATCTCGGTATCTGTTTTTATTTTGATTCTCGGGCTTTTTTGATTCAAGAGACGAAAGCTCTGGATTTTTTCTATACAATTGCTCGTATTGAGCAATTAAAGCTCCACTCGCTAAACCATCCGCTAACAGTAACATAGATTGTGCAAGAGCATCTGAACCGACCGCAGTGTGAGGTACATCCGGCACATACCTTTGGAAAAAATGAAATTCAGCTTATGTAAGTTTTTTTGAAATAACTTGACGTTTTAATCTGCAATGGAAAGCAGCGATATACCTGTAAGGTGGTTCTTCCTCTAACGGTTCATCTGTGCCTGTTAAAGCATTATACAAAGCGTTAGGTCTCACAGTCAACGTAAGCTCGCCAGCACCTGTGTCTCTTGATTGTCGAATTAAATTAACTACGTGCTCGTGTAACATGCCGTTAACATCAATCCCGTTAATGTAAACCACTTGGTCACCTTCGTTCAGTTTCGGATAACAACGATCAGCAGGTGTATTTGGCGCGACTCGAGAAACCAATATTGGCATATCAAGGTCTAAGCCTCCTTTAACGTTAAATCCGAAGCGACCTTGGTCATCCGGCGTTATCCTTATTGACACCAAACCGTCATCAGACGCCTAAAATAATCAAGCATTATTATTTTGAAATGGGATGAAGATACCGCATACACATGACGGTGCATAAAATAATTATTGAAAAATATACTTGTGGAGTAGTCGAACCGGTTTGCTCATTATAGTCAGGTACATCGTAAATGTTTCTTTCCAAAGTACTATCCTCGTCGGCATAACTTATGGCTCGAGAACCTAATCTAGGTGAAAATGCGCTTCCTGAATTATGAGAATGCGTTCCTTCCTCTCTGTGTGCTAGGAATCCACCCTCGCTGCAATGAAGAAAAGGCAAACATATTAGTTACGGGGTCCTTACGAAAAGTGTAAATTTTATAATCTTCGAACGTACTCATCACTTTGATTTCCCTCACCCCACGCTTGACGAGGTTCGCGTGATCCAAGCGATTGTACTTTATTATCGTATGATCTATTGGATCGACTGGGCGGTAAAATTTTTCCTTTATCTTCAGAACCAGGCAAGATTGCATGAAGTAACTTTTTCTCATCAGAAATGGGCAACGGCAAAATTCCGTGGATTAATTTTTTACTCGGTGATCTGTCGATGATTGATAGATAACGTTAACTAAATTGGGAAAAATCCATGCTTCCATGAGTCAATTTGTCAACTTTACCTAATGAAAGTCCTTTCCACCCGAGCTCGATGTTTGCCATCCTCAACAGATTGGAATTCAGTACGACCCGAGTACGTAAATCTGCTGCTAAGTGCCAGCGGAAAACGACGGGGTCGTAACTTGGGACTATGTAACCTAAAGAAAGTGTGATGCTCTACGCATGATTTCCACAAATTTTTCGAGCTGCGATAAGTTTGCATATTGAAACCCAATAAAGTATCATAGTTTTCCGACTAAAACATTTTTTTTTTTAAATGTGAACGTTCGTATAGGATATAAAATAATTAAATGTAAATAAATTCAACTCTACCTGCTCTCGTCTTAATTGAATAAAAAACTGTTTTCTTTTGAACGAAATCTTGATGATCTTTGACCAAGAAAAAACATTGATTCTAATGTTGTTTTCAAAGACTACTAATCCTGTGGACGTAACGCCTAATTGAATTTCTTTATTCACAGAATCCTATGAACAACAGACATTGCATTGTAAACAATCAAATTATATAATTTGTAACCAGCTGTTTTGAAACTGCATTGGTCGAACATGAAACGCATTCAATAAGTTATAAATAAAAATGATAAACAATACAAGCATTGTACAGAACATACCCTTGCCTTATGTAATTCCACGCCGTACATGTCAAGTCGTTTAGCATGATCAAGAAAGTTGAATTCTGCATCGGATGGTAATTGACCTCTGAAAAGTGAATGAGAATGTAGAATTTTATGAGAAATTGAGTAATTATTAATATAATTTAATTGGTTGATAGAAAGAAAGAAAACGACATGTACTTGTGTAATTTATGTAACTCAGAAATTTTCTTCTCCATTTCTTCCGTTTGTCCGGGTATTAATTGTAAACGAGACAAGTAGCCAGCTGCATGTTCTTCGGAATTGTAGTCACCAAGTTCCGCTGAAATGCACAAGAATATCAATTAATTGAAACACGTAAAGCTTTTCTTTGAAATGTTATTAATGGTTGATGGCTTTTAATTACAAGTATATTTACATTGGACAGTGTAGCTGGCAATGAGACAAGCAGTACTTGGAGGCAATTGTAGTTTTCCTTGTAAAATATCTTTTCGTATTTGCAAGTAGAACTGGTACCTTGTGTATTCTTCTTGTAATTTACTCGGATCTGACACATAGAACTTGACCCTGAAAAAGAACTGACCTCCTTTGCTTCTTATTTGCTTTTTAACCAGTTTCGAGGGATCGAGCCATCTCTGTGAGGAGTAAAAGCAACGCATTAAACTTGAATTGAACAGGTGTATCGACGACGAATAACATTGGATTAACTTTACCATAACATCGGGACTAGAGCAGCTTGTTAAACCTGAAGTGTTTTCGGCATATTGGAGACCAAAATAGTCTTTCTCGACGAGTTCTAGATGTTGAAAGACCAAGTCCAAGAGCGCCTGACCTTTAGACCGCTTCTGCAAGTCGAAGATGATAATGATGAATTAACCATAGAACAGAGAAAAGAGAAAGGAAATTTTTAACTTACTTCAAGCTGAAATGTGTGCTGCGTATCGTCCAAAAAGACGACAGTGGCTGCAAGGGTTTTGAGCCTACGATCACGCGCCAGTTCTGCACCGCGAACGTGGTAGCTCCCACTGGAGCCACTCAGCGCACGACGAGAAACACTTTCAATCATCTCCAGAAGTCGAAGCCGCGTTAACCACCTTCGCCGCACCACCTCATCGATACTCTGATTACCTACGCATCCAATTAACGTATCCTTTTTACTATTTCAATATCAACCATTTTCTTACAACTACTGTCACATTGACGAAATTTCCTTTCGCTCAATGTTATCAATTTCTTAAAAGCTCATGTATTCGCTAATAAATTATGCTTTGAAGTAATTTTTCCCAAAGTAGCGTGATACTGTTTAAATACTGACAATAATAAATATTTTATCACATTGTATTACTTTTTGTTTTATTTCTGTCAATAAAATACCATATTAGCAATCATGCAATATTTTTAATTTGAATTCAAATCTACCACTTCTAAAATACTACTGTTTTCTGGTACAAATTTGTTATCATCAAGATATCATTATCTGATAAAAACATGTTGATAAATATAGCATTGTCTAAGAATAAAAATTTTGTCCACACTTTTTATAACTATAAGAAAAAAATATGAAAAAAATAGCAAGAAAATCATTGCATTCAAAATTAATAAATATCAAGCAATACTCTACTTTTTATCATGGTTGCTTTCTATCATACTTGCAATAAATTATAACATGTGCAATGTCTAATTTGCTCTGCACCTACCACCACTGATTAAGCATGTCAATAAGATTATTATATTTTAAATATAAATTGTTCTCTCAATATTGCTCAGACAAGAAACTTTCCTAATCCGATATTTGCTAAGTTAAAATAATTTTTAATGTATCAAACATACCAAATCATTAGGAATGTTAGCTGTTAAAAACATAAACAATAATTGCATTGTGACAAAAGTAGATTTAATATTTTTAAAGACTTAAACTAAAATCTAAGATTAGCACAATGCCTGGTGTTATATGCTGAACAAGTCAATGAATTAGATATAGACTAGTATAGACAATTATAGCAATAAATTAAAAAAAAATATCAGGCAGAGACTTGAGTAATTTTAATTACATTCTAGAGTTGTCATAGTCTTGATTTATTGGGTCTGTAGGGGTCACTGATCCAGTTTGTTATATAATCCATTCCGCAGCTACCCAATAGAATGATGTAGAAGTAATATAGAGCATGAGATTCTCAAAATAGTTTTAACAAAATGGAGGGAACTTTTCAGCAACTGATATGGATATGTAAAACGCATATGTTACTTGAATTTAAAGTTAATACCCAGAAACAACTAACCAAACATTTTGGTAACTAAAATTATATATCTAAAAGTATACTTTTATGTCAACGTAAGAGCCGATTAACAATTTAATAATCATGAAAATGTCTATAAAGGTAGAAACCATAGAATCAAGCTATTGAAAAATGTCACTTTTGTTATGAAGAAGTGAATAGTTATAAATATTCAGATATATTTTATTAGTAATACAGTAATTATATGTGTTACTTTTAGAGATTGAAGAAGCTAGTATCCATGTTTTATAAAAGAGTTTATTTTTGTTTAACTTCAAATTTATAACCTTAATTGATCAATATTACTTTTAGAAACTTAAAATTACTAAATTACTAAAATTACTATGCATAATTAATCTTAACAATAAAACTGTAGTGTATACTATTGAGGTTCATAAAAGACATTATTTGTAGTAGATTCTTTGCATAAAGTGAATCAAAGAATTCAATACATTCAATGGTTAATTACTTGATATTTTATAATTTAAAGAACTCATTTGATGACTCACATTCATGATACGTTGCAACAAAGAAACAGCAACCTTGATCAGACAGAAAAAATCAAACACAGTCAGACAGATGCACCTGTTATGCACTCTTTACACTGGCGGTAATATCTTTATGTTCCGACTTTGATATTTTCAGATGGATACGGCTCACTGAAATAGCGACTTTCTTTTGATAATTAAACACAATGAAGTATAATTGACGACAATTGATGTTTAAAGCTGTAAGAGCTCTATATCGTCCGCTATCTACTCGACACTGCGCTACGTTTTTTCGTTTTCAGTTCAATACCGGTTGTTCACGTATATTCCCAAAGTCTTGCAGCAGACTCGTAGACGACGGGTGAAGTTGAAAGTGTTAGATGGCTGTGGTCTATCGTTTCCGTACATGCATGCGTCACCCGGGTTTGTTGGCGATTCCATAAAGTGGGGATAAAGAAACTAGGGAGACCTCTGGTCTTCACTGCCACTGCTTCAACTTTGATGCCACGTAAATCGAATTTTTTCTGTCCCTCTTTTGGAATCAAGTATTACTGCTCATTTCTAAGGTTTCTTGAGCGCCGAATAAGAGTAGGAACGTAGTAAATAGCGTGCTTGTTTACGACCACAAAAGGATCAAGTAGAGCAAAATTTTAGAGGTTAGGAGACGCGCGAATATTCTGTGAAGGCGTAAAACCGACTGGATGCTCATTCAGTAAGCTTTTCTCATACGAAAAAATGTGAGTATTCTGAGTCGGGATTGGCAGTCAGGTCCAATAATTTCATCTCGTTTGCTCTCGCCTATTCTCATGCAGAAGCTGAGAATATACAGCCTCTTCCCCGTGCAAATATCTGACGCAGTAGGAGAGCTAGGAGAGTCGCGCGCAAGACGAACAAGGCACGCGGGGCAGGCAACTTATTTGCTTTGCTTGATAGCACGATTGCTCACGTTTGGTTGACGATGCGTTCGCAACGGCCACTTTATACCACTTGTCGGATTCTCAAACAGTTCGTAGCTGACCATGAGTATTTAGGCGTGAAACCAGTGCGGCTCGAACGAAACTAACAGTTGTTGATCAATCCTCTGCTGCCCCTCCTTGGGCGCACTTTTTTTGTTACTTTCTCCTTCGTTCTCAATGAAAGCAGTAAACTACGATGATAGCGTCGCTGGGGGGACACATATAGAGGCAGACACGCCGCACAGGCACAAACCGAACAAGCAACTGCGCGCACCCTACTGTGTGCATAATTTATAACGTGCGTGTCATGTCAAGGGAGGGTTTAGTCTGCGCGCACTCTCATTTTCTTTGTCGCGTGCGCTGTTTATTAGCTTTTTAGGGCAGAAAATCGATCAACGGCGCACACGGCTTTAATTATTCATCTATCATATGATAAAATAACTATATTTGTTGAGGAAATATTTGAAAAATAGAAAAATAGAACTCGAAATCACTTACATGGAAAATCATTAAATTTCATTTACCGGCTAATGGGGTCCTAAATTGTTTCCGAATCGATACAGTCAGCCTCAAATTGGAAAAATCCTTGGACGACGATGGCTCGTACATTGCTCACTAAGAAACTACGTCACCCGCGAATCTTGTATGAAAGTGGGTGTGCGGTTTTTTCGAGTGATCATCACCGTGTATGCACTTCTTGCGCGAAGGTGGACTTTGAGAAAGAAAAAAAAAAGCAATGATGTCATGAACTGAAAATCTGCTATCGGCCGATCGATGCTTCTGTTTCCATTGGTTTTTATACGTAAGCCCGGTAGTGCCATCGTGTGACCAAGTGGGTTGCTAACCAAAAGTTGCTGTGTTTCGACGCAACACCCACTATGTCACATGAGTAAACATCGCTCTTTTTGTAAAGAAAGCAGTCAACAAAAGAACAGAAGACAAATAACATAACCTCTGTATTAAAAATATTTTTTTTATCATTGGATTGTTCTGTATTTTTTTCAAGATTATTTTCTGATAATTTGCTGTCATGGCAAATCCAAAACAATGAGGAGCGATTGGAAAATATTTTTATCAAAGATATACTTTTTCATAAATAGTTTTATTGCTACAAAAATTTGATGAAAGAAATATCCTTGACACAACTCAAGAAAATTTATAAAACGTACGCTTGACGATGAAGTATCTAGAAGAAAATTTGGAAGAAATGAGCAGTGTTATTATCTAGGATAAGAGAAAAAGAGACGCAACTACGTAAAGATCACCAAGTCTGCTCGACAGAATAACCTTTACTTAGCACATATCAGACCCCCCTAGCGAGTGCCGCTGGAAGCGTAGCGGGCAGCGGTAGCGTCGGTAGCGAGCTAATTTAACTTGCTGCTTAATTTTATATTCAGAGATTAATCAATCAATTACCGCAATATTACCATCATGTATTTTTCAAAGCAATATGCACTGGATAGCGGTACTACTGATGATCAAAACATAACAAGTAATTTTCGGATCAAACTAAACGCCAATATAAGCTATAACGAGTCCCCTTAGGGACAAGCAACATAAATACCACCTTCAATTATGTAAAAGTGATGCAGAAACGGTAGTCGAAGTTCTAATGTTTTTAACTCGTAATTTGGAACTTTTGGGATCAATCTTTAAATGATACATGTTTTATTATCATTTTCATTGTTTTACTTTTACGAAGTTATCGTTTTCATTTTATGAATTTAATAACAGAAGCTAGCTTAACAGTACTGTATTTCGAAATTCTTAAAAATAATAAACAAGACGACCTCAAAAAATTAAATTGAATTTAACTTTTTGTCAAAATGCGAAGTTTTTTAAAAGATAAGATGTTCGTAATTTTGTATGACGGTGAATTTTTTAATATTATATTTTATTTTGTTTCCTACGAACTTATATAAGCCAAGTACAGGATCGGGCGTAGTTGTAATTTATTAAAAGGTATATTCACGTAAAAAATCAAGTGAAACATACATGCAGTATCTTTTCTTTCTTAATAATTAACTTAAAAATCTCATTTTGTCTTATCATCCATATTTTTGCAATGAGTCAGTCCTTCGTTGTTTATATTTTTAACAAATAAATACTTTGCTTATTTGTAAGACTACTCTTATTGTTAAGACTTACGTTAAGTTAACTATTGTTAACTTAACTTATTGTTAAGTCTTAAGTATTAACTTACGTTAACTTAACTTATTGTTAAGTCTTAAGACTTACTCTATTGTACCTAGAGTACTCTCCTGATATTAACGATTTTAATCGAATCAAGGATCCATGTGCATCGTACCGTCAGAAATAATTTAAATAAAAAATCCATAACTTTGTAATCTTGTAGTGGCTGAGCGAGATAAAGCTTAGGTTTTCTTTTGCTAACGATTGTAGATTCAATTTCTTACACAATTTTTGTGTGTGATAATAATATTAATTATATGAATCTGGGTTATTTGAAAACAGGAAAGTTATAATTTTTTAAAAGCAAAATAAGACAATAAAATAGTTAAAAATTATTAATGAAATATTCGTGCATTGACATATGAAACGTGGTAAATATTTACAATGAAACAAATACATTACGATCTTTTGAAGTTGAACATAAATATTTTTTCTTCTTAATTTATTTATTCAGTCTTATCAAGAAATATATATCTATAGACATCATGTAAGCTAAGCATAATTAGCTGAGTTTTTTATTAATTCTTTATTTTTTTTTATCTCTTGATAGTTACTGTCGTCTAAACTATAGCGTGGACTCTCACTTCTGTACTTTTGTGCTTTTCGTCCAAGTTCACGTTATCAGAAGTTGAAGTATTTGAAAGTTTTGCTAGTTCTCTTTTTTCTCTTGCATGTTCTTGCTAAATGTAATTATTGTTATCCAATTGCTTATAAGTTAAAAATATTCGAGTTCTAAATCAAAAGTTATTATTCCGTTTATATTCTTCACATCCAAAATGAGATAGAAATGTGAGATTATCTACTCCGTCAGCGATGTCAAAAATGGTTTTTGAATTGATATTTTTTTATGTACTTTTTTAAACCTTTCCAGTTATGAAATCAAATTAAACAACTTTATTGGTGGATTGAACAAATCACCTTAATTTCTCATTTCAATAAACTTATAACTTTCGGACACTTTTTCATCATTTGCACTGTATGTAAGCGCCGAAAAGTAATAGCACGATCAATCTTCCCGCAATCTTTCTTTGTCTCGTACTACATTATCAAATTATTTGTCGTCAATTATCTTTCAACCGCTCTTTTTCACTAATAATGTGTTTACATATTTTATCTTCGTATATATTTATTTGATAACGCTTTCAATTATAATTAAAATTTCACGATCCATCAAGCAAAGCTCAATAATTTTTTATCTCAACAATTTCTGACGATACATATGTCAAAGCTTGATTCGATTACAATCGTTTATCTCAGGAGAGTACTCTAGGACGCACACAAATAGGCGAAGTATGTACTTATTTGTTAAAAATACATACATACAACGATGCACCAGCGCATTGAAAAAATTGATACTAGTAAAGCAAGAGAATGTTTTTCTTTTCATATATTTTTAAGAATACATCTCATCTTTCATTGGTGTATCTCAAGTATAAAAAGAATTGAATGTTGAAAATTGAAATAGTAAGGTTTTTTTATGGACGATAAGACAAAATGAGATTTTCAAGTTAATTATTAAAAAAGAAAAGATACTGCATATATGTCTAACTTGATTTTTTATGTAAATATATGTATGACAGTCAAGTCTCGATCGGTGTCGCCATCTGCAGGCCAGGGTCGTTAACGCCCGGCGCCCGGCGGCCCCGGCGCAGAAGCACTAAGCAGCGCCTCCGTTTCGAATTAGCCGGCTTGGACTTAGGGTTTAGGAGATAGAGGCTTAGGGAAGTGAGTGGAGAACGATCCTCTCTCCTTAATCTTCACTAAGCAGCTCAGGTAGCATGATTTGCGGTCCTGGAGCGTATTTAAGGATGTTCATCATCGCCTTGCATCACCAACCAGTTCCAGCCGAGCCGCTGCCAGTCAACACCTTCACGTTACGCTCGTGTACGCGCCAACCGCTCTATTTAAGCCGGATCGTCCTGCTTGTGGCGCCCACGGGTTTGGACGTTTCGTGCCGATAATCACCTGTATTCTACTAGTTACGCGATTAAAGTTAGCAGTTGATTTTAAACTTGGTGTGACTTGGCGCGCCACCCCTCCTTCCGCTTCCTTTCGATCCTATACTGGGCTAATACAAGTTCGTATAGAAAACAAGATACAACAAAATAAAAAATTTATATAATTATACAATATTACGGACATCTTATCTTGAAAATAACTTCATATTGTAACAAAAAGTTAATTATAAATTAATTTTTTAAGGTCGTCTTGCTTATTATGTTTTTAAGAATTTTGAAGTGCAATACCGCTAAGGGGGCTTCTATTATTAAATTAATAACATAAAAAAGTAATCTTTATCTAGTAGCTATTTATAAAATTGTACCGTAAAATAATAATTTCCTAAAAGTAAAACAATAAAAATAAAAAAAAAAATGTATCGTCTCGATTCATTTCCGCAATTTCCATATTACGATACAAAATCGTAGGCTACCACCTCCAAATCGCCTCAATAAAATGAAGATAGTATTTAAGTTACTTGCCTCTATAAGAGCTCGTGTTATAGCTTATGTTGGTACTTAGGCTTACGGCACTTATCTTCAAATTACTTGTTATATTTTAATCGTAGGTAATACCATTATCTAAAGTACATATCGCCTTGAAAAATACATGGTAATTAATTGAGCAAGCAGCAGGTTAAGTCAGCTGATATATGTTTCGAGTGGCGCTCACTAGATGGATCTGAAACGAGCTAGTTGTAGGCTATTACATTGAGTGAAGTACTGGCGATCTTCAAGATCAAATCGTCCCACTTTTTATCATAGCGGCTATTACTCTCTGGTTATTATCGAAGAATTAAATGGTAGTGGTAGTTATTTAGGATACAAAAATTTATGAAGATAGATAGAAATGTATTCTTTGGATGAAAAAGAGAAACACTTGGAAATTTTATAATAATAAATCTATAAATAGATCTATAATAGTGAATCCTGCTGGCATTGCCGATCAATGGAGATATAATTTGTCATATCGGTTCTCTTTTCATGCTTCAAGAATATTTCGTTTTCGACACTCCGTACGGAAAGTGCATTTTTTCCGCACGCTCGGCAAAAAACGTGCGTTAAAAATCGCACTTTCCACTGTACGTCGTATAAAAAAATACGGTACGGCACATGATCGGGAAAGTAGATTCTTGTCTCGTGTGGCGTTTACGCCCGAACGAAGCGCACTTGTATCGTAATGTACATACTATTTTATGAAATGTTTGAATCAATGAAGCTTTCTGGATAAGTATGTCATTGATAAAAATATTTTTATCGTTCTTGATTTACTATGAGAACAAATTACCAGAAAATCATCTTTAAAAACTTACAGAACAATCCGAAGATAAAATAATGTTTTCAATATAGAGGTTATATCATTCGTCTTCTGCTCTTTCATTAAATATACTTTCATTGCGATTCACAGTAGTGGATATATGCTAAGAAAGAGCGTTTACTCATGCGACAATTGAAGCAAAGCAAAGTTTAATGAACTCCACTCAGTTACACGATGCTCTCCCGGATTTGCGTAGATTTTTATACATACATTGTCTCCATTTATTCGATAATTGCTCTCGAGTATTTATTTTCACTACCCGGACATGGAATTCGCTCGAATTATAAATCTTTTCATACCCACACAGCATATAATTTAATTTTAATTAACAAAGTTGATGTCAAGTGAACATTTGTTTCTCCTTTCTTCATAGGGCTAGTTAGAATTACCATCATTTTTTCCGCACACATGGAGAATGAACCACACAGTTAACCTTTTCAAATATTTATTATAAATGACATACAATGCACGTTGGCTACAAATTTCTGGATTTTTAAAGAATATTTGACGAGAAATCAAAGAACTATGTACATCTCTGGTAAAATGAGTCCATTATTTTGATACTGTCAAATTGAACGTAATTTTATGAAAGCTGGCTGATCTATAATAAACGAATAATAAAAATTGCTATAAAATTTCTTGAAGACGATGAGCTCCAATTGTAATAGAACAAACTAATTCTTTGATAATTTATTATTAACTTAAGAATGGACAATTATTAAAAAGAAATTATCTTAATATTTTTGTAGACGTATGATGCAATTTTTATCCGCGAAGGTATAATTATTATTTTTGATCACTAAAGAATATCACATTTTTCGTTGAAAGATAATTTATTAACGTATTGCAAGTGATTATTGTTCATCAATTTCATACAATCGAAGTTACACATAACATTTAAAAAAAATAATAATAACCGCGGCCCGAGAAAACGACAGCGCTCAAGCTGCGACTGCGAGCTGAGCCGAGTAAAGCCGATTCCCAACTCGAGTACGTGAGTCGAGCCTCCCCCTCGAAATATAGAGAATGCCATTAATATTGTGACGTGTTAGATTTAAAAAAATATCTTTAATTATTAGTGAATAACGGCTGTGCTAATTGTGAGAAAAACGGCATACCAATCAGGTATTTATTGATCAACTCTTGACTAAGCTCGTTTCATTTATCTACGATTATTTAGTTTTGTGAAGACCGTGTTTCATAAACGTGACAGATTACGTTGCGTACCGTTGTATTGGAGGTTAGAATACTTAAGAAATATTCTAATATTCCGAAAACTCCATTTTACGTATATTTTTTTCTTATTGTATCATCCGCCACAAATATTTATTAGATAATTTGCTGTCATTATCTTACATAGGCTCGCTCTTCGTTGCCCAATAATCATGTTTAATCTACACAACTAAACATGTTACTTACACATTAAATGACTCGTTACATCGAATAATCATTCACTTCTTTGTTTTAAAAATTTACTTAATTCGTAAAAAAATGAGTGAGCATAATTTTATTTTGCAAAAATATTATCATAATTATAAAACGTAATTAATAATATTCATTTATACAACCGTTCATTAATAAGTGAATGTCATTTCTTCTAGGAAGGTACAATGATGCAAGATGAGGATCTTGGTGGTCCGGGTAGACGAAATGTATTCAGTAAGACACTTTCAAGAATATCACAGGTTTGTAATATTAGTATGTCACACTTTTCAACCTCCATTTTCTTGTGAAGCTAATAATTATGCATATAATTATTTTACATATAAACAACTGTGCATGGTAATATGGTGTGAATCAGTGTGAATCAATTTTTACACTACGTTACTATGCACAATAGTTTATGTAATAATTATGTGCATAATCTTAGACTTACCATTTTTTACTAGCTTCAATTGTTAATTGAAACAAAATTAATTTGTTTTGTTATTGAAATATTCAAAATTGTTTGAACTTTATATATTGATTCAGGTTTATCAAAGTTGGCTGGATCAGTTGACACCGCATGTTATCTTGAGATGGGCAATTGCAATATTTTTAGTAATTATGTTCATTGTCCGCATCCTAGTAGCACAGGTTGGTAATAATATCATTTTTTTGAAAATTTGTGATATTGTTTGAATGAAAATGTTTGTTTTACTTTTAGGGTTGGTATATTATTACCTATGCTCTTGGAATTTACCATCTAAATCTATTTATAGCTTTTCTCACACCAAAAAATGATCCAGCTATGGATTTTGATGGTAACATATTTGTTGTAAATCTAAATCTGTATAATTTTTATATGCATTATTTGCTTTGTAATAGATACAGATGGGCCTCAATTACCCACAAGGTCAAATGAGGAGTTTAGGCCTTTTATTAGGCGGTTGCCTGAATTCAAATTTTGGTATTCAGTGTGTAAATCTACAGTTATTTCTTTTATATGCACTTTATTTGACTTCTTCAATATCCCAGTATTCTGGCCAATTCTTGTAATGTACTTCATTACTTTAATGTGCATAACAATGAGGCGCCAAATTAAGGTAAATATACTATAATTCTTTTAACGATTGTATAGACTGTAATCTATAAAAGTATAAAAATGTAAGAATTTAAGTCATATTTTCAATGAAATATGAGATCAAGAGACAATGAACAAATTTAAAACAAAATTTTCTTATCTTATGAACTTTTAAAGTGCTGTGGCTATAACTTTTCTTTAGTTTACAACAAAATTCAGGTAAAAAAAATTGGTAAAAATCTGTATTCGGTTTCATTTTTCTTGAATTTTGTTTAAAAAAGAAGTGCATTTACATATCAACTCCACAAACTTATGACATATAAGACATAAAAACTTAAGATAGCCGCATTGAAATGACGTTAGAGAAATTATTATTTTTGCATCAACAATTTATTGAACACATATATGTTACAAAAATCTTGTACGTTGATGAGACAGAAAAGTAATTAATATAGCAATAACGTACTTCGAAAATGTTGTGCGACATTAGTTTTATATCATGAAAGTTTAATAGGTTTATGCATGAATTCACTTGCTTAATGAAAATAAAAGAAAATTTTTCTATATTTATAATTCTCAAATGTTGTAATTTAAAAGAACATTTCCGAAATTATACATAAAACTAAATATGTAATTACATATTTATACATATTTATACTTTAATTAGGTGTCTAGCAAAGTTTAGTGAAATTTTGACACTCTGGCAAATTCAAAATAATAAGTTATTAATAAGAATCATGCAAAAGTACAATTGAAACATTGAATTAAGCAAACCATCGAGGAACTCAGAAATCGTAGTTTTAAATTCCCGAGTTCTTTGATTCGTCAGTCTTTTAAATCTTGTCATCCTTATTCAAAATATTAAAAACTTGGGAAGTGAAACAAACTAAAAATCTCACCAGCATAAGCCTTTATTTTCAAATCTTCTGCCTTCCTGAAAGACTATTGTGAATATTATGAGGAAGTTCTGCAAATTTGTTTTCTTCTCTGCATTAGAACTTATAGCAAATTTACAATTTTGATAAAATTTAAGCCTAGCATGAAACCTGAGTCACACACATGATCATTTATTTACTGATTAAGTTAAATTACACTATACAATCGTTTTTATATATTTTTACATTTGATATGCAAAAGTTATTGAATAATCTAATAATCAATATATTATTTCAGCATATGATAAAATACAGATATTTGCCTTTTACACATGGTAAACCAAAGTACCAAAACCACATTGATGCAAAGTAATTAAAAAATGAATAGAGTGAAAGTATGTCTGTTGATGTAAAGGCGTAAATGTGCGTTGATTTCTATATCTTATGTTTTTCTTATGTTTTTTTTTTTTTTTTGAAAACTGTTTCAAATTGACTGTAAATGAATTATCGTTTTTTGAATGACAATTTATATGAATAAAATCATTGTGTTGTTCGAAACTTTTTTAAAAGTTTAAAAAGTAAAAATAAGACCGTATGAGAATAATGGTTAAAAAATTATTTTGTAATTATCTTCTCTGTAAAATGCTTCATATGCGAAGTATATGCTTTAAAACTGAATTGTCTTAATACCATTGTAACATAAATCTTGTACAAAGTATTGTTAGGCCATACCAATGGACAAGATAATGCAGTCTGGAAAAATATAATTAACAGTTGTTATAGTGTCGTATTGAATAATTTTTCACTAAGAAAAGATAAGTAAACAGAAGGTAAAGCAGGAAAATATGATAAATTTTTTATTGTATCTTACCACACTTGAATTTGGAATTTACATTTCATCTTTTATTATGAAGAAGTATTTCGTAGGCTATTGTATCAAAATAAATGAGCATTGTACAATGTTTTAATTTTTTTCTTATTTACTTTAGAAGTCATAGTAAAATTGCATTTTTAATATGTATGTGTTGAACACGATAAGATCAACATTATCTTGGTCATAGATCTATTCCAAATAGATGAAGACGCTGATCTAGATAACATTTTTCACATTCAGCTATCAATATAGAATTAGATTATAAAACTGACCTCGCTAGTCTATGAAAATGCGCAGGATAATTATTGTAATAAATATTTGGCGACTCGATTGACATTAAATGCAAGTATAGTGTACTACCTAACTAGTGCGGGAGATAGATTGTGTGAAATTTACTCCCGAGTGAAACGAGATTGAAAAAATACACGAGAAGAGAATCTCTTTTCCAATCATGTTATATAAAGGTACGGTATTTTCCAAAACGTGTGAAAAGCGCTAATTTGAGCTCACTTTTTTATATGAGCGTTTCGATAAAGTCGTACGTTCCGCACGGCGTATTAAAAAATGAAAAAGATGTTTCTTAAGTCTTGAATGAAATACTTAAATAAGAAAGTTTTAACAACGGCTAGAGTTGCTCGCGCTGAATATTTTATTTTGCGGATTCAAATAATTGAAGATAAAAATAAAATTTACTATATCATCGCTTGAGTCATCCAATTATAAAATTTATATGTTCATGCAATATTTTTACATATTCCAGTCTATTCTAAAGACTTTAGCAGCGTCTATTTTGTTATTCCGGTGAATATTAGTTACTCATTTCCGTCGAATTTGTCAAGAATTCTTTGCTTTCATTCATTTCTCTGAGGACATCTTTTATAGATTAAATGGTCCTGTAATATATATTTTGCATTTATTTTTGTGGTCTAACAACTACTATAAAAGCGGTTATAAAAATCAATAGTTTGTTATTTATGAAAGTATTAAAATTTAAAGGTTAAATCATAAAGTGTTGTTATTGATTTCACACAGAATCTCTATACGTTGAGTTTAAGATATTAATAATTAAATGTACATTTTCATAATTTATTATAATTGTTATGTACGGCGATTATAAAATTTTTTGTATCGCCATTGCTATATATACATTATATGTTGATTTTGTGTTGGTACAGGGAAGGGTCATAATGCATTAATTTTAATTATTATTATTGTAATCTTGAAGATTTCATCAGCTATATGTGTTATCTTCAATCAAAGTACATTTTCATGAAAAGAAGTTGAAGAATCGTTCAAATAATTTATTTGACCAGTCTCGTGTTCAAGCGTCAACTTTAGAAAAAAAACATCCCTTGAGTTTACATATATCGTGTCATATTTTAATAAAAATAGCAAAACAATTCTCTGTTCATATTTCATTTAAATAAATAAATTTTTATGAAAATTTAACGTTTCAATTTGCCCGTGCCGTCTGCGTTCGCGAGTCGACTACAAGAAATATTTATTATAAAAAAATAAAAAATCGACGATGTTTTCCAGCCGTCAAGTTGATGAAGAAGCGAGCTAATATTTTATTTTTGTTGTAAAGATACAGATGAATGAATAGAAAACGTTGTCAATATTTAAATTTGTTCATAATGATACGACTGCATAACCTACTTTAGAAACAATTAGTCTTTATTCAAGTGGCGACATTCGTTGATATCATCTATTTGAAGTGTATGGCGCAACCTCAAAGTTGAATAATTCTGGACCTAAACCTTTATAGAAATGACAAGTATTCACTCTAATTAATAAGACAATAAAGATAACTCTAATCAAGTAGTGCTGAAAAGAAAAAGTAGTTTTTGAAAATACGCTTCGAATAGCCGATGTTTTGTCCACCTGTACGCTATTAAAAGAAATCAGGTTAAAACAGTGAACGTGGAAGCATCAAATATTAATGATCGTAGACGTTGAGACCGTTGTAGAATTTTCTTTCTTGAAAAGGAAGCCTTGTGTTGGACATGTTGGAAAAATATTGCCTTTAGTAAGTATTTGTTGGTTTTCATGTTAGCTGCATCACTTTTGTTCCACTGACGTATTTCAACTTGCTGAGTGTAATAAACAATTAATAGAACTTTTACGTGTATATCGCTTCACTCGAATGAACGAAAAGCTTAAAGCAGTTTTATTTCCGGTCATCTGTTTGCTTGTTGATATATTTTTCGTGCTTTTTATGTGTATTAGTATTTGGAAAGTTTTTCTATTTTAATGGAATGAACTTGCTCGATTTTGTCAAGAAGAATTATCATGATAACAATACGAACATGACTATTTGTAAAACGATTGGGCTTCAATAAGCAAACGTATTGAAATGTTTTAATAATTAGTGCGGTAATTGAGTATTATCGCGAGTATGCGTGTGAGCATTTAGCAATGTTTTCTTGTATTCGGTATATACGCGTGATTATCATATTATTTGCAGAGAATCACGCGGAGTGTCAATGCGATAGATTGATAAATATTTGTCGCATTGTTAAGGTGCATTGATGTTGGCACAGAGTGATTTGGCGCGAGTGAGCTTTGAAGAATCGCCGCACGAACCTTGGAGGCTAGCCAATTAGCGAAACGTGTTTGAGGTAAGGTAAAGGGTGAAGCAATAAAAGCGAAGAACAGGTGGGTAATTCTAGGCTATTTCGATTGACTTGTAACCCTTAGGTTACGGATTTTTTTTTAATTTGGCACAATTGTTGTACACATAAAACTGAGATTTTTCCCAAATTTTGGAGACGATACATTAATTATATCAAAAGTTATTAACAATTAAAGAAAAATGATAAAAAATTTTCAAACAGCTATATTTTAAAAACTAATAAAGATATCGAAGTCGGATTTTTTTCAAAATACTTATAATGCCTTAAAATTTCAAAATAATTACAACAATAAACAATAAAAATTTTTTTTCGAAAGTTATTAACTTTTTGTTTAAACAATTGCTAATATCTCAAAAAGTATATTTTTTTTTTGAAAAATTCTTGCTCCTACGTATTCAATCATATTATTACGAAATCAATCATAAAATTCAAGGGCCCGACATATCGGAAAGCGTAGCCCTAATTAAAAGAAGATGCCTCAGCGACCGGACACCGAGGCGTCTTCTTTTGATTAGGGCTACGCTTTCCGATATGTCGGGCCCTTGAATTTTATGATTGATTTCGATAGCAAAAATCCTCAGGAATACGTAGGAGCAAGAATTTTTCAAAAAAAAAATATACTTTTTGAGATATTAGCAATTGTTTAAACAAAAAGTTAATAACTTTCGAAAAAAATTTTTTATTGTTTATTGTTGTAATTATTTTGAAAGTTCAAGGTATTATAAGTAATTTGGGAAAACTCCGATTCGGTATCTTTATTAGTTTTTTAGATTAAAGCTAAAGTACCTTTCGACCGTGAGTCCGCTGGAGCGCTACCGCAGCCTTACGCCGAGGCGTCTTCTTTTGATTAGGGCTACGCTTTCCGATATGTCGGGCCCTTGAATTTTATGATTGATTTCGATAGCAAAAATCCTCAGGAATACGTAGGAGCAAGAATTTTTCAAAAAAAAAATATACTTTTTGAGATATTAGCAATTGTTTAAACAAAAAGTTAATAACTTTCGAAAAAAAATTTTTATTGTTTATTGTTGTAATTATTTCGAAAGTTCAAGGTATTATAAGTAATTTGGAAAAAATCCGATTCGGTATCTTTATTAGTTTTTTAGATTAAAGCTAAAGTACCTTTCGACCGTGAGTCCGCTGGAGCGCTACCGCAGCCTTACGCCGAGGCGTCTTCTTTTGATTAGGGCTACGCTTTCCGATATGTCGGGCCCTTGAATTTTATGATTGATTTCGATAGCAAAAATCCTCAGGAATACGTAGGAGCAAGAATTTTTCAAAAAAAAAATATACTTTTTGAGATATTAGCAATTGTTTAAACAAAAAGTTAATAACTTTCGAAAAAAATTTTTTATTGTTTATTGTTGTAATTATTTCGAAATTTTAAGGTATTATAAGTATTTTGAAAAAAATCCGACTTCGATATCTTTATTAGTTTTTAAAATATAGCTGTTTGAAAATTTTTTATCATTTTTCTTTAATTGTTAATAACTTTTGATATAATTAATGTATCGTCTCCAAAATTTGGGAAAAATCTCAGTTTTATGTATACAACAATTGTGCCAAATTAAAAAAAAATCCGTAACCTAAGGGTTACAAGTCAATCGAAATAGCCTAGAATTACCCAGGTAGTGGTAGTCGACTGGTCGGTGCTCGAGGTACGAGGCTGCAGCAGACAGATGGCAAGAATCGAGGAGCAGCCTCGGGCGAGAGCCGGGGAACAGCCGCTAGCGCGCGCCGAGGAGAGTCGGGCGCGGGCGAGCGGTGGTGTCGGTGGTGTCGGCGGTGTCGGCGGTGTCGGCGGTGTCCGCGGTGGCGGCGGCGGCGCCGGCAGCGGCGGCGATGGCGGCGGCCGGTCGACAGTAGAGTCTGCAAGGCAGTGGAGGCTGGAGCGAGGGGGAGGGAGCGCGCGCGCGATGAACGGCCGGCCGGGCCCCTCCTCTCCCGGTTACCTGACGCTTTCCGTGTGCGAGCGCGGCGCCCAGTGCGCGTAGTAGCGCCGGCCCGCGCCCAGACTGCGCTCGGCCGCCCAGCGCCGGTAGCGGTGGCGCAGTGCGTTGCGTACCTCGCTGCTGAGGAAGCAGTAGAAGAGCGCCACCGAGAAGCCCTGCAACAGGCGAACCTGACAGAGCGGTGGCGGCGCGGCGCGGCGCACGGATCACCCACCTGCGTGGAGAGCAGCGCCGCGCGGCCGTACTCGAAGAAGCGGGCCGCGGGGCCTTCGTTGGGCCCGGCCAGGGCCAGCACGTAAGCCACGCCCAGCAGCGGGATGAGCACGAGCAGCGCCTTGGCGGCCTTGCGGTACTGCTGAGTCTCGGCGCCGCTGGCCGAGCGCAGCTTGGTGATGAGCACCTGCGCCCAGCGCACGTCAGTCGGGCCGCGCGGGCAGGCTCGCGAGTCGCGCACTCACCCACATGATCCTCAGCAGGAACAGCACGTTGAGGCAGAGCACGAGCACGGCCGGCGCCTGGTAGAGCCAGTCGAACGGGTGGCGCGCCATCCAGGGGCAGTGCTCCAGCAGGGCGCGCTCCTGCGGCAGAGAGAGACGAGCGGCGCTGCAGCGGCGGCGGCCAGGCGGCTGGCCGAGCGAGCGGCCAGGCCGCGGCTACCTCGGGGCTCCGGCTGGCCGGCGGCTCGGCCAGGCACTTGGCCGCCGCCCACGCGCCCACTACCGCCAGCGGCAGACCTGCGCGAAGGCGCTGGATTAGGCGAGGCGCGCCAGGCCGGCTTACCGACTGCTGCGCCACCCACCCCAGCCGATGAGCAGGCACGTGGTCAGCTTCACGCCGTCCCCGGAGAAGGTCTTGACCACCAGCAGGTACAGGTAGAGGCCTGCAACGGGCAGCGCGGCTCAGCGGGCGCCCGCGGCGGGGGCGCCGGCCGAGCCGCGCGCGCTCACCTTCCACGAACATCCAGAAGAAGTTGGTCAGCTGGAAGTAGTGGTAGAGGGAGAAGAAGAGCGCGCAGGTCGGTCGGCTGGACTGCAGCGAGACCTGCGACAGCACCGTCGCGATCCAGAGCGCGTCGGCCAGAATGTAGCTGGCCATCAGGTTGGCGTGTATGGCGTTGCGCAGGCAGCGCAGCTCCCTGCAAGCAGTCGCGCGTGGCTGCAGCGCTGCGGCCGGTCGCGCAGGCGGCGCCGGCGGCCCGCTTACCTGAACCGCAGGTACATGGCCACGGCGACGAGCAGGCTGCACAGCGACAGCCCGTAGCCGACCAGGTACAGCCGCGTCATCACCTCCACGCTGCTCGTTGGCTCGGACTCGTCGAGCGCGTCGTACAGCGGCGCGCACTGCGTGTAGTTGGAGTAGTGCTCCCAGGTGCCATTCGCCCAGCACCACTTGCTGGCGTTCTCTGCGCGCATCGTGCACGTGCCCGCGGTCAGTCGCTATCGTGCTTCCGTACCCCCAGCCAGCCTCGGGCTTATCGGTGCGAGCGCGACCGCGAACAACGACGACGAGGCCGCCCCGAGTGCGCTGGCAAGCGAGAGCCTCGAAACGGCCACTCGGCGGCTTGCTAAATTTGCTCGCATAGCAGAGCCGCCGATAACCGTCGCTCCTGCTTCTTATTCTGGTCGGTTTTCTCTCGAGACATCGTCCAGCCAATTGTCATTTCATCGGCCGAGCGCGCGTAGCAGCCTAATTTTAGTAGTCGGCGAGCAGCAGGGCGGACGCAGTTTATATTCGGAGGTGCTTGCGTCGATCAAGGTCGCGCGCATTGATCCAGTGTCCATTTACCTGGCGGCCCGAGGCTATCGACGGAGAGTCAAGCGCAAGCCAGAAAAGAGGCTTGGCCGCAACGCGAAGACTGGAGCCGATCCCGTGATCACTGGTCGTGGACTCCGTTTCGGCGCGGACAAATAGATCCAAAAGTGCGCCGGCACCCGAGATCGCGTACCTGCCTAGCAGTCTCGCGACGGGATCTTGCCGACTTTGTTCTCGCGATTCGAAACTGCAAGCAGTTTCGTAGATCCGAATATGCAATCTCGGGAGGGAAAGCGAAGCGAGGCTCGTTGCGCCGCTGACTGTATTGCTCGCCGGAAAATCTTGTTGCGCTTTAATGAACGCTTTGACTCGTCGACCAACGAATGTCAAGCCCGTCAATTCCGGCCTGTCGTACCTACCTTCATAGAGCATGCTGTCAACGTTATTGCTACCAAGTTACTAGCCGAGCTCGCGATTGACGTGCGATAATCAGCAGCTCACCGCCGCTGCTCGCCGATGTTTTTCCGAAACTTTCAAATTTGCTTTTTTCGCCGAACTAGCGGACTGCGCTTTCCCTCTGGTGTTTTCGTCCAAAAATTCCGATCCGGTACACCACTCTAATTTACCACGCAGACTGCCTTCGAGCGCACCGCGTCCGCGCACGATAAGTGCAATAAACGGTGGTTTCGAGTGGTGTGGAGCTCGCGAATAACGAATGGCACGCAGACCGAAGCGGCTGGCTCGCTCTACTCGGGGACGTTGCTTGCCGGACGGGGGGGCGCTTGTCAAGTACAGGCCGCGCGGTGGCGAGGTGGCGAGGTGGTTCTACGGCCGTGGTGGCGCAACGGCCGACCAATGCGTTGGCGCGCTGGCCTGCTTCGTCGACGTCGCTTCGCGTGCCACCGCACAGGATTTTTAGCAGCCTCGGCTTGCGGCGTTGCTTTTAATGCTCTCGCCTGGCAGAGCCGCAGAGATCAGCGCTCGCGAGGCACTTGTCGACGGGATGACGTTGCGCGCCCACTGCGCACGGCTCCGCTAGAAACAGCCTCGAGCAGCCGACGAGCGAGCGTCCTGCGGGGCTGCTCGACGGCACGCGGAGCGCAGCCTCGTGCGGAGACAGCGATGATACGGCGCTGCGTCGCGCGCGCAAGCGGTGAGAACGCTCGCCTTGGGCACGCCAGCGAGAAAAGCAAATAGCCACGTGAATTGACGCGTAAACGCGCCGCCGCGGCGCTGCTGCTATGTTGCGCCAGAATTAGGCATCTGCGAAGGTGATGAATTCGAGCGGTAGGCAGCTCAACAAGCTGCCGGCGTCGCAAGCTCTCTTCCGCTTTGGCTGCTCTCTTGGTTGCCTCTGCGCGTAGGCAGCCGCGCGGTGGGCGAGAGCTTGGATTTTATCGCGCTGTAAAGCTCCGGCCGTGTTTGCCTTAGCATACGCGCGATAACGCTGTAGCTGCGACCTACTGCCAGCCCGTTTTCCATGTCGACCGACGATTACCTCCGCGACGGTATTCTTTCGTTATCTAACGACGCCCAACCGTTCTCCGACTCGGGAGCCGCGATGCGCCCCCTATCCAGCCCTCTGCCCGCGCATCGGCAATAATTACTACTGCCCACTGCCAGCACTTGCTCGTTCGTTCCAATGCTCGTTAGTCCGTGTCGCTTCTCCGAGAGAGTTGCAGTTGTGCGCCCCATTCGCAGTGATTTGTACGATCGATATGCGAGATGGAGCACGATAATGGGATAATCGGGCACGACCAAGACGAAAAACTTGGGGCAAAATGGCGACAAAGGATGAAGGTGGACTAGGAGACCTTGCACCGAACCGATTGATTTTGGTGCGCGTTGTGCTTGGCGGCTGGTACTGCGTCGGCCGTACGCGAAGCTGAGCCAGTAAAGGTACGAATCGCAAGCAAATATAGCAGCAGAACGTGAATCAGCGAATCCCAAATAAATGCACCATTTGTTTGCACAGATTATGCCATCAACTGGATTTCATAGCCGCGCGGCTATTTAAACTAGCAGCTCGCGTGGCTTTATCCATGGCTTTATTTTAACTCCTATTCTGTTCGAATGCCAACATTCCCTTGCGCTGCTTCGTTTCAATATTGCAAGCCAAACAAATAAAATGAGCAAAAGGGGCTCATACGAACGAGTATCCGAGGCATCGCCGTCCTCCTCTCGGCTGTCGCTTGCAGAACGACGGTGTACGTTTGTTCGTGACGAGCAAGTAGTGAAACACTTGCCGCGGGCCTTCACGTACGAAGACGGCGAAAACAAAAAATACCGCTCAACACCATTTCCTACTTTATCAATTTCGGATTCGCGTCGCTCTAACTAAAACCGCAATATATTCCAAAGGCTTAGTATCTTACAAACATGAAATATCTCGACCGTTCGGCAAGCAGTACTTTCGTTTGAGTAGCGTCAAGTTTAATTGGAGCATTAAAACGCTCGACGAAATTGTGGTCGCAATATAAAGAGACAACTGTTTCATAACTCTAACGAATGAAAAACGTACCTCCGATGTTGCGAGTAGTAGCTTGTAAGCCTAGCTCTTAGCTGCGTGCACTACGCTCTTATCAAAAAACATGCGGATGCATCGATCATTCCAATGAGGACATTGATCGGTCAGCGATTAATTATAGCCGCTTAGCCATTGTCTTCCAGGATTTTTCGGTCACCAATTTGTCCACTAATTACAGGCTGCCTGCATTGCCGTGCAAGTTTATCTCAGCAACGATTCGAATGAGGATGAATGGCATTTAATATGTGAGACGTGTTAATTGGGGCAGAAATGACTAGCAAATTGGCTTGTTATTCAAATCATCACGTGTTCCTTCTGTGTGTTCGAATATATCTGGCTATCCATCGTTCAGTGTGGTTCCGTTCGAGTGAAAAAAAGGGAGCTACGAGCGTATTGAATTTGGCGTTGAATCAACTTGATAAGCAGCCGGCAAGGCAAGACAATCGCAAAGCCAATAATTAGGTTGTAACATTCAACAGCGTCCGCTCTCTTGTGATCCGATATAAATATACGTGAGAGATAATTCGATTACCTTGAAGAAAAGTTAGAGAAACCGCAGCTACTACACAGCCGCGGCTTTATGGTAAAAAGAAAACTCTTTGGCGCATGTTCACTTGTATTATCGGCTTGCGATGCCAGATTTCAGCTAACAAACGGATTAACTTATGCTGCACATCGAAGCAAAAACAAAAAAAAAGCAATTATAAATAAAAAAATTTAACTATTCTCGATTGATATTGAAAAACAAACAATAATGCTTTAACGTAACAATATCGTATGTATGCATAGCTTATCGTAAGATCTGTCGAGTGGTATTTTTGAATTTCTGAATACATTAACATAATTGAATTCTATAAGATACGATCAAGTTAGATAAATGTAGGTTTCAATATCAAATAACATCGTCGATACTGATTTTACTGCTCCTGTGCAAAAGAGATATGCTTTTCTTATAGGTTTCGGGCATTCGAATTAAATCAACCGTTCATTTCAGTAAAACGTGATTGAGCCATTAATAAGCATCGCCAAATTGCAAAACAAATCGACGAGCATCGTACGAACTATATGAAACGTTGAAAAAAAAAATTTCGTTGTACAAACAAACAGTGGCAAATTAATGAAATAATATCTGACGTGGTCATTTCATGATGGTCACCCTAGCCGCATTATTAACGAAAACTGTCAATTGCTAAACACGTAGTTACTCAATAAAGTTTCGTTAACACGTGTACAAGGAACAACTATTAAAATAAATGCGAGCAGTACATTGAAACTTTTTGACTGAAGCTCTACCACGAGACTAGAATGAAATATTCATGATTGGTATAATGTCAAAAAGGCATTTCAGAGCTCATAAGAAATTACCTGCCGGGTTCGCGCGAGCACGTTGTTAAAAACGACTTTTTCCCGAAAACTTCAACACTTTTTACTTGAAAAAGCTCTAGTCAAATGTGACGTTGACAGAGAAATAATACTAATCAGTAATCAAGGGTAAGGTGTAGATGAGCGTAATCAGCCCTAATTATTTCGTTGGTTCAACAATCATTTCAGCTGTTTCAGCGAGCGTTCAATTAGTCACGGCAGAATGCTTGGAATCACCTGTCAGCTTGACAGTTTCATTTTCCTGACGCTCTCATGGGAATAATCTACGTTCAAAGTACCAAGCTTTCTGTTTAAATTTACACATTGCCGACTATCTCAAATGACATTAGCCTTTCAGACGTTGAAACACCGTCAGAAAGTATTACGAACAGCGTAGCATCATTGATTTACGGCCACTACCGTGTCTGACTTGTCACATATGGTTTCACAATACTCTTCGCTGCATCAGTTATCTATATTAAGTCATTTTTCCCAGAGCGGCTCACCAACGACATTAATTTTTATTGGTTTACACAAGTTTGCAGTAGTAGCCGAACGAAATGCCTGAGCTTGGCTTGTCGAAGAGCCAATTCGTCAATGTTTATTCATTTGCTTTACGACTTTCTTCAGTGATGTTGATTCAAACATAGGAATCGTACGTGTCATCGATCAAGAAATTTCACATGTACCCGCATAACTGTAGTTCTATTTGAAAGAAAACTGCAGCTACCGAAAAAAGTTACTACCACAGAAAAGGAATTTTTCCAGAAGTCGAGATAAGATAATGTGTTTGAGAAGATTGCTCGCAGAATTCATACGAAAGGAATATCTAATGAATAAGATTTGACGTACTCTAACCGACTTTTCTTGATTTTTTCAAAAGCTGTGCGTAATCGCAGCAACTGCGGAGCGATTATCGAACAGTGGGAAAGAGGCGGGAACGTGGCTGTCGACGAAGACTGGCTGGGGCGGCAGGCGAGGCGGCGAAAGCGTTGCCCTCCGACGCGACGAGTCGGCCGGTGCCGAGTGCGCGGCGGCCTAGGCGTGCAGTACTCACGGCTGGTGTCGTAGCGGATGCCCCCGATCTCGGCGAAACACGGCATGCTGGCCCAGCTGTCGGCGGCGGTCCGCGGCCAGCACATGAGCGTGTCCCAGACGGGTGGGCAGCTCGCGCCGGCCTGCTCCTCGTCGGCCTCGCTCCACGGGCAGCCCTCGCTCGTCGCGCCGCCGCCGCCGCCGTCGCCGCTGCTGCTGTCGTTCGCCATCGCGGCCCGGCGGATCGGCTCGGATCGGCTCGGATCGACTCGGATCGACTCGGATCGACTCGGATCGACTCGGATCGACTGCTCCTAGGCGCGCACTGGCTGCTCGCGATCACTGCGGCTCCTCGGCGCTTCCCATTGGGCGCTCGGCTCGGCGCGCCGCCCGGCTGGCGCTCGGCAAGCTGCGGCCTCGCCTCGCTTCCACGGGGACCGCGCGGCTGGCGCGCGCAGCTGCGGCATCCTGGCCTGGCGCAGCCTCGACGGGAACTCGCGACTGCTGGCCGGCCGGCCAGGGGGAGGACGCCAAAGAGGGCCAGGCGCGAGGCGTGGCGAGCAGGCCAATTCACGGCTGGACCGTCGGCGGGCGGCTGGCGGGCGGCGCTCGCCGCTGCTCTCGCCGTCGCTCTCGCCGCCGCTCTCGCCGCCGCTCTCGCCGCCGCTCTCGCCGCCGCTCTCGCCGCCGCCGCCACCGCCGCTCGGCAAGAGCATGCGCGCCTCTCGCGCGGATCAGCTCCGCGCCGTCGGCAGGTTGCTCTGGATTTACGAATCGAAGACTCCTCGCCGACTCGACGGCAGCCGCGTTCAGCCTGGTCGTACCTGGCTGCGCAGGCTCGTCGAGGGGGCGACTTGCTCGTGTCCCCGATTCTGCGATTCCACGGGTTGCCGCGTCAGTCGAACGCTCGAGCGGATTTTTTCGCTTTCGTGCGTGAAGCCAACTGTACGCAGCCTATCTCGAGCGAAGGTGGCGTTGCCATTGCCCCGCGGTTAACGACGCAGCTGCCGAGCACTTGATATTCGCTAGGCTTGTCGTCTGCGTCGGGATCTCGTCTCGACCACCCCCCACCACCCCCCGTCAAATAGCAACTATGACCGATTGGTTGCCACGCGTTCCACTCGCGGCCGGTTCGCCATTGCACGCTCCTACGTCGCGTTGAGGAATGATTATCAGCCACTGTCGAGGAACATAGCGCCGAGCAGATCTTCCGAGTGACGATCGGCCCGACGTGCAAACAACGCCGGCGCGCGGGCTCGCCAAGAAGCGACCGTTCGTCCTGGTTAGTCTTGTAACCAAACGAAAAACGACAATGCCAGTGCGCTCGTATGGGAATGTCGAGGCTGAGATGAGAGACTGCGACACCGGCTCGGCTTGAGCGCGAGCCTTCCGGCTGCCCTCGGGCCGCTGCCGCTCGTCAGGCAAAATTAAATCGTAAGCGATCCTGCGTCTGCTGCTTGCTCGGGTCCACGTCGCCGTCGGGCCGCCTACTTATTGTCTTGCTCGTCTTCCAATGCCTAGTCTCTAATTAGTTTCGCAGATTCCTGTCGATCATTATCCGAGTTATACTGGTTTGCTTGCACTTTTAATCCCAGCAGCAGCTCTATCATTAATAGCATTTCACGCCAGGCTGCGCTGCTTACTCTGCACATCCACTTCTGCCACGGAGCCCATCTAAAATTCAGCTACCACGTGTACGCACGATCCAGTTATAAACTTCGCAAAACTAATATTACTTGTGCCCCTAGCAAAAGTTCGCTTGAAAATCAGTCAACCGCATTTTCCGATGTCTGCTTGTCATCGCAAAATTCTGTTGGCGAATTCGAATGGCAAAAGCCTTCGCGTTCCAGCTCCTTGTGCAGCATCTCGTATTTTGATAAGCCCACTAATCCCTCCGATTTCCAACAATAATCCATTCCCTAATTAGTCGATGTCGACCTCAAGATTTGATTGATCGTACCGCGAGCTTTGCACGCGCCTCTGTGCCTTTGAAAAGCTTCATTGCGACGCGACAAATGAATTCCTGATAGTTGTTACGGAAGATCAAAGGAATTACGTCTCGAATCGTTCGTAGTTGCAATCATATTTGCATTTAGCCGATAATCGATGCACAGTTATCTCAGTCGAACATTGAAAAATATGAAGCTTCTACTCATCGTCTAACAATACTTAATAAAGAATTAACATACCTCTTAAAAGTTTCTCAAACTTTTGGCAACTGTTACATCACTAATGACTCATACTCGACAACTAATCAATTCTACATGAAAGTCATAATAGCAAATTTCTAATTATATCAGTAGCTTGATAACATCTGTACCTGATACATTAATACTGTCAATTCAAAATAGACAGAATAATGAAAAATGAAATTTTCTTAAAACCTTGATCATTCATTTACAATTTCTAATTAATTTTCTCATACTTTAGTTTGATTGGGACCTATGCTCTTGTTCGACAAACCTTTGCTTAGCTTGTCTAAATCAACGTTCTATTGAAGTAAATTCTAGAATACCATTTGTTTAACGGACACGTTCGGACTGCCATTCATCGTTTCCTATCGTGACGTACGTTCAAGTTCAGTTCAGTTTAACTACATTATGGTTGTTATTTTTAAATAAACTTCTTTTTATTAATTTGATGTCAACGTATCGAGTTGTTAATAACATAAAAACTTCACATTCACATGAATGTTGAATATATGATATATTTTCATGTATGTATAAACATACGAATGGTACATTTAAAAGTGATACGTTCCTGGAATAGTCTGATTTCGTTAGTAACTTGATTAAAACATAACTTTATGCTGACGTACTGTTTACACAGTGCATAAAATTACTCTGTCTCTCTCTCTCTCTTAATGCGAAAAACCAATTTACACTATTTATGAATTATAAAATGTTGTAAATGCGTAATAAAGTGTCGCGCGCACAGTAAATTGATAAAACAATGGACGGGCGTACAACGATGCTGATGATGTCGCTAAAGAGGCCACGGATTCTGACGATTCGTCGGCAGCATGGTCATTGGAAAGTTGGATTATGGAATGGCAATATCGAGATAAGTAACGAACTGACGAATAGTAGGCGTACGGAAGTGAAGATGAATGAGATATATCCGCTAAGCGTAGCTGGCAATTGGCTTGATCAGCGGCGCGTGTAAATGCTACTCATTCGAATAAGCGTCGGCCGAAAATGGAGCTGCAGACGACGAGCACTCGTAAAGGGCGTATCCGCATTGCACTCCAAGGTCGAACCTATTCCGGCTCGCTACGGCTCCAATAATACCCACGATGCATTTTTCGTCGTTCGGCCTCGTTGCAGCACCTGGATTTCCTAATAACGCGTTCTTCCTTCGACGACCTTCGCCGAGTCTCCTGCGTAATGATTTAGACAGCATAAAGCCGCACAGCTCCAAAGAGTCTAGAAACCAGAAGCTCGACAAAGAATGGTACTTGCTTGGTATAATGCCAATCGATTTGGAAACAATCGAATTTGCTAAATCTCTAAAATTATGCCTCGACGTACCGCGGAATATTGGATATTGGATTGGTTCAGTCCGTCCTCTCACTATCTTTATCTCTGTGCAACGGAAGTTTAGAGCTGCGTTTCATGGCACAGCGTTATAAAATCTCGGCTTTTCTATATTGATATTGCACGTCCCGCGAGCTTATGCATGATTTACGTATTCGCCCTCCAATACTGGCTATATATGTTCGTAACCGAATTATAAAAGCGAGTACTCGATGAGTATACTTTCGTATATCTCTATATCTCACGTCACTTCGGGAGCTTTCCATCGACCCAACGAGGACGATCAAAGTGCTTGCAATCGGGTGTCTTCGATGCCGGCGAGGCTCGGAGATCAATAAAAATAGCGATCAAGCGTACAGCTGTGAATTCTCGAATATTTGAATCGAATGGAAAGATCAGTTGATTGCAGAGGCGCGTAGCTCGAATGGGTCCATTTGATATGGCAAAGGAAGGCGGGCAAAGTCGTGCAGCCAGTTGATGTCGAAGTAAGCTCGAGAATCGATCGAGCGAAAGAAGACGAAAATAGAGTTGTCCGAAGAGCGAATTGCTGCAGCGGAGGCGTCGCGCACGTCTGCCGAGCGCGCCGAGCTGAAGACACAATTAAAAGTTGCGCATTCACCGAGGCGACAGCGACTGCAAGTCGACAAGCGGCAAGTAGCCGCGAGGGGTTTCATCGCCTCTACCATATCTCGCGGGAGCAAGCGCGCGCTCGCGAAGCTTCCCACGGGCAGAGCTCTTCGTGTTTCGTAACCACTATCAATTTGACGAGTCAGGTGCCGCACATCCAGCAGACTCGACGGACCAAAACGTCGCCTTTCGATGCGACAAAAGGCCGTCTCGATGGGTCTTGTCACTGCCAGGCTCTATGCAACTATCAACGAGTTGCCCACGGCGAAGACGTCGCACGGTCGAGATGCAAGGTGCTCGAGGAAACTCAGCTAGCTCGCGGCATTTCCGTACAGAACCTTTGTTCCCGAAAAGGTGCGCTTGGCTCAGTGCACTGTACGAGGCCATGCGACAGCTGTTTATTATCTTTGCGCGACCGCATATCCACGCCTATGCTTACCCGACATTAACGACTTTGGCTTTTCCCACGTAAATCGCGTCACGCCTCGATTCAGATTCCCATCAAAACTATCAAAGTCATTACCAAATTGCATCAAGCTTTGCTCCTCTCGATACGTCCAGCTGGTACAGACCACTGTACAAGGCTGCTATGAATAAATTGACTTTGCAAATAATTTATTGATTGCATTACTAATCGGCTGTTTAATATTTCACTGTATACGCATCCAACTGAATGTTTGTCAAGATAAGACATAAGGTAAGAGATAGGTCCGCCCCTGGAAACGCTCAAATGCCAAAGTACAAACTCGATTATTTCCTTTTTTAAAATAAAAAAATCAAACGTTTTCCATCTGAAAATAACTCTAATAATATAGTGATAATACATAAGAATGGAGCGATTCTTGAGAGACTTGCAATAAACAGCACCAATATTATAAACGCTTCTATTCCAATTTGAGAATGTTACTTTCCTAAAGCCTATATTTCTATTTCTCAATAGACTGAGCGCCGTAATTATATCTCAATGAACTGCTCAGATTCTAAAGTGTTTCTTAAGTAACATTAGTTATTTAGCACGGCATCATTTATCGTTTCTGTATAAACTTGCTATTATATATTTATGTATTTAATGCGGATGTCTTCAGCGCAAGCTCTTTACCAACGAGCAATGGAACGGTTCCAATTAGTAGTTTTATCTATGAGGTTAGTTAACACCATATCAATGTCCCTCACGATAATAGCACAAATAAAACATTCACAAAAATAATCAAGTTTTGGCACTAACTTACGTTGTGATTTGGTATACACAAGTCAGTTGTATATCTTTGATAGAAGCATCAGCATGCGCATCCCCAAAGATATAATGCAAGTCTATCGCCTTCGGCCAAAACTTCAGCGATTAAGATGCGCTATGAACTCGCCGATTAAACCATCAACACCCCAGATTTCTATAATTTAAGTAGACCTTAATGAACTTGTTCAGGATAAAGTCTATTCATTTTTTCATCTTATAAATTTTTTATTTGACTTATGGATAATGTAATCAAAAGAAGTTACTCGTTTAATTATAAAAATTTGATAGATTTATTTCTGTTGCGTTAAAAATCTGGTCCAAAAACGACCACTACTTTCAACCAGTATAATTAAAAATTTACATTATAACATGTATTCAAAGTGGTACAATATAACACATCAATTTTTTTCCTATACAAATACGCATTGACCATGTATCTAATATAAAAAACTGCATTGCTTCTCAGCCTATGCAAATCATAACCAAGTGTCTAAATAATCTTACGCATTTTTCAAGCTTTCTACAAGTCTTAATCATGTTGCATGCTCGTTATCTACAATAAAATACAATAAAATAAAATATATTCAAACAATTCTTCAAATCTTTAATCTATTGCACGCTCATCACGCACATTCGAGATTCTTTAAATAATAATCATAACTTTTACCAACAAGGAATAAACGAAAAATAAAATAACAAAATTTCCTCTTTTTAAATAGTGATACATCGATTTTATTTTATCTTTAGAATTAATCATCTAAATTAACTTTTGAATTTATTGCAAAATATTTGTAATACTTTTTTCTCTGTTTACCAAACATGTTTTTTGTTCTCAAACAAAATACTGTTATTTCTTATTTATTTATTTTCTTAATACCAAAACGCATATAAATGAAACATAAATGGGACAATAACAAAATTGGCAAAATTAAAATGTTATTGAAAAAAGAAGCCAAACCCGTTTTAAATAGATCTAAATACAAATAAAATGGGATTGGTGTCGCATAAAATACGAATACGATTGATTCTTGACACATATTAACCGACATAGAAATTTTATCTGTGAAATCATACAGAATAATTCAACAAATCACGAATAGTTAAATTGCCAAACGGTTCTTATAATATTTTTGATGATCACTAGTGATACATGTCAAGGTGAAATAATTGAATTCATTGAAAATTGAATACATTGCAAGTTAATTTACTTTCTTACGAAAGAGTTTGATCATAAAACTATAAATCAATTTGGTAAAAGGTTTAGTTGAAGTTGAAAAAACGCTCACCGATAAAATGAAGACCATGCTTCCAAACTAATTCAAAACAATAAATCCATTAAAACAACAGTTAGTACTGACTTTTTGAATAAATTATTTCAAGAATTTTTTAAGTTTACTTCATTTTTTTGTTCGAACGTCACAGTCACATATATTATCTAATTCATTTGAAATAACATTCCGAGAACATGTGTTGTCGTTTGTTGTCATATCTATAAAAATATTCTGCTTGCAAGTATAATATGTGAAAATGTACAACGGTTCGATACGAAAAACATAACAGGAGCATATATATATATATATATATATATATATATATATATATATATATATATATATATATATATATATATATATAAACACATATACATACACTTATGTGCAGTATCAATGCTTGAAAAAAACTTGATATCTGCAATTATAGTGCATATTTCTCTATAAATATCTTAACTTTTCTCTTCGCGAAATAGTCTTTCATTAACTATTACTACGTACTATATGCAATAGTAACTTGAGTTGAGCTGTGAGAATGTTAGCAATGATGCAGCAGGTGACGTCGTTAACATTCTACGGCTCAATAAGCCAAAAATGTCAGTCTTTTCTCGCAAATCACTTACGTTCGAATAAGAGGAATAGGCAAATTACGTACTTTCTTGTAATAGTAAGTAGCGGGCGTAGAACATAGAATATTGATAATCAGAACGAAACTACTGGCATTTGTTTCTCAAATATAAGCGATAAGTACAGCAAAATTGCAGAAATTAGCATTTCTACAGCATTAGGAAAAAAAGCGATGAGACGAAGCATCTCTATTTGCAAGAAAGTACGTGTAGGGTGCTGGAGCAAGATACATACAGAGAAACACTGTGCGTATCGTTGATGACAGTCTTGGTCCAAATCGACACTCGTCCACAGGTTGAAACGGTTATTGTTTGTCTTATTTAGCGAAACAGTGAAATTCGAGGCACAATTGTCTTGCAACTAGGTCGCTGTGGTAACTAAGGTCTTGAAGAATTACCATCGCAGCATCTCTCGGCTCTTCTGTTCTTAGGGAATTAGTCTGGCCTTATGAGAGCGTTAACCTGGCCAGCTCCAAGATCTTCGTCGTATTCGGCCAAATTGTCAGAGTCCGCGTTATCTGAAACAAGCGATCGTTTACCAGAGTTATATTCAATTAGTTACACCAGAAAGTTGTGCATGTTGCGGAACAGGGATGTTTATCACAAAACTCAAGAAATAGCTATAGTGGGAGATACACCAATTCAATCTATGATAGACACATGGACTCTAAAAGCCGTGCACAAGAGATGCCTAAGTATGTCAATAATGAGTCGATAAGTACGCATCAGCTTCAAGTTAATATTGTAGCTCAGTTTGACGCTGAAGAACGCCGACAGATTTTTTACAAAAAATATTGCGCAGCTAATCTAGACGACGGACTCCAGCGTCACCAAAGGTCAATAGATCTGATGGATTACTTTTGTTGGGCACAAGAGAATTGATCTTAACAGATTTTTAAGCAGAGAAATTAAAGACAGTCAGCATAACCATCAACTTGCAACAAAATCTCCATTTTCTATATCCACATGAAGAAACCTAGAATAAACAGTGAACAAATAGTGCAACAAATGCCGATAAAACCTCGTCACCTTAATTTATCAATGACCTTTTTTAGTCTCACACACTTGACAATCATATCTTGAAGTAGTTTCTCATATATATCAAGCCGTATAATTCATTCAATGGTCACTTATATTAATTGATCATGCATTTACTGAGTCTGTTTGCATGCGTGGTCAATTGCAGATTTCATGCAAGCGCATTATGAAAAAAGCCAGCTTAGACGTGGTCAACTTTTTTTGCTTAAAAACGCTCACCCAGGTGAGCACACGCCACACAAAATATGCAACATTAATCCTTCAGCTATAAGACTAATATTCGGTTTGTTCAAAAATTTAGAAGTAAATACAATTTTTCACGCTTATGTTATAACTATTGTTATAACTTGTACCAATCGTAATTTGCATTTTCAATTACCGATAAATACTAATTGAAGCAACATTTACTTATAGCATCATCTCATGAAGTTTTGATTGGGATTTTTAATCTTAGGTTATTTTTTCTAAAAGGCAGTAAGCATTGTAACAGTTGTGTTTAGTAACACGTGTTAGTATTACAAAGCCATTATATTAAGCAACAAAATTTAATGAATACTTGTTTTAATAAGGAAATAACTACTTACTAATAGTAATGCCAAGTGACAAGCGAAATAATATAACATACAAGCACTTGTATGCGTAAAAACCATTTCAAATAAAATACAGATTAGTGTATAATCAATTTAAAAATTAGCTTTCAAAAAAGATCCAAATAATGTATTACAAATGTACCATTACTTAAAAAAAATAATACAAAATAGGTATAAGCGTAAATTAATTGGTAGATAGAGCAAAACTATGGAATCTTTGAGAATTTCAAATTACAGTAATTGCATAGAACAAACGAATTATAATCTAAATAATAAATTACGATGGATAAACTATCGAACTGTAACTGAAGAAATATTTGTAAAGAATATACGAATAACAATTTATGCATTGTCTGTGATTTCTTAAGAATATTTCTTGGAATGCTTTCAAAATAAATAAATGAAAATTCAAGTTATCGTGAAAAAAGAAGAGCAAATGAACCGCATGAAAAGTAGTCTAAAACATCATTGAAAATTAAATTGATTATACAACTAAAACATGGATTCATATAGACGTTGAGTGAAATAAAATTTAGGTACGAGGTAGACACAGTAGACTATTCAGATGGTTCCCCAGTTGATGATCTATAAACGCGTCGATTCTGCTTGCCCATTTTTCTTAGTATCTAGACAATTCTCTGCAAGAAATACATTTATTTTTTCGGTAACTCTTTTGACCATGCACCGTTTTGAGTGCGTCCATCACACCTCTATTTGTCTTTTTTTAATTGGAATTACCTCATCACCATACGTATAACGTAATCAATCAGTTCGCAAGCACAATCAATTAGGATCTACCTCGTTTTAATGTATCAAAGATAATATGTGACATAGTGATGTATGTTACAACAAAATGTTGTGAGTTACATTGAAAGCGCATGATATAATCACATAACACTCTCATAATAATGCTCATTGCTAGTGCTTTTAATCAAAATTGTTTTTGCATTAATTATATGACTCGACGTTGATGACGTGAATGAATTTTTAGTTTAAAAGAAGAGTGCAATTTCATGTTATCTACAACTAAGTTACACGGCATTAAGCTTACTTTGAATTAATATTACTGCTCAAAATGGTCCGCTTTAATCATGCACATTAAACTTCTCATTTATTATATGCCGGCAGCTAAAATTGACGACAAAGAAAAATTACAACAATGCGCTTTGGAAATCAAGCTGGATTTGGTAATCTGAGCTAAGTGAAGGGGAAATAGTAAATTTCTTTTAAAATACACTCTATTAATGAGACTTAATCATGTAATCCCAAGTCGCGAGATTGAACTTCATACGATTCAAACTTTACAAAAATAGTTTTACTTGAACATTTATTCTATCTGGGTGTTTATCATATCGAACTTCATTTAAAACAATTTTACAAAATGTTGCATTTATTTCGCAACCCACTGACTTTTCAAATTTGGAGTATTGAATTTTATATATACATATATTTGAGAGATGTCACTAAATTATCTTTTACTAATCTACATTGCTTAAAAGCAATCACAATGCAATGTGCATTTCAGCAGCAAAAAATATGTTTTCTTCTATCGCACATTACAAAACAAATGATCTTTCAACATAAATGTGATGATCAAAAGTAAATATTATTAAAAACTTTTTTTATTCACTAATATTTGCAAAAATATTAATTAATAATTAGTGTAACTGTATAAGCATTGACCTGCAAATATTGTTTGAGAATGAATCGTGCGTGAGTAAGAAAACAAAATTTTTGTGATGGTTGCAAAATAATGAAGTTAAAAGATGTCTTGAAATTGTAATCGATATTAATTATAAACGTTTGTAAGTGATATTTTTACTTAAAAATGGTTTATCACGTTATCACTTGATAGTGTTTAGTAACAAGCATTTGACTTATTTATATTTGTTATTCATTATTTTTCGATAATTTACGTAAGATGTATGAAATATTTAGATCAATGCTTACTTGCGATAATGAGATCGACCCGTCTCTTGTCTTTTTCGATGTAGAATGCAGTCAGGAAGAAGAATAAACTGCCCAGAAGCTCCGCAAATATGCAGAGGAATAGAGCATATTGCAAACTTCTAAAATTTGCTATTAGTTTGACGTCTACCGGTAAAGCTGATTGAGCTGGATCGACCCAGCCTAGAGTCAAATTCGGCAAAATAACAAACTTCAGAGCATCTGAAATCTATAAATAAAAACTTCGATTACAATTTGCGATATATGTTTAAAAATAACAAAATTAGTTTTTATTGTATAAATCAAAATGTATTTATAAATATGAAATTTCATCCGTACCGTTTTTATTGGCAGAAAAATATGCAAAATGCATATCGTGACAACAGAAAAATATACACACGCACACGCACGCGCGCGCACGCATACACACACAATGTCTGTGAAAAGAGATCAAGTCACTCAATGCGCCATAAATGATAATAAAGGCTAACATTACACATCGACGTATGATTACTAAATGGCCGTAAATGTTTTATGCTTGTGCTCGAGATCTCCGGTCAATTGTATATTCGTAGTATATGTGTGATCGCGAGACACAACAAATGGATAATAACTTCTGATGATACACTTACAACGCCTATAAGATACGGGCTGCCAGCGTCACCAAGTGCGTGGGCGAATAAAATTTGAAATGCCTCTGCAGTAGATCGCCTCGTTGGTATAACCACATACTAAAATCAATAAAAACGAAATTTAATTTTTGATTTTAGTATTATGTTTACAATTCCACTTTCGATGAATAATTTAATGTTAATTTTTGATCAATATTACAAATAATCAATTTTTATCAATTATAAATAATCAACATTTGAAAAATTATGAATTAGAAACTTACTAATAACATGTCGGCTACGATAGACCAATTTAAATTGAGAGCTAACTGGCCGAAAAATATCAGAATGTAGCAAGCTATAGCGTTTGAATTGGCGAAACACGCGCCAAGAAATATCAATGGAGAGCTGACTAGAAGACCTACTGCACAGATTAATGGGTCAGCTTGTTGCCATCGAACTCTTAATTTTTGAGCGAGCATTGAGCCAAATGGTACACCAATCAAACCAGCAGCCATGGCTATGACACCAAACTTATATGACACTCTACAATTGAAAATTAAATAGATTTTTCTCATTAACTCCATTTGAATATTGGTTTAAAATATCAAAACAAAAATCTTACTCGTCTATCGTTATTGTGTTATCATCATAACGCAATTGTAATCCATATAAGATAAAAATAGGTCCCCAGAATGCTAGAGCACCAGTCACAAATGACACGCAGGTGAAACCTGCCGTTGACAGCATGAAGCTGCGACTAAATACAGATATAATAAATATTTGAACAACTGTATATATACTAAATATATTATTCTGACATTTATGTGAATAAGAAAGTACTTACTTCTTCATCAAAGCTTTGATGTCATCAGACCAAGATGTACTCTTAATATGAGATCCCTCTTTTTCTCCTCGAGCAGGGTCTTTAACAACCACTAAAATAAGAATTATTGCTATAACACCTAAAACTGGAGTGACGCGTAATCCCCATTGCCAGGCTTTAGTTATCCTGGCTGTTTCACCTCCTATGATGTAACCTAACCCACTGACAGAAAGATGAAAAATTGAATAGATACTATCTTAAACATGCATCATTCAAAGAGTAATTTGAATCTTATTACCTGCCCACTGGTATTGCAAAATAAAATAATGCTAACATTTTAGAACGTAGATCTTTAATAAATAGATCACTTATTATTGTAGGCGCAATGGTAGAGTAACTTGCTTCTCCAATTCCCACCAGTGCACGGAAAAATAGGAACCAACCATAGGACTATAGATTGAAAAATAAAATAAATAATGATAACAATGGTTACAACTCTAAAATAGAAATTTGAGGATTGCTTACCTTCATATATGATCCAATAAATGTAGTCAAACACCATAGAAATACTCCAGCACTCATAATTATTTTTCTATTGTAACGATCGCCAAGATACCCAAAAAGTGGAGCAAATATCATATAACTCATGATGAATGCAGTTTGAAGTAAACCTGATTGACTACCACTCATATGAAAGTCATTTTGTATAAAAGTGAGTACACCTGAAATTGTAGACTGATTAATATATTAAAAATTTAAATAGGCTTACATCATTTGTAATTTTTTGATAAAGAAAAATAAATAACAATTATTGTACATTTTATCATCTAGTATTTAATTGCATGTATTGTGTTAGTGCTTCCTTAAAGTCTGTAATTGGCAAAAAATGATAGTCTTGTGTTGAATTAGCAGTTTTCACAAAAAATTGACATACAAATTAGGTGTGGATCTTGTGAGTTGCGTTTATTTGAAAAATAAAGCAAAAAATAAAAAAAATATTGCTATATATGTTCTTGCAGCGAAGAAAAAGACGAGAAGTCAACATGTGTAGATAGACTGAGCAGGCAAAAAGCGAACCCTGGTAAATAGCTAAAAAATATTAAGTGAAATTTACCAGACACAGTGAACCTGTCCATGTAGTTAATGAGATTAACAAAGCAGAGGATGAGAACGGTGAGCCATTCTTTGGTAGTGACAGATCTGAAGCTGGGATTGTCGTCGGATTGTTTGTTAATGGACTGGGAGTCAGAAGAAGAGCTTGCTCGCTGGTTGGCATCATTGTCCATAAGGTGTTGTTGGGACAATTGGGGCGGAATCCTTGTCTCATTCATGGTGGTGAGCGAGTCAGAGAACACGTCGAAAGAAGAGACTAAAGATCGTCCAGCCAACTGATTCAACCGCACTGTTTACACTAGCGCGTTGATAACAAATAACTCAAGCAGCAGTTGCTACTCAGACTATTGTCATCATTCCTCAACTTTCGAACGAGTATAGCTCGTAAAAAGCAGATGAGACTGACGACTGTGTACTGCTGTCTGCTTTGCTGTCTCCACTTGGCAGGCGGCTTGCTTGGCTCTCTCACGGCCAGAGATTTTGCGACTATCCGCTGCTATCCGCAGCTCACGCGACTTGCCCCACCGAATCACGCCATCAGCCGATGGCGAACCACGAACCACGAAGCGTCGAGCTGCATAGCTGAGCTGGCCCATGGCTCTCTCTTCCCCCCACTCCTCTATCTTACTTTCCCTTTCCACGCGGCTCGCGCGACTACTTCGTTTTTTCAGGGAGACCGCACTTGTATTTTGGTATGTACGTGTACGTGCAACTGCACCTGACAATATAGAGGTAATTTTTAGTTACTTGAATAAGGTCCTGGAGACACTGGGCGACAGATATTTTCCAAACTTTGCACAATAATTGTTACACATATAGAGATATCATCATTTTCCCACATTTTCAAACCGAAATATTTATTAAATGAAAATTAATTAACTTTTAAAAAATAATAATAATTTTTCAAACGGCTACATTTCAAATACTAATAAAGATCGATATAAGAATCAACTTTTTTCAAATACGTATAAAGTCTTAAACATTGAAAATATTTGCAGCAATAAATAATAATTTAATATTTTCAAAAGTTAGTATCATTTTTCTTAAACAATTGGGAATAACTGAATAATTTTTTTTATTCGATTCTTCCTTTTACGTATTCCTAAGGATTTTATTAACATAAAAAGCAGTTATAAAAACAGTTATAAAATTTAAGTACCTGATGTACGGGAATCTGTGGCACCAATTACGAAGAGGCGCTTCGCCGTGTGATAGCGAGAGGAGGCGTAGTCATTGTAGCAGACTTTTTGCCTCCCTTTTGCCTAGCCAAAACTTTGATTTATATTTAATTTTACGAAAAGATACCATTTTTACAACGCTCTCAATGCCAATTAGTGTAATTCCAACGCATTACTAATAATTTTACTTTTCACCACTAGCATTTCGAGTTTTTTAAGTCTTCCAATTTCATATCATAATCACTTTTGCCACGACAGCTTGCGAAAAAATGTTACATAATTTTTATTCCGTAATTGCTATAATGACTATTTAAATCAGTAAAATAAAATTAATTTTTTAATTATACGCTCGTTGCTCCATCTGATAAGCTCGCTGATCCATCTGATATTATATTTTTTCAACAGTATTTTCGTATTTTTTATTCAAATATTTTACGGCTTTTCGTTAAAAGAAGGTCACAGCATTCTTATCATGTTTTAGATACTCCGAAATAATTTATATAAATATGTTTGTCACTGATCACACATATGAGCACGCCTGTCTACGTGTGTAGCGCTGACGTGGAACGAGCATTACGCCGTCACCTCACACCTATGCTATGATTATTTACGCGTCATAGCCAATGCCAAGCGTCAATATAGCACATATAAGAAGTTTGAAGCGGGGGATAAGACCTGGGAAGCGGGAGCTCCCGCTACCTCCCGCACTACAAATATGCTTCATGAATAACTCGTACAATGTAACGTATACCAAAACTTCGACTATTATAATGATTCCTTTACTTATACCCGTCATCACCTTTCTTTTTTTTCTTGACAATTTTATGTGGATAAATTATTCACTAAAGCTTTTATAACAAATTTGTCAAAGTTGGAGTAACATTTGTTTGGTTATGATTTGCGTTAATATTTTGTTTTCGACGTAAACATAAACACAGGTGACGGTTCAAAGTCATTGTTAATTTTTTTATTATTTTATGTCAAAATGAATAAATATAACACCCTGAATTGATTTGCCGTAATCCATAGGCAATAACATTTATCAATATTTATTTTTTCAAGTATCAACTATGCTTCGTTTAGGCAAACCATTGGAGGGAAGACGCGACAAATTTTTCCCGTTAACTAAACACATTTTTAGTTAGCTATAGAATTGTACATGGAAAGTGGCACTATTTCTATTTGCTGTTAGAGAATGCGGATTCTCTGGAAGTACATATACGGCGTTCTTGTTCACGCGCGCGCGTATGTGTATGTTTGACTGATAGTAACATTAATCTTAGCAAGTATAATAAAAACGATAAAAATAATATGATCAAAAAACGAGAATGCTAGTTTGTAGAACAGCTGTCATAAATGTAATCAGTCAGAAAGGTTTCTTCAGCGTCATATGACGCAAATGCAATATAAAAAGCTCAACACTGATGACAGTTTACTAGTGAATAGGCTATAGTCATCTTCTGAAAAAAGTGGAAAGTAAGGTTACGACAGTGAGTAAACAATTGGTCTGTGCAGTCATATGCAATCGCATATCATTTAAAAAAATATTCGGTTCGGTCGACATCACCGTGATAACATGACACTAACTCATAAATTCTAGAAACATGTATATGGCGTAGCTGCATCAATTAGCTGAAATGAAATGAGCAAAGTCGCAATGTGAGTTTGGTGACGAGCCTTCTCTGCGTTAGGCTGCACTCCCAATATATGTAATTTTCTATTCTCGTTTATTAAACTTAAGCCTATAAACATTTTTGGCATCTATTTATTACACTTTTCAAAATACTCATTAAATTTTATTCATAGTTTTGCATTAACAATATTAACATATTCCATTAAGAGAACATTAGTACTTCCAAGTATACGCTTCTATTTATTTGTCTAACATTAAATTACCTTCAAATTCGTGAGTTGTGAACACTTAAAAAAAACAAAGGCGAACAGTTAATATTTGATTTATAAGTGAATGTTGTCGAATTTTAGCAGCAACGAAATTATTAAATAATGTCCTCATCAAGTTATACAAACATTTCGGGCTTTCTAGCTGATACCGGAAAAACCGCTTTAAAAACGCTTTCAGTACTTTTTCGGAACCTTATTGAAACCTTTTCGAAATGTTTTCGGAACCTTTTTGGAACGTTTCTAGAAAAAAAAAGTGACCTGGGGGCGCCTCGGACGCACGTGCGATTCCACCTTCTTACATTTTTAATAAAATTATAATAATCAAAGCTGGTTTTTATTGGTAAGATCAATCCAATATCTATCCTCTAACTATACTTCAACACCTTATCTATCTCTCATCATCACCTTCTTTTTCTATTTTTTATTTTTCCTAATTTTATTTTTTATTTTTCCTAATTGATTTTTTTGGATAAGAACCTAACCTCAATAACTCACCTCGTGGGGCGGCCAGCTCTGGCCCCCCAGGGGGCCTATTCTGAAAAAAAATTTTAGCACGGGGCCTATTCTGAAAAAAAATTTTAGCACATGTCATAAGCATTTATCACATCTAAAGTGATTAATTCTGTGGTAAACTGAAGTGACAAACTGATTTATCACAAAATTTTTTTTCAGAATAGGCCCCCGAGCATCCGTTCCCGAGAAGAGTATAAACGACGAAAAAAACCTTTTAAACAACAGCTACCTAACGGATGTCGAAATGTTAACTCAACCAGACCAAACAAGAAACAAAAGACTTCTAAATGAAAACAATATAACATTTCCTGAAAAACTCCCCAAAAGAAACCATAATCCTGAAACTTTTTCACAATCTAAACAAGGATCATAACAGTCTAAACTAGGAGAAACTCAGCTTCCACAATCACAAAGGATAGAATTGCCTAAAATTGAAGAATATCCATACGACATACCTCCCCCATACAAAATAATTATACAACCCGCTGAACCCGATAACAAAAATAACCTAAATCAAACAATCATAACGCCAATTCAAATTGCTAAACATATCACCCCGCTATTGCCTAATGGCTCAATCGACGATTACATCAGATCAGGTAGAAATAAAATAGCGATAATTACACACAACCGCAAAATTACCAACTCAATTCTCAAACTAGAATACTTCAAAAAAAACAACCTAATCGCCTTTATACCAAGCTCATTCATTTACAAAAAATACGTAATTAAACAAATCCCAACAAACATCACAGAACAAGAAATCATCAACAACCTAGAGTTAGTATCACCAATATCTACTTTACCGATAATCAATGTGAGGAGATTCAATAGAAAAGTGACTGAAAATGACACAGTAAAATACCTACCAACCACTACTATACTAGTTACGTATAAGAGACAAATAACTACCTAACATGCCTTTCTCTACAGAGTTAGATACAGAACTGAACTATACATACCAATAGTTAAACTCTGTACCAAATGTTACAGACATGGCCATGTCAAAATCTCATGTAACTCAAAACAACAAAAATGCATATACTGCGGAGACACAACACACAACTATCAAGAATGCCCCAAAATAAACGACATAACAAAAAAATGTTTAAATTGTGATGAAAATCACTTACCAACAGATAAAAACTGCAAAGTTAAAAAATGGAACAAGACATCCTAACCACTGCATAAAAGAAACATTTCAATAAAAGAGGCAAAATTAATACATAATCAATACAATAATAATTCCAAAAGATTCAGATTCTTAGACTATCCTGAAATGAACGAAGCTCCAACCTCCCCAAGAACTCCATTTACAAATTTCAAACACAAAAAAAATAATTTAACTCCGAAAAAAAACGGTATAACTTCTCCAAAAAAAACTTACTCTAACATCCTACAAACCAAAAACACACAGGATGACCTTAGAAAAAAACACAACGAACTCCTCATTTCTCCTAACGGCAACTACAACATAAACCCGAATTTTACAACTTCCAATAATCATCCAATCTCCTCAACTCCCCCACTCGAACCTTTAACTACATCACAAATTTCCATGTCCGAAGACTCCTATATATTTAAAAATCAATATGCTATTTCACACGATTTTATAATACAATATCTTAATTCAGACCAAAATTTTCATAATTTATTAAATGAAAACATTGAAGCTACATATAATCAAATAGATATAGAATCACAAATGCAAAATTAAAATAATAACTAAAAATAAAAATCAACAATTTACTCTCCTAACTCCCAACAAATTATACTTCAACATCCTATCAACACAATTATCTTTATATATATTTATTATCTTAACAAACAATGCTAAACACTAAACAAGAAGTACATCAACTTAAAATACTTCAATGGAATTATCGAAGTATTTGTAATAAATTATACCTCCTAAAAAATATTATCAACTCTTATGACATTATCCTGCTCTCAGAAACCTGGCTAAATGATAAATCCTATATCAACATCCCTAACTATCATATTATAAGAAAAGACCGAACAACAGGAGAACATGGAGGAGTAGCAATTCTAATAAAAACAAACCTCCCTTTTCAAGAAGAAACAAATATCTACTATAACGAAAAAACCCTAGAAACCGTCGCTGTATCTATCCCCCTATCTATAAACAATACAAAAAAAGAAAACTCTATACTAATAATATCAACATATAGAATCCCATCCACCCAAACTACAATAGATACCTGGTACAATTTTTAAGCTCAACTTCTAACTATAAACGCACCCTTATCGGCGGGGATTTAAATGCCCACCACTTTACCTGGGGTGCAAACAAAACTTATAAATCAGGAGAAAATCTCATCGATGCACTCTTCGACTCAGACTTATCCATAATCAATGACGGCTCTCATGCTTATTTCAATAACCAAGAAGAACAATTCTTCTCATCTCTTATAGATATCACAATAATCTCAACCAATATTCTCAACTCTACCACGTGGAAAACTTACCCAGACCGCATGAATAGTGACCACCTCCCAATAGAAACCACTATCTCCATAACCCACGAAAGACCTCCCACCAACATTACACATAAAATAAACTACAAAAACATCAATTGGAGTCATTACTCAACTCACATAGACAAATTTATAGAAAACAACTCAGAAACAATAAAAGAATATAACGAAGAACAAAAATACAATCTACTAACCAACCTTATCACTTCAACAATAAAAATATACAAAAACAACAAAAATAAAAAACACCAATAACAACTATAACATCAATTTAGAATATAACACTTCGAACATCAATTACAAAAAAATTTTAATCCCAAACACCCAAAGCTCCATGGTGGGACCACAACTGCTCAAAATTAACAAATGAAAGAAAAAAAGAAACCAAAAACTTCCTTAAAAACCCCACGT